TGAGGATGAGACTCTGGAAAAGTCATCATGGGCCGTGCAACTGAGTGAGGATGAGACTCCGGGAGACCCATCAGCGGCGGTGGAACTGAGTGAGGATGAGACTCTGAGAAAGTCATCATGGGCCGTGGAACTGAGTGAGGATGAGACTCCGGGAGACCCATCAGCTGCGGTGGAACTGAGTTAAAGTGAGACTCTGAGAAAGTCATCATGGGCCGAGAAGCTGCGTGAAGGTGAGCCTCTGGGAAAGCCATCTGGGGTGATGGAACTGAGTGAAATGGAGCCTCTGGGTGAGCCATTAGGGGCGGTGTAATTCCATTGAAGTTTGGAGAGACTCCATTGACGCCTGGGGAATATCCGTTGAGTTCTGGGGAGACTCCATTAACACCTAGGGTGACTCCATTGACGCCTGGGGAATATCCGTTGAGGTCTGGAGAGACTCCATTGACACCTGGGGAGACTCCATTGACACCTAGGGAGACTCCATTGACGCTTGAGGAATATCCGTTGAGGTCTGGGTGGACTCCATTGAAGCCTGGGGAGACTCCATTGGGGCCTGTGGAATATCCGTTGAGGTCTGTGGAATATCCATTGGGGCCTGTGGAATATCCATTGAGGTCTGGGAAGATTGCATTGAGGTCTGGGAGGATTGCATTGAGGTCTGGGTGGACTCCATGGAGGTTTGGGTGGACTCCATTGAGGGGTGTAGAATATCCGTTGAGGCCTTGGTTGGCAGCGGGAAAACTTGGTACTTGTAATGGATGATATATAGGAGAGGCGTGGAGAGTCCGGTCTGAGTTGGGTCGCTGGAGAGGGTTATGACGTCTTTGAGACGGTTTCTGTAGAGACCTTCGAGTGGCTCTCGCCTGACACACAATTTGCTTGCTGAAACATCTCGAACAGGGCATCTGTAGGTGGATCAGTGAACCATTCTAACTATGCAAGAAGACATGCATGTGGACAATGCTAGGTCATCTAACGCCATAGGTGCCTCTTCAAGAAAACGTCTCAGGGGGAAAGTGACTTACCTTCTTATCGCATTTTGCCTTTGCCTTTGCACAATGTACGCAAGCGATGGGCATACGTTCAGTTGGAGAATCCATACTGGTTGGTTGGGGGTTGAAGTGGAGGAGCAGGGTCTGATAAATAGATAGACCCACAGGAAGTCTAGGCACTTTAGCGAGTATCCAAAAGGCAAGGATGAGAAGTGATAGTGGTCGAGGCCCCGGAGGCCCGTAGGGCTATCTGGAACAAATGGACGGGCGGGTGACTGGCAGGTGTTAACGTACCTATTATGCCACAGGACGATGTTGGATGTGGCCAATATGTAAGCGGGTTTGGGGGTGTCTGTCGAAATAGAAGCGCACGACCGCCGGACTTTGTCAGAGTAGATGGAAAGAATGAATATCTGACATGGGAGAATGAGGGAGACAAGGGCTTAGTTATAGACTAGACATTAGAAATGATGGAGACATGATCAATTTAGAGGAGGAGGAGGATGATCGAGATGCCGTCTTGATCCATGGGTGGAGGCGACAGGATGGTGGATCGTGGATGATGCACGAGTGGTGATGTGAGTTTATCAAGCACAAAGCACTCGAACACCCAAGAAACAAAGCACTAAAGCACTCAAGTGATTCGATAATACTAGTAGTACTCAAGGTGGACTCTGGACTGAAGGAACGAGAGAACGAGAAATCTCGACAAGCAGGTGCAGCATATGCCGTGACGAACTATGGGGCGAGAAAGGCTAGGAATTAGGTTGCAAGGTTAAAGTAAGGGCAGTATTCTGGCTTGAGTGTCCACTGTCAACAAAAGGACGCCTTTTGGAGTTTGTTGTTCGGCTGGTCTATACATACCCGACTTTATTTTGTGGTTCGGGAAAAGGTGCCATCAATACAGGCATGTGTATCACAGTGACAAAAAAAAGATGGTTCCTGTCTTTGTTGGCAGTGCGATACTCAATGGAGCAACACAAACCTGCAGCATCCGCATTGGGACAGCATTCGTGCGAGCTGATAAGTGGGTTTATGTAGGTGAGGCGATGGGGGAGCATGTACGCAGTTGAAGAATGATGATCAAGTCAGAAGGACCCAAGTGGGGGGAGGGGAACAGATGCAAAGGGTCAAAAAAATACTTCATGACCATGTACATCGGTGAGAATTGTGGTGATGGGCAAGGTTTGGGTGATGACGGTTATGATGCACGTCTGAGCCGGGATAATGAGTCGAGGGAAGATGTAACTGGCCCCTCGGTCACTATTAGCGCACACCCGCACGGGGGCCGAAGAGCCTGACGGGTCCTTGAGGTCCCTTGCACACGAGGGACGCGGGGGGAAACATTTGATTGTCTTGCCGCCCACCAATCAACAAGATCTTATTGAAACAATCATTCCCCAGGACGAAACAATGCCTATGACAGCCTGACGGCCAACAGCCACGTACCGTAAGTATCTAGTACTCTCTTGGTCAGCCTTTGGCTGTTGACCTTCATGACCCTGTGAGACTTGATGAGAAAATTACAATCCCCTCTTGGTATCATCTTGTCCGCATTGGTATGCATGCACAGCAGTGGCAGGGTTCATTGTGGGGCTGTTACAGTCGCACACTCTGCTTTACGTTGTTTCGTGATGACATTCTCGTGGTATGGGGTCGATGGCTGTCTAAACTTTGCTATCCATGGTCTGTTTGTTCTAAGTTCGGTTTACCTTTTGACAAGACACCACAGAGGCTTGTTGCTGCTTGTGCGGGTTTTTTCCTTTAAGGTGACCTGCAGACGCAGACAAGTCCCCGACTCGTATTTCTCGGCCGGTCGAGGTGACTAATAAACTCTCAAACCAGATAATGATAAAGTCAAATACGGAGTACGCAGCCTCAGATCGGCACTGTTTTATTTTAGGTTGTGGGTTCCCAAAACTAGCTCCGTATACAACCTAAAATTTGCCCAGAGATAAGATAAGATGCATATAGAGTTCTACTACTCCGTACTAACCTACCCTACGGAATACTTGGTAGTACGGAGATGCTGCCGCCCTACGAGGAACTCCTAAACTTGAAAGTAGGTGGAGCAGGTGGAGGGACCGAGGGGCTCCTTGGGCGAATTCGAGGCCCGAGGGCCCTCAAACCTTGGCCCAAAGAGACAGGCATGTGTCGAAGGACTTGTGTGGCCACCCACCTCATCACCTCAGGCACGAGACAAAAGCCATCTGGCTGAGTACTGCTAAAGACCTCGTTGCAGCAGCCGCAGATCCCCCATCATGTACTATCCAACCTCGTAATGCCATATGGTCCTACCTACAGAGTACATACGACTTACGTTCTGACCACCAACCTGGCCCTCAAGTACCAAGTACCAAGTAACCTACGGAGTAGTAGCCTCCTGCCCAAGCGCAAATAGAGGAAGGTGCGCCTATGGCTTCACAGTGCCAAAGGTGTAAGTAGTCAAACCATAATCCTCTTCCCGAAAGGCTTCTGCACAGCTCTCGGATAATTCTCGACGTATACGAAATGTTGACAGCGGTTGCGACCAGGACACGCACTAGTCGCGGGGCGGGGAACCTTACAGCGCGACCAACTTATATGCCAGGTTTAGTTAGTACCTTGGTTATCTAGGTGTACTTTCATTCAGTGAACCACCTGGCACATTGCATTACAATTCTCCCGCGATCGAACCCTAACAGCTTTGAAGGAATTTGCCGGTCTGATGCCATGTCCCCGCCTTGACACCATCCACAGTACAGACTTCAGGCAGCAGGCGACTTCCCATCAAGTGTCAAAAAGTGGGTAAAAATCCATGGATGAAGTCCAACATTTTGACTTTGGTCATTTCTACAAACAGGTCATCAGTAGGAATCTTGAACCTTACAAGTAAACTTTTTTGTTGCTATGTACTCGTGCATGAACCGCTCTTGAAAAGCACCTGACCAAGCTCTGAAGTGTTTAGGTTTTCAAACCGCGGCAAAGCCCGGTGGTAGATTTAGGCTTTGAGGATCTTTGTCGATCTGTTTACAAAGTTAGACATGGCAATCTTGGCAGCCTTGTAAGTCGCATTACGATGGTCAGTAGTGGGACTGAAACCTACTTTATATGCAGATAGCATAGTGGCATAAGTGGTCAGGCAGACGCTAGTCATGACAATTTGCCTTGAACGGGAGTCGCCATGCAAGATGCACTTGACCAAAAGAAGCCAATGTTGATCGGGCGCTTTGTTCCATGAAGTGACTTTTCTGTGGATTGGAAAAGCCAAAAAGCCCACATGGCACGATTCCATTCCGGAGTACGGAGTAGATTATTTTCTCAGTGGATAAATCCCGCTAACCGCTCTGAGCCCAAAGAGTCCATCGCAGAACGGTTAGAGTTACTTAGGGTTTTCGTTTTCAGCAAGATTCATCGAATTTGTTTATTGGCTCGCTTAAAGCGACCAGTCCACTTCCGCTAATTAGGCAAGGGCGGAAAGCGCAGGCTGAGGACCTCACCGGAGAGGCTGAGACAAATTACATTACATCGATATACGAAGTATTGTAGGAGTACACGTATGATCGACGATGCGATCTTTATAGCGCCAACGCTCAGCCTTGATACGCACCGACACATCACACAAAGGCGAGTCAAAAGCCTGCATGTTGGCCTCTGTTTGCAATTCGCGAGTAATGAATGCATGTTGCTCTAGACTCGAGAGGTCACGCATATCCATTCTATATTGAGATGTCTCCATCGCTCCTGCCTGATCCCCACGCAACCATAGGCTAATCCAGGAAAGCCCAAGCGAAGCCCGAAGCCCGGGGCGCCCAAGCCTCCCTAGCCTCCCAAGCCTCCCAAGCCTCCCAAGCCTCACCGAACTTGCTTCTCCCGCTTGTGTCTTGCTCCCGTCCTCATCTGTTCTCACGTGCAATACCTCCTTTCGAACTACTTAGGCACACAGCATGAACTCCCACCACTGTCCTTTTCAAGCCTACTACTCCAATGTATTTGCCCTATGCCTTTGAAACACAACAGTGTTCAAAGTAAATTTCCCCACATGTGACCACACCAAGCTGAATCTGCATCCCTACTGTACCTCAGGTCAAGAGCCTGACGAATGTTCTTCATCCAACCTTCTTCTGCTCTCCATTCCTATCCCAATAGTGGCCTCGACCGAGTCCAACCCACACGACTGGGAAAATTTGTCGAGAATTGGCAAACACAGACGAAACCAGATTAGTTTTCGACCCCTTCAAGAGGTTCAATGATTCCACCAACCGAATCAGATCACCGCATCACTGCATCATCCAGGCTCAATCCAATCCTAGAGCTTTCCTCGTACTTCGCAACACGGGAAAACTAAACCAAGACAAAGATTCTTTGACGAATTACACCACTTGCAGAAGGATGCAACTTAGGCACAGTCAGTCTTTCATGTGCCAAGGTTGTTGTCTTTCCCTCTCGGTGCAACTTTCAAGTCTGCCAAATTCGGTTGAAAAGCCAGCCTTGCATTTTTGGTGCCTGCTTCAAAGCTCAAGTCTCCTGGTTACACCCGATGGACGTCCCTGTCCTCACGTGCGCTACTGATTTTGTGTCACCGACCCGGGTGCCACTGTGTCCACCTTATCCTCCTTGGGACAGGCTGAGCATTGCTCTTCGATTGTGAATGTCTCAGATTGAGTCATCAATTACGAACAGTCCTGACCGAAACAGACATCCAGACATCCCTATCTCGAGGATCCAAATTCTTGTCAAAGGTCTCATCAGTGCGCTCGGGCAACCCGAGACCTCAGAGTCCGAATGAACCAGAGGCTTTGCCTTCGACTCCTGCGGTGAGAGGTGTGCAGCTCAGACATTGGGAAAAACTTTGTACAAGTGTTGCACCGATTTCCTTGTGACCATGATCTTGGACAGCCTGCTTGCGCCATTTCTTCAGCTTTACCCGGTTTTGTGGTTGCTCTTGAAGTAGCGTGACCTTGGCTGTGATATACCAAGTCCATGGCCGAGAACAGATCGACATTGCAACCAACTCACCTCTGATGAGTCTTGTCAGCCTGACCCATCCGTGCTCTGTCTCAAAGTTGTGAAGGACAACTACAACAAATCGCCCCTGGGCCACCCTACCCTCAGGGATCTTGATCATGTATGTACCTACGCGTGTGCAACCGGCTATCTCGTAGATTGTTGATATATTGGCTAACATTACATCTGGTAATGGTTTGGACGAGGATCGATGTTGGAACAAATGGTTGAAATTCCACGCCATAGTCCCCACTTGACTCACACCCATTCTCGTTTCAGCACTGCGGGTGTGCCAAAGCAGGAAAGCAATGGTCAACGGTCCAAAACTTGGAAGTGAATCATTTTCTCGGTCCTCGCAATCCAGCTATGTGTGCGTCCCTACATGTCCAAATTTAAGGAAACGGAACGCTGTTCCTAAATCTTGATCAGTTGATGTTGGGAACATCAAGTATCTCATGCATGTTTGACACCGCTATCGTGACTAGGTAAAACCTATGGTATTTGTTTTGCTTTTTGACTGTGTTCTGAAATATGGCCAATACACAAGAGGTCTCAATGTCTCGATGCGATGGCATGTCGTGGAGCTCAAGGAGAACATATGCTAGTCTGGAGAGGCGGTGAAATGTAATGATAATCTTATAAAGCAATGACAGTATCACAATCAATTAGTGACTATAGGAATGGCCACGGCAATGTTTCGGACATAGAGGCCGGCGTTGTGGCTCTAATTGTCGTTTGCAAGAAGTCGTTCGACCGCTTTGACCTTGTCCTCGGCTGATTGAATCTTATCTGTCCTGCTTCCGATCCTGATATCGGACTGAATACGAACAACACCTTGGTCGTGAAGTAGCTGGTGAGCCTGTCCAATTACCCGAGTGACTTCATCCCAAGATCCTTCTATCCAAGGAGTCAGCATCTAAACAGCCTCACAAGTGGGCAATTGAGCAGGTTCGAGTCCAGGAGATGAGGACATCTGAATGGACTTATGGGTGCGCTCACCAACAGTTGTCCCTGCCGAATGCATCGTATACTTCAACCCACTTTTCTTCATTAATCTCTGCACCTCTGCAATCTGCGCTGAAACGCTCGCCGTTGGTGTCCCCAGAGGTATTAGACAAAAGTCCGCGGTTGCCTTTGGTGGGGTCTTCAGAGATACGCCAGCCATGGTTTGACGGCGCGGCTGTTATGTCTGGCTGTGATGACGGCTATCTGTTCGCTGCAATAGACTTGCGATTGTCTGTTATTAAAGGATTCTTGTGAGGTAGATGATATGGCCTCCACGCTCGTCTTCACATCGGTAATGTCACAGTGAATTGATGTATGAAGTTCATGGATGAGCCTCGAGAGCTGCCTTGCCCCTAATGAGCCTTGGCGTATCCTTCCCTATTGGTCAAGGACACCCATTTTTTTTCAGGTGTAGATATTTTTTAACCCGTGATTTTTGTCCCAAAATAATCACAGATCGACTGGTGTAGTGGTTATCACGTGTCGTTCACATTACAATGTGTGCAAATATCCGACAAGGCCCTGAGTTCGATCCTCAGGTCGATCACGTGTGACAACATTTTTGCCACAACAGACCCAATATCAAATGCATGTTTACAGGTCTGAAATGCAATTCTTTTTACCCTTCTGTTGTGGACAATTATAGTAGAGACAGACATGATGGACAGAGCCTTGACGGTCTCATGGATTCAGGTATCACGGTACGATCAGGACGTCTAGACCGGATCCGTGTTAACAGGCTACCATTACAACATTGAAGAAGATGCACCTGCACGTGAGGTATGTCTTTTTGCACAAAGTGCTGTGGAAGCCAGAAAGACTGCCGACATCCCTGTGGACCACACTTAAGCCACAAGCTGAAGTAATTGAGTGACGGTGTGGTTTTCGATGTTGTCCACCATATCCAAGACCTCCTTGGCCCTGGCCTCACCTACGACAGGATTAACCAAGCTGAAGAACTTGTCATTGACTTGATCTCTTGTAAACGGATGCTGTGATTCGCCGAGTGGGAATGGAATCAGGACTTCATCTGAGGTCCCGTCCTCGTACTCAATCTTCAGTTTGGAGCCGAATTGTTTCAGAGACGTGTCTGGCACGACACTGATCTTGTCTGAAAGTTGACGAATACCCGAGTCGTGGAGTCGATCCTGCTCATAACATCGAACTCCGTTGTCGGATCCATAGAGGTAGCTGTTGGCGGTAGTGAAATAGGCAGAGAACTGCGCATCGACCATGTTCTCGGGGTGAATCTTGTTCGGGGTAGGGGCACCTACCACGCTGACATTGTTCGGACTCAAGGACAGGACGATGGCGCGGACCTGGTCAATGGCCACTTTCTTCTTGTCGTGGCCCAGTTTGGCGGCATGTTCAATGAAGCCATGAGTCATTCGACATGCCGGGAAAGGTTTTAGCGAAGTGAGAAGGAACTCCCATCGATGGCCTAGATCACTGGTCAAGTAGTCCAGGTCTTTGTTCTCTTTGGGGCTGTAGCCGTGCAAGAAACCAAATGTGCCCTCAATGATGCTGGCCGCACCGATGACACCGGCCTCGGCCAGTGCTACACAGAGAAAGGCATCGTGAACTGCAAAGCCCGGATGCAGTCGCTTGTTCCAGCTACCGTTTTCGAGGTATTGCATGGAGCCCGCAGCCTTGGATCCGGCGAGGCCAAATGCATTCTCAATCACGTCGGCGGAAAGATTCTTCAAGACTGAAATGGTGGCGACAGCACCAAAGATGCCGGCCGTCGCAGTATTGTGGAAGCCTCGGGCATAGGCTTCATTGCCCAACTCCCTGCCCAAGCGACATGTCACCTCGTAGCCTACAGCAACGGCCAAGAGAAAATGATCAATGTCGACCGATGCACCCAAGATTTCAGCTTGAGTCAGACCGGCGGCTATCGAGGTGACACCGGCATGAAGCGTACCAGGAGCATAAGTGTCGTCAAAATCGAGGGAATGGCCCAGGGCTGCGTTTAGCAAGCCGGCAAACTGTGGCGTAAAGGTTTTCCCTTTGCCCAGGACAGTGCAAGCACCCTTTTGTCCACCCAAGGCTTGGACAGCATTGCATATTGAGACTGTGGAATCAGAGCTATGGCTCGCGGCGAGGGTGACGCCAATATAGTCGATGATGTACTCCTTGAGACTTGCTCGGATCTGGTCGGTCAACAAGTTCGTATCGGCATTAGCTGTGAAGTTGGAAAAGATTCTGGTGACTGGGGGAATCGAGGAATGTCCATTGGTGGTGGGGTTGGCGTCACCATTGATTGCTGCCATGTTTGTCGGTTGGTATTGAAACTCGCAGATTTCTGTCAACTTTCTCAACTTTCACAATGGTCTTAGAAGGGTCAAGAAGGACAATCTTTAACGACCCAATTCTTGAGAAGGACGATGTCGGGATAAAGGAAGCCAAGTCGAGATCGAGACCAACCTCCGCACTCCACGGGGGATGGTCGAGTGTATTATTATTGACTACCTAGGTAAGTATTTACAGTCGATGGTCTTCTCCGACCTCGGGGATGCGGTATGTGATCGATCCACCCAAACTTCGAGATTCCCTCTTCAGATCTCCGAGACAAGAATGTGTCGTGTCACTTTCGAGTTCCAATCAAAATCCAGAATGTCGACCTTCTCCCCAAAAGTCCCCCTCTCGAAAAACGACATCGGAGTTCAACACAATGCCATTTGATTCGATAGCCGAGGTTGAGGTTGTCTAGCCGGTGCCTTTATTACTTGTAATTTGATCTTCATTTGGTCCAACAGCATTATTGATAAATTGGCCCTGAGGATACATCCCAGTCACATGTCAACCTTTAAAATATTGATGCTGCGTTGCGTCGAGGCTTCATCTCGACCATCAATGGAGGTTTATGCCAGAGAAAGTAGACCTTGAGCCTCTGGAACCATCCATCCCAATCTTGCTCACCTTGTTGATCTGCTGACGGTTTGGTCATCTCAAACCTCCAAAGAAGTGTAGCCAGAATCAGACGCATCTCCGCTTTGGCCAGATTGTTACCTATACAGTTTCGTGGTCCCGCCGCAAATGGCTGGAAAATTCCTGGTGCAGCAAAGAAGCATTAATCCCTGATCTGCAGCAACACATCAAAACACAGACTTACCACTGGCATTGTCACTTGCAAATTCCTCTGGTCGATTGGCTAGCCACCTCTCCGGCACAAATTCCTTGGGGCGTGCAAAATGTAGGGACGATCGGTAGGCTATGTGATGCGCCGCAAACACTCGCGTTCCCCCAGGCAACAAGTATCCTCCCACAACCAGTCCTGCTGTTGGGATCGTCCTCGCCGAAATGACTGGTGAGGGAATAAAGATACGAAGACCCTCTTCCAAGACGGCGGAAAAGTATGGCAGTTTTGCGGTGGATGCCACCGTAATCTGCTCTTCATCTTCAAATCCGTCGATCTCTTCTTGAACCTTTTTGAGCACGGTGGGATTCATCAACAGAAAATAGACGAGTCCTGTAAGAAGCGTTGCCGTCGTCTCCGAGCCGGCAATCGCAATGTCCGACGCCGTACTCTTCAACTCTTCAACTCTCATGCCTTTGACCTGTCCCTTTTCGTCATCACCTACAAGTTCATGTTTGAGGATGTGGTCCAGAAAATCCCCCCTCTCCTTGTCCATTGCGATTCTTCGGTCGATCCTGGTTGAAGACATGTCGTAGAAATCACGCATGGCCTGAATCAGCGATGACGGCGTACACAATGCCGCAACGCGACCTAGTCCCCATCGTTGGATGATCCCAATGTACATTCCGCCGGCAATATTGTCGAGCAAGAACTTTTGCCATGGATGTGTCTTTTTGGTGCCTAGGCTCTCAAATGATTCCCCAAAGGCCAAATCCCCCATGATGTCAAACGTGGTCCATTGCAGCCACTGAGAAATGTCCAGTGGGCCATCCTTGCTCCCCTGGGTCAGCCCCCTGATGAGCATGTCGACGTGGTGTTGTAGGCGGTCTTCTTGCCGCCGAAGGCTTTGTTCCGAGAATGCATGCGACAACAGTCGTCGATACCGTCGGTGGTCCATACGATTGGCATCTAGAATTCCAGTGACCCCGTTGACGCGATCGATAACGTCGCTCTTCTCGCATTCGGCGTCATTTTTGCGAAACCCATACACGTCACGCCAGATACTGCTGTCGATAAAGGACACCTCCGTTGGGGAGATCCGCACAATCGGCCCGTATTTGTCGTGCAGCTTCTCCAGATACTCATGATTGACCCCCTTGATACACGCGAGATCGTGAGGAATACTGCTAACAGCCTCTAGAAGGGGCCCTGGTATCACCTTCAGGGGTGAGACATACAGTCTCGAGTATATGAGGAACACCGCTCGACAAATGGCCTCGACATTGTCAGTACATGTTTGTTTTGATAGGCAAGTCAAGTCCTACCAGAATAGCTAGCCCTGCTACAATGTATATCATCATGTTGTTGTCTTGCAAGCTGGCCCTGGAGTTGATATGGACGGTCCAACGAGACAAAGTTCCGTAACAGCCTTGAGTCTTGACAATGGATTATATAGACTGGTTTCAGGCAAACTGCACGTGGAATCTCAATAGCGATGTAAACCATTGACCGCCCCGGGGGCCATATTGGATAGAGACCGTTCTGATATCATGCCTTAAGGCCTCCCTTATGATTTCTCGGCCATGTAACCATAAATTGGAGAATATGATACCATAGCGGGGTTTGCCCAGCCTCAAAGGAATCGAAGATTTGGGCATCAAATCGGAGGGTCCCCCAGCAAGTGGTACAGAACAGCGAATGCCCTTGCATTTGAGTCGAATCCCTACAGTTGCTCCCGACTTGTCGTCTCACTACTTCACGCTCTCGTGAGCGCGTTTTGTCATTCGCTCTGGCGGTCCACCGCCATGCAGTAAGCTTTGCTGAACATTATCGAGCGGCGACGCCTCTAAGAGCCATGGGGTGTTAATGACAGGGGATGTTCATGCCACTCGACGCCAACAAACGAGCGGCACACCCAAAGCTTCGTCACCCTGCGCCACATTTGATTAACCGTCCACTGGATACAAAAATGAAAGCATCTTTAAATCTTTTGCTATGATCGGGCTCGACACGGCTTGTTCTGAGATGAAGGTCAACATTCTCTGGCACCAAGATTCGGCCTCGACAGGAACGAGCTCTCTTAGGCGTGAGTCGGGTGAATGTCGAAAGGCGTAGAAAATGAGCAGTTGGCCAAACATTTGGCCCGATGCGAAATATTTTAGAGGCATAAAGTTTTTCATCTTGGCACATAGGTCCCATGTCAGGGGCCAGTTCATGGCGTATTGGAGAGATTCAGCGCACATTGCTAGATCTCTTTCTGTCAAGGCCGAGGGGGATTGTATAGCTTTGAATAGGAAGGGCCGCCCGAGATGAAAGAGCGAAACACGATATCGGGTGTAAAGCAGGGCAACAACCACAGCGTCCGCTGGACAGGTGAAAGACTGATCTGGAGTGTCGTCGGAATAGTTGAGGGTCTTGGGAAGATTGTGGCGCCACTGTTCAAGCTGATGGCGCAGTTCATCGGCCAAGGTAGGAGAAGGGTTGGCGTAGAAGAGTTCGTCTCGGATTCTGCTTAGAATGATTCGATGCGCAATTTGAGCAAGAAAGTGATAGTGGTAGTAGGAATCGTCTGAATTTCTGGCCCGCGATTTGCTGACGTAAGGAAATGCGGTAAATTTGGGGAGAGGCACAATGTCTTCAAACTCCTTGAGCCTACTTGCAGGCAATTCCAATTCTTGAACAATGACCGTCTCCAAAAGAATGGCACTCCAGAACAATCTAGAATGCATGTCGGCGAGCCACTCATCATGGGGTTCGGGCGGGCACTGCCAGAATGCAGTGCAGCTTGTGGCGGCTCGTGTGGTCATCATCCACTCGTCCACAGGTCGCATGGTTTGCGCAAAAAAGACTGCCGAGGTGAGGTAGTACTGGCAGCTTTGGATGTCGCGTTCACAGAGACAAAAGCCAATCCTCCGTCTGGCTTCGTTGAAGAAGCTCAATCCGGCGATGTCCTCCTCCATGACGCGCAGGACCAAGGGGCTGAGGGATGCACGTTGAGGCACGTCGAAGCCGCCTTCCTCGAATGCCTTGAGACCCATACAGCCTAAAGTCATGACGTTGAGGACGAGACAAGATTCGATGTCATACCCAAAGCCTTCTCGAACCACCTGGGCAAGGGTACTCAAAAAATAGTAGTCACGATCGATGAAGGGGTAAACCCGGTTGAAGGTGTCGAAAAAGGCATTGGAAACTTCTTTGACGCACGACAGACCAAGGGCAGAGAGCCAGTCGGGGCCTTGCAGACCAAGCTGTGGTTGAATCGACGGGTCGAGGTGAGTTCGATCGGATTCGAAACGAGTGGGATATGACCTATCGAGAGCGGCAGTGATATCGACTAGTTTGGAAGGGAGACAATCGGTAACTCCAGGCCAATGAATGGTGCGGTGAGCACTGAAGGAGAGGACCGAAGGGGGTTTTGAGTTGGCAGAAGGCTGCCTGTGACTCTGGGACTGAGGCGACAGTACTGATGGAATTGATCTCACGGATTCAGCATGATTGGGACTAGCAGCCTGTACTCTCGCTGTAACGGGTGACTCACGATCCTCGCGAGATGGAGGAGTCTGTGTGGTTGAAGACAAGCGATCCAACTTGAGTTCCATCCGTCTCAAAGTCCCAAACATCATGCTCATGGAGACTTCATTTCTAGCGTGGGAGACGCGGTCAGAATATTGATTTGTGGGCAAGAAGGAGGACCATTGACGTACTTTGTAGGTTTCCGTTCAGCATAGGAGCAATCAAGACCTAGATCTCTGCACAATTTACAAGGGTAGTCCTCATCGCACCGGGTTTTTCTTGATCTGCAATTCTCACATGCCTGCGCAATGAGAGTCAGTGTCCATTTTCAATCTTGCCCAGGTTTCGCGATTGGGGAGGGTATGTACGTACCTGTCTGGCGATAAAATTCCGGGCCTTTTTAGACGGTCGTTCATCGTCGTCTTTGACATCATCATATGTATTAAGATGGTGGGTGATACCATTTCCGACTGGGCGACTACCTCCAGAGGTCATTGCGAAGTAAAGGAATGATTAAACTCCAAATACCAGGCACGAAAACTCGATTAAGCGGTACAAATGTTGGCTGTTATTGAAGATGAGTCGAGGGAAGAGATGAAAAAGTCCGGTGGATCCGGTATGACTCTGGCGGCTGGACCCACCACGTGGTGCACATGCACGACAGGCTGAGAGAGTCAATATGCGTGCTCACTACTCCGCAGAGAGGATCGTGGGGATATGGGCAGGGGTTGGATCATGTCCTTGTAAGGGACGAAGGTGGGTGGGTGGACGAAAGTCGGTTTCTGTCGATGACACGAACCTGGGATGCCGGCTATTCACGGATCTGTGATTGGCTCTACCAGAATGACATTTTCGGTAGGACAGCTGGGTCCAGTGAGAGTACCACAAGCTATAAGTATGGATTGTAGAAGAGGTGTCGAGTAGAGACCGATGACAATCTCATGAATAGTGAGAAATTCGACGCAGATTGTGGTACATAGACAGAGGAGGAAGGAAGGCTATGAGGAATGGGCATCGCGTATGTAGCGCCTTCCCTACGAATGGGATGGCTGTTAATGAGGCAGGTATGACGATCACATGGTCTCCCTCCTCATTCAAGATATCAACCCTCAGCAACTACAAGAGGTCCCGATGCCACTAATAATGCTCTAAGGGCGACTCACTCCATAATGGTCATGGTAGTCCAGGATGAACTCGGCGGTTCCTGCCATGATGTATACTCCCTATGAGCAAGGCTGAGAACCATGGAGAGCATAAGCTTAGACGCAAAATCATGCAAGATAATGTTCCCATGACGAGGAATGAGCCACGCACATGACATCGTCAATGCAACGGTGTTTCTGGCCAGTGAATCAGCAAAGCAATAGATGGCGACAGAGGTTGTAGGCAAGACTGCTGGATATGGGCGCAACTGCTTGCACGTGACTGCCCCTCTTAGGTAGGTTACAACTCTTGGAGTGTTGCGGTACCGCAGTTCATGCGATGGGCTTTATGTTAGATAAGACTGCTCGATGATAGTAACGTTTCATTGTTGATAACGTCCGGGTGGGAGGAAGGGCGGATGTCATGGTATCACTGAAAATCGAGGTAGCAGTGGTTCATTATTGGGCCTGTGGGTATTGGCCCTGAGTACCTAAGGTTAGTACCTAGTACCTAGGACCTACTTAGTGCCTACTAAATAATGAGTGCGGGGGAGAATTGAGCGAGGGTGTTCAGTTTTGGAAGGTTAGCTTACTTGACGCTGGCAGAAGGCAGGTCAAAAGTCCAAGTTATATATTTGCTCGTAGCAATCTGTGTAGCTAAGTAGCCAGTGCAGCTAGGTCATACAGACTGGCCCAACACAATGGGCCCAACACCATGAGAGTGAGTATACGTTTGGTTGGAAGCCATTCTTGCGGGCATGGCTTTCAAGTCCTGCGCCATTAACGCTTAACCATATTTAGCCACAGTAGTCTTGGATTCTAGGGACCAGCCACCAGCCACCCCATTAATAAATTGAACCCAAAGAGCTTGGTCCATGCTAGGCGTTAGGCTATCACTTTAGGTACCTAGATCTAGGCACCCCCGGGCCTCTTAGACCCGGGAGGCTCGAGCTAGTCAGTCGATTACGCGCGGCTTCTCCTCACTAAAGCGTCCTCAACCCAACCCATTTCAATATTTATCGTCCACAATTTGATGTCACGGTAGCAATTGATTCGACTCTCAGATTCCTCCCTCATCTCTCCTCACACTTTACTCTCAGAGATGCACTGTTCACATGAAGGTTCCCACATCGCTAGATCGTGAGCTTGACTCGAGTTACATCAGATGCTCGATCTAGACACCACTCACTCACGGTAACTTTTGGTTGACCATGACCTCGTGGTCGGCCACCACCCAGGTAGGCGATGGTCAAGGTGGTATACCGTTCACTCGTTTTCGGTGGTGGTCTTGTCACTTCACCACTGTTTGCTTCGTCGAGATGATAATCCACTCGTTCGCACATCATGGTCCTTGCTTCGTTTCTGAAATCTGGCCCTGTGTTCCCTTCCCCCATCTCCTCGTTGCTGCTCATCCAAGATGTTGACCTTGGTCCAACTTACTTGGGCAATTGCCATCGCATCAAGCAGCCTCTCCCACTTGGTTCAAGCCGTTCAGGTCAACCCTCTACCAGCTCCTCAGAACATTACCTGGGGATCCTCGGGCTCAAAGTCCATTGCTGGCTATTTGGTATTGAATGGTCCGTCTTCACAGATCGTCGACGACGCTTGGTCGAGAGCTTGGAATACCATCACCACCCTGCAATGGGTCCCAGCTGCAGTAGAGGCTCCCTTCCCTTCATTCGAGGCTTTTCCTACGGCGACTGCTGCTCCTTCCAGGGTCAAGCGGCAGAATTCATATCTAGGTCAAATCGATTTGACCATTGAGGATCTGGAAGCCGATCTTGAACTTGGTGTGGACGAGTCTTACACTCTGGACATCACGTCAAGTTCTACCTCAGTCAACATCACCGCAGCAACTGTTTGGGGTGCTCTCCACGCATTCACAACCTTGCAACAATTGATCATTTCAGATGGTCATGGAGGCCTACTCATCGAGCAACCAGTATCCATCGTTGACCATCCTAATTACTCCCACCGTGGAATTCTTATTGACACAGGTCGCAACTTCATTAGTCTGAACAAGATCCAAGAACAGATAGACGGCCTTGCACTGTCCAAACTCAATGTCTTGCACTGGCATCTGGTCGATTCGCAATCATGGCCCGTCCAAATCGATGCCTACCCTGAGATGGTCAAGGGTGCGTACTCGACCAAGGAGATCTACTCTCACGACGACATACGTGGAATCATTGCCTACGCTCGAGCCCGCGGCGTACGAGTCATTCCCGAGATTGATATGCCAGGCCATACTTCTGCAGGCTGGACAGACATCGACCCCGACATTGTCACTTGTGCCAATTCATGGTGGTCCAACGATGATTGGGCTTTGCATACCGCAGTGGAGCCCAATCCTGGTCAACTGGACGTTCTCAACAACAAGACCTACGAGGTGGTTGCGAATGTTTACCACGAAATTTCTACTATCTTCACAGACAAGGTCTTCCACATCGGCGGTGATGAAGTGCACTCCAACTGTTTTAACTTCAGCTCTCTGACTCGTGAATGGTTTGCTGCCAACGAGTCTCGCTCGTACAACGAACTCCTTCAACTTTGGATGGATAAGAGCCTCCCCATTTTCAACTCGGTGCCTGACCGCCGTCTTATGATGTGGGAAGACATTGTCCTGGCCACTGACCATGCCACCAATGTCTCTAAGGACATCATCCTGCAATCCTGGAATAACGGTCTCACCAATATCCAGAACCTCACCTCGCAAGGCTATGACGTGATTGTATCCTCGGCCGATTTTTTCTACCTCGATTGTGGCTTCGGTGGCTGGGTACCTAATGATCCCCGGTATAACGTCCAAGCCAATCCTAATGCCACGGGTCCTCCCACTTTCAACTATCTGGGTCCTGGAGGATCGTGGTGTGCTCCATACAAGACATGGCAACGAATCTATGACTACGACTTCACGTTGAACCTGACTGATAGCGAGAAATCCCACATACTCGGCGCCGAAGCTCCATTGTGGTCCGAGCAGGCCGATGATACCGTCATCTCATCCAAGATCTGGCCCCGGGCCGCCGCCCTGGCCGAGCTCGTCTGGTCTGGCAATCGAGACCCTGCCACGGGCATCAAACGCACCACCCAATTGACTCAACGCATCTTGAATTTTCGAGAGTACCTCGTGGCCAACGGGATCCAAGCAACCGCACTGGTACCCAAGTACTGTCTACAGCACCCTCACGCCTGCGATCTATACCAGAATCAGACCATTATGGCCGATTACTTTGTCGCAGGCTGAAAGTCTTGTGACCGTCTGATGGTCAAGTCCTTGGTTGACTTGTTTAATGCGGGTGGTGTATATTGGATAGGAGGAATTGCTGCGGCGTCGCTCAGCTTACGAAGAAACGTAGTAGTACAGGTGACTGAGGTTGAATATCGACCGACGTAAAAAGCATGCATACATCCGCTGCATATAGCTAAGGCCCGACGCTGATCATGCTACCCTCATAGTCCATGAAATACGAAATTTGATCCAACACCAAATGAGAACCTGGTCGACCAGACCATAGAGCTATACGCCAGGCTCGCACGCATGCTCCCACGTGACCATCAATCAATCGAAGAAATGTGTTGGTACAGCTTCGACACGCCTACTTTTGCCATGATTGTTCCCTTTAGAGTTGCCAACATCGTTATGTTTCCTGACTGGTAGTACCGCCAGGCACACCTGGCCACGCAGCAGTGCTTGGGCTTTTATTTCTGGTTTTCCCCATCCTTGAGCTTCCCTTGCTCCTCCAAGCGGGTTAACTCCTCGAGCGCCTCGATTGCATCATCGTCGTCGACTCCTTCAAATTCTTCTGTGGGTGATACTTTGTTGACGTCTTGCTTTTCTGGCACAGTGCTCACGACAGCCGCTTTCTTGTCCGACTGCGCGCTATTCTCGTGGGTCTTGTCCTTGTTGTGGCCGTTGATCCCCTCCCCCGACTTCCCCTTGTCCTCACCTGGTCCACCGTCACTCTTGACAGCAGCCACCGGCTTAGGCACATTCAGATCCCAGTTGATCCCCGCCCCCTCGCCGTACCTCTGCTCTAGAAACTCATTACACTTGATGAAGTGACCGTTGTTGAAAAACCCGGGTGGTTTATGTGCCGCCAAGGGGCTAGGATGGACGGATTTCAGAACCAGGTGTCGAGCACCAGAAATGCCGCTGCAACGTTTCTGAGCCGGGGATCCCCACGCAAGAAACACCACGCCCTGAGTCCGTGTCTTCACCACGATGTCAATGACCTTTTGCGTGAATTTTTCCCATCCACGGCTGTTATGGCTGTTGGCCTGCCCCGCCCGCACCGTCAAGCATGTGTTGAGGAGGAGCACCCCTTGGTCAGCCCAAGGTGTCAGAAGACCTGACCGACCCGGTGGCGGACGGAATGACGGGTAATCGACCGCGATGGCTTTGTAGATGTTGGCGAGGGAGGGCGGTGCAGGGGTCGGTGGGAGAACTGAGAAACAGAGGCCGTGAGCTTGATTGGGGCCATGATACGGATCTTGGCCCAAAATCACTGCGCGGACCTTGTGGAGAGGACAATGTCGAGACCTGAATGAATCATCGGTTAGTTTCTAACGTGACAGTGTAGATTGAGGTATGACATGTTGATGCCGTCTCATGCCATGATAGAATCAAGCCATACCAACTATAAACCAAATCCATGGGTGGATAGATCTTCTGGGTGGCCACCTCCTTCTGGAGATACCTCTTGAGATCGAGAAACTCTCGAGAAACGATCTCATCCTTTAGCACAGCCAGCCAACTTTCGTCCAAGGTGTCGATCTCGAGCTGCAACAGACTTTTTTGCTCTGAATTCAAGCCAGCGAGCCATTTCTGTTTATCGAACTTGAGCGTAGCGGGTGAGCTTGACGAGGACGTAGTTGATGAAGGGTTGGAGGGAGTAATCTTCGGGGCGCCGAAGAAGGAGGTCAGGTCGGCATTTTTCTTGGGCTTCTTGCTTGCGTCCCCTGTGGGTGGCACGGCGGCTTTGCGCTTGAGTGACATTCGGAAAGACGAGACTTGGATTGGTCGAATCGAGGTCGGAGATGGTAGTGGATGTACAGAAAAGGTCAACAAACGGCGGCCTTGGGCGTGGAGCCTGAGCATGCGTAGAGCCTCCTTGAAGTTCCGTATTCCTACTTGTTCATCAATCCATTCGATGCTGCGTCTGACTCTTGCTTCCACTCCCAGCTGACGTCGTCTGTTTTATGTGTGAAAGATGACATAAAGTCTTGTGTAGGAAAGGAAGCGCGAGAGTGGCGCGTCGGCACGTCATGACCGCGGCCGTGACTCGCGACGCGTTTTTATTGGAAGCTTGGAAGCAAGATTTACAATTGAACATTGGACACGTGACACAAAGACAACAACACCTTTACTCGCAGCTGGTCAATGAACAATTAATTCCTTCATCACAACCCGAGTTCTGATCAGGTCTACACGCTCAACCGATGGCCGATGGTCTTGAATTGCGTCGCCATCGATCCTCAACACTGGCAGATTCCCATCTGCGCTGCATGGATTGTGTCCTCCACATAAGGTACCCTCTCGGAAATCTCCCCACTTGCGGTCGTCCACGGATTCAAAAAAGGGTATCATGCATAATCATAGTATTAATTGTCGATACATTAGGCCAATGCTCTATTGAAATCCTCGCTGAGATCCATCTGTGCGCCATCGAACATTGATGGGTACTGAGATCAATCGAGGGTGATGGGATTATCTTGGTTGTTTGGAGCATTGGCTTTGCCCGTAGATTTGTTGGGCATTGGACGTCCCTGAGACATGTTGGGTCGTTGGTTTTGTAGTGGTTGCTGCTGGGCTGGCTTCATCACCCCATTCGGACCAGCCCCAGGAACTTGCATCTTTCCCCCAGACCGGCCTTGACCTTGACTGGCTGTTGTAACATTAGCTGGGTTCTGAGATTTGGCCTTGGCTCCTCCAGCAGAAGCATTGCCACCAGGTCCTTGCTTCACACTTGATTGGCTCGTTGATTCCGGCCGCACCGGAGTGCTGTTCGCTTCCTTGACGAACGTGCTCAGAACGTCGTGAACCGCTGACAGCAAAGGTTCTGGCTGATCGGTCAGACATGCTGCAGCATTATCCAACGCGAGCCACGGCTTAGGGGGATCGGTCAAAGTCAACACCTCTTGTCTAAGTTTGTTTCGGAGAGCAGTGGCTGAAAAGGATGGCCGGGCATAAGCTTGGAACTCCTCTAATGCCGGTCTCACCATCCACATCGTTTTTCTAGTCCTGTCTGTATGAGGTAGAATTTCAAGTCTTGCGATGAGACTCGGTTGTTGGTCCGACCCAATGTCTTTGGCCGTCTGCGGCAGGGTCGCAAAATATTGAACGGCAAACTGATGTACTGTTCTTGCAAGGATATGAACTCTCAACGTATCGTCCTTCTCCGTACTTGGCGTCTCACCGACAGCACCGTGTCTCTTTTGCAGCTTGTGCAGGAAAGAGACTACGGGATATGACATCATTAACGATGTGAACAGATCTCGGATCTTGGTCGAAGTTGGTCCATCATCCATGGCCAGAATTTTGGAGTATGGTGACGCTAATAGGGCATGTGGATTATCCCCAGGTGGTGAGAACTCGAGTCGAGGGGGCTGGCCATTGCTGCCCAAGGAAATTCGGACCGAGAGCTCCTCGGTATCAGAGGCTTTGTAATAGGAGACACAGACCCCTGAAGAAGAGAGTGATTCCAGTTTGACCCCTGGGAGATGGCGGATCTGCTGAATGGTCGATATCAAAGTTTCCAGGCGAATTGCAGTCGTCACAATGGTGGGGATGGCCGTATCCGAGACGGCCGACGTCGCCCTGATTGTGACAGAACGCTCTTCGGGATTCAGTAACACGTTTTCGTCAAGTGACGGGTCGACAAGTTGGCGCAACGTGTTTGTGCTTGCACTCGTATCCATCTTGGCGATGAAAATTGCTTCTTTGCTAGATGGGTCAACACCCTCGAAGCGAATGTTGATGACATTTGCAGCTGTCCGAGCTCGATCGCGAGAGACTCCAGATGCATCTCTACTTGAGCTGGTGGCGGTACGTGGCCGTGCCCAGTCCAAGGGAAAGGATATCTGAGGAAGCCCAAAAACATCACCAAAGTCTGGAATTCGCGGTAGTTGGTACTTGTCTGTGAGTTTGGCAAGATAATCCGCGCTGCGACGCAGAGAAATGAAGCCAGTTGTATAATCTGCCAGGCGTTCAAAGTAAGCAGGGGTGAGCTCCTGGTTGACATCGATCCGCTGTGAGAGGATGACGGAAAAGTGAGTGGACACGTGGGTCTCTGGATGGCTGATCTGGCGTAATAAGCGCCAAAAATCCCCGTTGTGAGCGTGAGTAATTGCCAGGAAGTAGTCCGGTCCCCACTGAGGCTGTCGAAGCATGTCAAGTTTGACAATAGGACCACCAAACAGAGACTTGATTTCAACCTGGGTAAACTTGAAGGCGCGCATAACCTCCCATCGGGTGCCCACAACTGCGGCAAGAACGACTGATTCCATAATGCTGGCACGAAAGTTGAGTAGTTTAGTGGAGATGTCTGAGGCCAGTGCTTGTGATCGGTTGACCTCGAATTGCAATCGTTCGCTCTTTTCCGACACTGGGCTGGTGACGATCGATCCTGTGACAGGGTCAATCCTGAGATCAAGGTAGGTTGACCGGAAGAGTTGCAAGGTGAGGGAGCATTCATTGGGATCGGTATATGATAATCTTTGCTGGACACACAACTCGGCGTTGGAGAATAGCGGTGTCAATAAGAGGCTGTTGTAAATGTCGTCAATGACCAAGGTAGAATCTTGTGCAACAACTTGACTCAGAATGTCTTCGAAACGGAGCGTCGACTGAGTGACGTTGAGAGCGAGATTGTGGACTTTCTTGCCTTGGCGCATCCATTTGATGTCGAGATATGGAAGGTCGGGGACCGGTGACATGGCGCTGGGTTGTCGGCCGCTTGATATTCCCATCTCGATCCAACTTTTGTAGTTGGGTTTTTCTGTCCAATACTGTACTATCAAATTACGTCGGATAACCTCGACACGCAGATTGCCAGCCCAGTGGGTGCGACTCAATTCGACGGCCTGTTTTTGGTAGGCGGCGAGTTTGTAAGAAAGGGCCAGTTCATGTAGAAAAAGGAAGCAGCCTTGAATGCCGTCCCGGTCAATGTTTGAATTAGAACACAATTCGATTTCGGAGCGCAGATTGTCGGAAAGTTTTGGGGCGGGAGAGAAAGTGAGGCGAAAGTCGACTATGCGAAATGGAGAGTCTGCAGAGTCGTCTAGGATGGATAAATCCAATTCAAACATGTCTGGCACGGTGAAAGTGACCCTGCCGTCATGAACATGGTATGACTTGAGCTGAGGAGGCAGATTGTCGATCAGAGCAAGTTTGACAGTGAGCTTGCGATTCAGAGATTTTAACAGGGACAGAATCTGTTTGTTGGAAAGAGGTTTCTGCGGAACATAGCCGAAGGTCGGGAGATGTGCAGAGCGGCCGGTGGAAAGGATTTCAGCGGCGGTTTTTAGGTCAGGGTTTGGCAATTGGAATCCGGCAGCTTCTTGTCTGAGGATGGCGGCAGCGGCAATAGTGTCCCAATAGGCCTGGCGTTGTCGCATCAGCCAGTAATTAATGGAGATGGTCTTTGCAACATGATCGACATTCTTGCTCCAGTCGAGGAGCACGGCAAGCTTGATGAAATCGTTCCTCTGGTCGTAACAAAATCGCATCAAACGCTCCTTTTTTTGCAAGTTTGCGTCGGATTGATTGTTGATATGGCCGTTTGGCAGAGGTCTATCTGGATCGGTTCGGTCGGGGACTTGGATAGTGGCCAGTTGCTGAACAAGACTAGAAAGTCCATTCCAACAAGACTGAGTTGCGCGATTGATCAGCGTTGCGACAGGCAAGTAGCTGTCTCTTGGGACGAGTTGAAGAATGTCCTGCGGCGCATCTAGGAGAGGGTCTGAAAGTTTTTCTGAAGCGGGCACGGAAACATTTTCAGACTTGCGAGGGAGATCACCGTTCGGGCGTGACTGCTGGCGACCGGGGGAGATCGCGGCAACAGGGTGTGGAGATTTTTCATTCTTTATTGACGGGGAGGAATGAGCGGTGTCAGAGGCAGTTCGTTGAAGACCGTTGAGCACGCGGTCGCCATTTACTGTAGGCCTTTCGCCGTTCCCGTTCATATTGAATTAGAGGGGGATAGCAAGTTCTGCATGGCCGGCAGAGCAAAGAAGGAGGGCCGTGTCAGGCGAGGAAGTGGCGTGTCGTAGCAGGTCCAGGGTATTGTTGTCGCAGACCAGGCAATGGTTGAGTAATTTGTCGGGCGTCGTATGAATGGGGCGGTGAAGCGACAGCAACGACACGAAGGATGTTGGTACAAAGGGTGCGAGGGTATATCAGCGTGTGGGATGTGTTGTGATGGTGTTCTTTGTGGATTTGGCGAATGAGGCGCTGGTGCGGACAGAGGTGGAGTGCAAGTTTGGCGCTCGGTTGTGGTCGAGACTCTGGGCAGGTGGGTTGGGCCTGATGGATGCGATCGCGATGAAGTAGTAGAATCGAGGGTCGACTATCTGTGATGGTGAAATTGGAGGGGACGGTCAAAGTGCGAGGGCGAGGGCGAGAAACGGGAGGTGAGTGAAGAGGTTGGATAGAGAGTGGAAGAACAAAGCGAAGATCGAAGATCGAAGATGAAGGGATGGAGGATGGAGGATGGAGGATGAATGGACGGGGAGGATGAATGGACGGGGAGGATGAATGGACGGGGAGGATGAATGGACGGGGAGGATGAATGGACGGGGAGGATGACACGCGCGGCAAATGAAAAGACAAGGCAAGGCAAGCATGGGCAGGAAGGAGCCTCTGAGGAGCTTCAGAGAAGCAACAAGCGCAGACAAAATGCAGCAAACCAGCGTAACAGCAGCGTGCCAGGCATGCCAGGCATGGCAACCAAACCGAGCAATGGCCCGAGGCGCCCAGGCTTTGACTGTTTGGCCCGCTTGATCGCTTGATCGCTTGATCGCTTCATCGACACCAGCACCATCGCCTGAGAGCCGTCTTCTCCCCAGGTGGAGCCCGAAGCCCCAAGTACCCACGGCACCTACCTACAGAGTACGGAGTAGGTACCTAACGACATGTCTCTCTGTTTGTCCGTACCTTAAGGTAGGTGCCTACTTGTGAATTTACTACCTACCTACCTAAGGTAGGTAGGCTAAGGACGTAATTACAGGTATCGCTAGGCGGCTATTCGACGTTATCATAGGCTCGGTCAGAGTCCCCGAGAGGTACCCAGGTAGGTACTAAATGTAACCACTACTATGCCCATACATCTTCAGTAAGGTACCTAACGTTCCTAACTTCCTACGGTTTCCTGCCATTCTTTACTCATCTTTGCCTCAGAGTTTAGAGTGGAGTCACGTGCCCGTCAATAGGTGGTGCTGCTATTCACACTACTTAACCTTGCTACTTAGGTACTTTTAGTGCCACTTTCTCCGCCTCGAAACACGAGCCAGCAGGCAGCCCGCTCTGCCTGGGGACTCTTACCCCAATGACCTCACCTTTGACAATCAGACTCACACATTCACACCTCACTGAACTAACTCATTAGGCAACTCAACGCTGTTGTGGTGGTGGCCAAACGGGGTGGCTTCACACCTTGACATTTGTCACTCTATTAATCCTTTCCTCTTCTCTTTGGAGACGGTCAACAACTCCTCAGCTCAATCTTACACTCATTGCCACCCCTCCTACAATGTCCTGTCCACACGTCCATTCCACAGACCTCAACCCTCCCAAGTCCTCCCAAAGTGTCTACCGAGAAGACTGTACCCAATGCTTTGACTCGCAGGACGATGAGGCTGGTATCGATGTCTGTCTAAGCTGCTTCAACGGCGGCTGTGCGGGCGATCGAAACCATTCCCTCTTCCACCACACAACATCCTCCCATCCCCTCGTACTCAACATCAAACGAACCCGAAAACAAGTTCAAAGAGACGAACCTCCTCCGAAGCTCACAAAATTGGCCATTGCAGCTGAAACAGAAGATGACAAATATCAGACGACCACCTTGGTCAAGTGCTACGCATGTGGCATCCAGGACGTTGACAAGACCACCGGCAGGCTCCCTCTGGTCGTAGACGCGGTTCTCAATGCCATGACATTTGCCAAACAAGAAGAGATCAAGGCCTGGGAACAAGAATTTACAGCCTGTGAACATACTCTGTATCTTGACCAACAAGACGGTCGGGAAATCGAATCTCAACATCTTGGAGGCTGTTCGCAGTGTGATCTGAAGGAAAACCTATGGCTGTGTCTCGTCTGCGGTAATTTGGGCTGTGGGAGAGCTCAGTTTGGTGGTGTTGGAGGCAATTCTCACGGTCTGGCCCATGCGACAGAGAGTGGCCATGGGGTTGCAGTCAAGCTAGGCTCCATTACGCCAGAAGGTACTGCGGATGTGTATTGTTACCTCTGCAATGAGGAGAGAATCGACCCCGAACTCGCGTCTCACCTTGCACACTGGGGCATCAACATTGCCGAGCGGGAAAAGACCGAGAAGAGTTTGATGGAAATGCAAGTTGAACAGAATCTCAAATGGGATTTTTCCATGATGACAGAAGATGGGAAGGAGTCGACCCCTCTGTTTGGGCGAGGTTTCACAGGTTTAAAAAACATCGGCAACACTTGTTATCTCGCCAGCACCGTGCAGTGCTTGTTCTCCTTGCCCGCCTTTCAACAACGCTATTTCCACCCAGACCAGCCTCCTCCTGTCACCACTCTCCCCGCTGAGGATCTCGAAACTCAGTTGCGCAAGCTGGCCGATGGCCTTGTATCCGACCGCTACTCCCGTCCAGAGACAAACGAGCAAGTAGGGGTCGATGATTCAGACACTCCCCATCAAAAGGGTCTGTCGCCGGCCATGTTCAAACATCTGATCGGCCGGGGCCATGAAGAGTTTTCCACCATGCGCCAGCAAGATGCTTTTGAGTTTTTGCTTCACCTGTTCAAGCTCATCCACGTGTCGAATAACGCTGATCTCGAGGCTGACCCGGTTCAGTCCTTTCGATTTGTCCTCGAACAACGATTACAATGTCTTAATTGCAAACGAGTCCGTTACCGCACAGATGAGCAAGACAACATCTCCATCCCGGTCCCGGTGCGGCGCAAACAAACCAGTGCAGGAGAGGCCCCCCTTGGGGACGATTCAAAGGGTCTTGAGTTTGAGGCAGTCTCGCTGAAAGAATGCCTCGACATCTTCACATCATCAAGTACGGTCGAGCTCACATGTCCTTCGTGCGGTTCCAATTCCGGTTTCTCCAAACAGTCCAAGTTCAAGACATTCCCCAAGAACTTGGCCATCAACCCTCTTCGTTTTGAGATTATTGGTTGGGTCCCCACCAAACTGGATATACCGGTCCTGGTTACAGCGGAGCCTTTTGATCTGAGCCAGTACAAATCTACTGGGCTCCAGCCAAATGAAGAGGAGTTGCCAGAGGATGCGAATGTTGGAGGTAGTGTGGGTGGCCCGGCAGCATTTGTCCCCGACGAGGCAGCTCTTGGCCAATTAGAATCGATGGGATTTCCAAGGGTCCGATGTGAGAAAGCTCTCCATGCGACAGGCAATGCCGACGCAGAAGCGGCCATGAATTGGTTGTTTGCACACATGGAGGATGCCGACATTGACGAGCCTCTGAATCTGGGAGGAGGAGGCGCTGCGAGCACAGGCGCATCTAGCGATGACGCTGATAAAATTTCGCAACTGGGAGACATGGGTATCAGTGTACCGCAGGCACGAAAAGCACTTCGAGAGTGTAACGGCGACGTCAACCGAGCACTAGACTGGGTGTTTAGTCATCCAGATGATCAGGGGGATTTTGGAGAAGAGCCTGGCGCTGTTGAACCTGCGAAGCCAAAGGCACTGCCGGGCATCGCGGACACACCTGCCAAGTTTGAATTGCAAAGTGTGGTGTGTCACAAGGGCAGGAGTATACACGCGGGCCATTACGTTGCGTTCATTCGCAAGGCGATTCCTGGACAAGGAGAGGAAAAGCAGTGGGTGTTATTCAACGACGAAAAGGTGGTCAAGGCGGTGGATGTGGATGAAATGTTGAGGCAGGCCTATGTCTACTTTTTCTCCTTGCTTTGAGGCGAGAGGGATGATGATGAACATGGGACTCGAAACACATAGACACTCTCTGATAAACTCACTCGGAGACTTAGATACAAATACATTGATATAAGGTATCCAACTTCGGACTTCCTATGTGGTTGGCGAGTTTAGAACCCACCTGGTGAGGGTCCTGGTGAGGGTCCTGGTGAGGGTCCTGGTGAGGGTCCGAATGCGTGAGTCGAGTGACAAGACTAGGAGTTCGGATACTTGATACTTTGAAATACTGCATGGTGGAGGTGAGGTGAGGTGATGTGATGTGATGTGAGGTGAGGCGAGGTGCCTGCGCCATCCCGTTTTACTGTTTTACTTAGCGCAGACACAGCAAGTCGTACGGAGTCCGGAGTCCGGAGTACGGAGTACGGAGTAGGTCGTGACTGCCTTTTACCCTACGGAGTACTTGGGACTTGGGCATCTTCCTTCCTTTGGAGAGGAGGGGTTGTGCCTCGGCTCCACGTGACTTGGATGCAATGATCTCATCCGCGCCTGCCTCTTGTCGTGTCTTTTCTCGTTTGGCTTTTTTTTTTGTTGTTTTGGTGGGACAAATTCAGACATGCGAGTTTGTGGTTGACCAAAGATCATAATCAACCTTGACATTCAGACTTGGTCCAATATCTCTTTTCTCTCCTCTCATTCCCTCTGCTCTTCATCTACAACCAAGTCAACATTCTTCTCAGCCCATTTATCCACAAAAGTTGCCAACTTGCCTCATAGCTGCGCCAACTACCCAGTTATAATCATCCACTTTGTTGCAACCCCACTGGATCTTCATCCACCAACACCTCCCACTTTGGCTTGTCCGTGTGACCCAAAGCCAGCCACTCAACCCTGTCAACTCAACTCCACATTCGGTCCCTCAGGTCGACTTGATCTTTTATATCCTGCGTCGTCAACGTCAACTTTCAGTCCTCACCACTCACATGTTTGCGTAAATCGCCCTCGACCTACGTCGTCCGTCCTCTTCCTCCTCAACTTTTCTACCCATTGCCCGTCCTCAACGACCAGCAATCTCCCGCCCTCATCGCACTCACCTCCCTCGTTCCGTTTTCTCTCACCGCCGCCTGATCCTCCCTCTTTTCCATACCCCTCCTCTCACCATGTTCTTCCTCCTCCGCTATTTTCTGTACTTTCTGGTCGTCTACCTCCTCACCACCATGATCACCTTCCTCCCAAACCCACCCCGAATCCTCGTTTTTGTCGCTCGCAGTTTGACAGCTTACTTCAACCTGGTCATCTGTGCAATCTACGGCGTCATCGCCAGCGCCATCCTCAAATCTCTGGGCATTCACTTCAAGTATGCCTTCTGGACTACCGCCCGCGCTTTCAAGTGGATCAATATCTTCTCAACTGGCGTCAGATTTGACATCTTGGACAATGGCCGCCAAATCTTGGATTCCAATCGCCCTGCCGTCTTCGTTCTGAACCATCAGACTGAACTCGACGTCTTGTTTCTAGCTTGGATGTGGCCTAAACACTGCAGTATAACCGCAAAAAAGTCTCTCAAATCAATGCCTTTTCTCGGTTGGTTCATGGTCGTCGCCGGCGCCATCTTCATCGACCGGGTGGACCGTTCCCAAGCAATGAAGGCTTTTGATGGTGCTGCCACGGCAATCCGCAGCAATCGACAGAGTGTGGTGATATTTCCCGAAGGTACCAGAAGCTACTCCAATGAGCCCATGTTGTTACCATTCAAAAAGGGTGCTTTTCACCTCGCTGTTCAAGCTGGCGTCCCTATCGTTCCTGTTGTCGCCGAGAACTATTCCAGAGTTTTGAATATCAAGGCGAGAAAATTCTACAGCGGCACCATTAGAGTCAAAGGTATGGAGTGCACATGCTATCCTTTGACCTCTCCTCACCCTTCTGAGTACCGCTAACCACATGTCATCTTCTTAGTCCTCGACCCCATTCCTACCAAAGGTCTAACCGCCTCTGATGTCGATGCCCTGACCAGAGATACTCGTGAAAAGATGCTCCAAGCAATCACCGAGCTGGCACAGGATCCTGACTCGAAAGCCGTCGATGCAAAGAAGCGCTCATAGGATCGTAATTTGTCCCTCCAGCCGTCTTCAATTCTCCCATCAACCTGCTCTCCAGGCCGATGGCCTGTTGCAGCTTTGCATGTGTCGGCGCGTATTGAGAAGACACTTGTCGCTAACCAGCCCTGAGGACTGCCTTTTTGGGATTGGTGAACCCATGACCCAGGATCCCGACTTCTCGTGTCGCACACCGGAAAGCCACACAGACATGCCGCTGTCTTTTAAAAGGCCACGTCTGCTCCAAGCACGAAACGCCGCCTCAGCCGTCAATACGCAGTCTCGACGTACAATATGACAGTATGCTTCCTGAGTACCTGTCGTTCGTTCGCCTGTGTACAGTCCATTCGAATTGTCAGGGGCATCCTATCACCTTCTGACGCCTTTTCCGGTCAAGAAGGTCATACAGCTCTTCGCTTACAACTTTTCGCTTTCGTGGGACGTGGACTCTCTTCTTCGCTACAAAGATATTAAAGTAAACAAGGACCTCTGAACCTGCGAAGAAACGGACAGGGGAAACCCTGTAAACATGAGTTAGGCTCCTCACTAGGCTGAAATCTCGAGATTCTTGGAATGCCTATGCCCTACCAACTCAACCCATCGACCCAAGAAAAGACCTACAGGGGAGGATGGTCGGCCCGCATCATTGACTTGTCGGACCCAAAACCGTTGGTATACTCATCGTGGCTACCGGAAAAGAATGCCTCACATTGCTTTCTGTACCCTGAGGGCGGGTCAGCAAGTTCAGATTGACTAAAGAACAAAGCAAGAGGATTGGCACGCCATCTGAGGGTCAGCCCGTCGAGTTATTGTTAGATTCTAGATCTGTTAGCCTTGTTATAGAGGCCCAGTGGAGAATGCAGAGGGACATGAATCGCCCCTATCATTACCTGAATGGTAGCTCTAGTCTACGTGAACCTATCACTCAATTCAATTGTCCAAATATTTGGAACTTCTCATTTGTATCTCGAAGTCTCCTCCTATCTTCGTCAAGGCACAGCGGTCTAACTAGTCTATGGTACCTTTGACGGGTGGGTGGCTTCATCACGCCCTCCCGCCCCGAACACAGGTCTGGGTCCTGGTGTCACGACTCTTCAAACGGCCGGACTGAGAGACCCTCTGTGATCAGGTGGTCTTTGACTTGTGATACCGTGTATTCGCCTCGGTGGAACTGTGATCAACTGTTAGTTTCCAGAGCGAAACAAGACCAAGACGAATAAAAGAGCATGGAGTACTCTGCTCTGCTGGCGGCACCGTCCGCCACTACCATTATTGCAAGGGAAGCAAAAAGGCAATGGCAAAAAAGAAAAGGGTGTCACTCACCATGCCAGCGCCCAAGGCCGCATCGACAGCAGTCATTTTGAACACTTCGGCGAAATGACTAGGCCGCCCAGCTCCTGAACTCGCAATCACCGGAATCTGCACTTCTCGTTTCACCCAACGAATTAATTCCAGATCGTATCCCTGGTTCTGCCCGTCGCGATCGATCGAGTTCAACAAAATCTCGCCAGCCCCCATCGCTTCCACGGCTCGCACCAGTTGTACCACATCCAGGTCTCGGGTCTCGCGGCCTCCCCGGATGGTACATGCATAGTAGACGTAGGCGTGACCAGTTACGGGATCCGGATGGTTCGTTTTAATGGTTTGATGGCTCGTAGACGTCGGATCCTCGACAAAGACGCGTTTCGGGTCGACACTGACAACGACGGCTTGACGACCGTAGGCGGCGGAAATGGCCTCGATACCTGTTTTGCCCGTCAATTGGGAGTCATTGGCATAGTACTCTTCGGCGGCCAACACCGCATCGGATCCGATCGAGACCTTGTCCGCACCGGACGAGAAGTAGAGTTTGGCAATGTCGAGGGCGCTGTACTGCTGCTTGGTCACGGGGTCGACCGTGTCGCGGATCCCGCCTCCTATAGTCAAGGGGACGAAAACAGATTCGCTGGTTAAACGGAGGATCTCCAGCATAGGGAGGTCTTGAACAGGACAGTCGCGGAAAGAGGTAATGTTGAGGAAGGTCACCTCATCGGCTCCCTGAAGATAGTATTTGCGGGCCATGTCAACAGGTTTGCCCATGTTTCGAACACCCTTGGAAGATGTCTTTTCTCGGACATCGTATTGGTCACCTTTTGTCACCACCAAGTCGCCAGAGTCGTTGGTGCGGACATCGAGACAGGCTATCACTCGATGCGTCAGCCCATTGTTCTTGGAAAGCGTCGACAGTGTGAGATCGTGGGGCATGGTGGTTAGGATCGGAGGAGGAACAGGGTCCGTCCACATGGCCCCGTCTAGGAATGCCTGAATGACACGCAGACCCGCTGCGCCCGACTTCTCAGGATGAAACTGGGTGGCAAAGACGTTGTCTCGCCCAATCGCACCGATATATTCTTCACCGCCATATGAAGCCACGGCAACAGTCCATCCTTGTGACTCGAGGACTCCAGGGACGTAGGGCGCGAAATATGAATGGACATAGTAGTATTTGCTTGTGGGGCTGAGCCCGTAGTAGGTCTTGTCCGGGATCCGCACAGCATTCTGTCTTTCATTGAGGATGGCATCATTCCAGCCGATGCATGGAACCGCTTTTCTCTTCCCCTCGGCATCTGTTGGCTGAAATTTCTTCAACGACGAAGGGATCAAGTTGAGGCCAGACACGTGAGGAGCTTCTTCGCTACCGGCAAACAATGCCTGGAGACCAACGCAAATCCCAAAGAAGGGCTTTCCAGCTTCAATGTGGGCCCTGATGGCAGGAAGATAACCTGAGGACTCTAGGCTTGATAGGCAGTGGCCAAAGTGGCCAACGCCGGGGAGGATTATTTTCTGTGAATGAAACAGGCGATAAGTTAGAGGAGGCCTTCCAAGATACAGAGGGGGAGTTATCGCGCTCAAGAGCGGCGATACGATGACCTCGATAATCTCGATAGGGCCATTGCTATTCGGCTCTTTCTTTCAGGCAAGAGAGCGGTCGCATCCCGCAATATCAAACAGCTCATGGTCACACGTCAAAAAGAGACAGACTCACCTCAGCATTCTTGACGTCCTCGGGACTTTTGATCCATTCCACCTCATAGCCACATTTCTCAATAGCATTGACTAGAGATCGAATGTTTCCCGCGACATAGTCGAGTAGGTGAACTGTTGGTCTTGACATCCTGATTGATTGGGCCGTGCTGAAAAAAACTTTGGCTTAAGCCAGTGAAAAGTAATCGCGTTTAGAGTGGGAGGCGCCTAGCGACACATCCTGGATGATCGGCGAGAAGAGTGATATATCTGTGGAATAATATTTTCAATGTCTAGACCTTGCTGTATGTTATCAAGACTTGTTCTGCTGATTCTGGAGAGAAACTGATTTTATGGTGGGTTGAGGTCAACTTCTGACCAATCAGAATTGCCGAATTGTGACTCACTCTCAACGCCGTCGAGGCATTCAAGCAGCCCGGCGACGAGATGATAGATTCAATCACAGCTTTCAGGCCAGAAGTTTGCATGTTCGACAGGGTATCGACTGCACTTGGAAATACCATGTTCCCTCGAGTGCTGTTTGAAATCGTATACATACTGACAACATCCATATCTTGCTTATGAAATTGCATCAAGAAAAAAATCTCAACCCTATAGTACAGTGCCTGCTTATGTCAGGTCTTCTCTCTCAGTCATATCTTCCTGTTCATCTGTGCTCATCGCTCGCTAAAACCAAATCTTGTTCCTACACTCGTCCTAGACAAAACCCTACTGAGTTGTTGCCCGAATAGCCTGTAAAAGCAGAGCAAAAATCAGCCCTCTGGCGACTTCCTGCACCTGAAGACAATCAAAAACACGACCCAACGCCTCGCCACTGGCTGCCTGACCCATAACGCTAGTCAATGCCTGGGGCATACCCCTCTCGACCAAGAGTTTCCTGGCTTTTATTCTCAGTGCCTCCTTTTCCTCAGCACTCAACTCTTGCGGCCACTTTGCTAGCTCTTCGGGAGTCGGTAAAGTGTTCTCCCGGAGCTTGTTGATGTGGTTGGCGAGTCCGTCATCAGAAAAGTTTGCGTCGATGACGGATTCTTGCAGCAGAATTCGGATGGATTCAATCTGTGGGTTTTGAGGACGGAGAAGGTATGTTTTGGCAGCTGACAGCAAAGACAGTCGGATTGTCCAGGCACTGGAGAGCGAGTACAGCTCCGTTAGAATGGCAAAAATCAGATCAATCGTCACACGGGTTTCTGCCTCGTCGATTGGGAGGTTCTTGCGCAAAGTCGTGCTTTTGATTTTGGCTGGTGATACATTCGGACTGGATTGGGCCAGAGCAGGAGTGCTGGTGGTGTTTGTGTTTGGAGTCATGTCATTTACCGAGGGCTCGAGAAGTGCTGATACCTCTGTTTTGGTCAATTGGTGAGGGTCGGCGGCTGTGATTGTGTCTTGCCGGCTTCGAGGGGGTGTTTCTGGTATGGCCTCTGTCAGCGTGCGAGGAACTGGCTGGTAGTCATCTGATATTTCACTGGGTGGAGGCGGGATGTTGAGTATCTCCTCTGACGGTCGTCCAGAGTTGATGCCACCAAGCATGGATGATGACCGAGATCTAGGACCATTCTCACTCGAAGGAAGCCCGGACCCTGGTCGCCTAGGCAGTACAGGCTTGGCTTCGAAACTGTCACTGCTCTGACGAGCAGCTTCTGAACTGTACTTCAAACTAGACGGGGTTGCTGTATCGCTTCTTGACGACTGGGCAAATGCCCGAGAAGGAGTGGAAGTCGACTTCTTTTGCACACCTTGTCCTCCCGCGACCGCACCAAAGACGCCTGACACGCCTCCAAATACAGCCTTACCACCTCCTGCAATATTCTTTCCACCTTGACCAAGAACATTGATAAAGTTTTTCCCTACATTCTCCAGGGCGGCACCACCCTGACTCAAGACATTCTTACTTTGAGCAGGAGCCTTTTGGAGGCCTGTTTCCTTGTCCAAAAATGTTTTCATGGCAGCAGTCTCAGCGAGTGGCTCGAACTTGAGGGCAAATCTCAGGTAAGCCTCTAGGGACTGTATCAACGTGGCACTGTTCTGACCACGCCAGCTGGGTAAGGTGGGATAATGGAGCGAGAATTCAGAAGCGCTAGTCACAGGGGCAATTTTTCTCAAGGTTTCATGTAAAGGATCAAAGTCGGAGAACTTGCGGGTAACCATCCAACCCGGGAAACGTTGTGAAGCAGGCTCGATTTGCAAGAGATATTCGCTTTTGGGGGGCTGTTTGAACGTCGACTGGTCGCTGACGTCCGAGAGATCCATAATGGTGATGGTGGCATTGTGTAATGTGAGCGGAATCGCAACCATGACTTCAGTTGGTGTTGGAGCGGTCGAAACGGATTGAACGGGACTGGCAATCTCACCTAACTGGTCAAAGTTGGTAAAAGGTGGATGCTCTCTGCTTGGACTTGGATGCGCCGAAGGGAAGGCATTCCCGTCAACGTCAAAGACTAGAGATGAATCCAGCGACTGTTCAGAGCGACGATTGCGGTCACTGTCTGAAGATGATGGGGTAGCCAGACCGACATCGGTGGTCGCAACAGAGCTGGTTTCTTCCAGGTCCGAGGGTGGGAGACCCCTTTTCCTGCGTGCTTCGTCTTCCGCGATCATCTCATTGAGTCTCTGAGCTTCTCTCATGGCTTCTTCCATGGCTTCTTCCGCTTTACTGACGCGTCGACTGTGGCGCTTGGAGGAGGCGGTAGCAGTAGTGTCTGATTGCGCAGCGACCGTGGCCAGATCTCCGACGCCGGCGTCAATGACATTGAGCAGTTCGGGCTCCCCGGCTTCCAAGAGGTAGACGATCCATGTATTGATCCATTCCGGCTTCGAACACGTAGTGATGGTGTTTTCCAACAACAGCGAGGCCAGGGTTTCGCGCAGAAAGGTCCGAGCGAGTGGGAACCCATAGGCCTTTGAGTCCAAGAAATTCTGGAGGATGTCATCGGCAACGAGGTTGAGTTTTCGATCTTGCTGCTCCCTGCTGAGAACATTTGCTAAGTTGCTGTCAGGTTGGAAGTGTAAATATGTTTGGATGGCCTTCTCGGCATCCTGGTTGGAAGACGCCTTTAGCGCGGTCGACAGTTCGCTCAGAAAGACGATGGCGATCGAGGTAGAATTGGCAAGAAAGTCGAGAAAGGGGTCGGCAGGTCGCTTTCGAGACAGATGATTTGAGAAGGAGAGAATGAAACTGGTGAGGACCTGTCGGCTGCCGGTTGGGAAGGATTGGTCCTTGGGGAGCAGCGGGCTGTACCACCACTGGACATAGTCCCGGATGACGGCATCAGTGAGATTGGTTAAGGCCTCCTTTGTTTTTGGTCGGAAGCCGCTGTAGTCGAGAGGTTTCGCTGGGTCGACCTCATCAGCTACAGTGCTGACAACAGAAAGTGAATCTGAGCGAGCGTGGCGCTGATTGTCCCTCCAGTCTAGAACTCTTTTTGCAACCTCTATACCCAGCTCCTTCCTCTTGCGGCTCCCTGCGGCCTTGTCTGTATCAACGCCATCTGCTTGGTGTGCCTCCCATGTGGCATGAAGTACGACACCGCCTACGGCACCAATGAGGACCAATCCGACCCGGCCGAGGACTAGATACGTAGAAGCGCAGAGGCCGACGGCACAGGCACCGAGAGTCTCGTTGCTAGCATTTGCAAAGAACCTTAGAGTAGCGTCAAGTGCAGCTGCGGAACTCAAGGGTCGGGCGGTGGTCTCTGGTGGCGATGGCGGGACTGGTGTCGAAGGGGACTTGTTTGGAAGTAGCGCTGCTTCAGGGGTTTGGGGAGGATCTTGGTCGATGGATTCAGTTTCTGGGGTAGGGTCAGAAGGGTCGGGCATGGTGATCAAACTGGCATGATCTCAAGTCAAGGTAAGGAGTTGACAAATGAAGCAATTCAAATAGAGCATGAGAGGTCAGAGGAAGTCAGAGAAGCGTGCCATGTGAGATGCGGTTAGGAGTTGACCATAGAGAACCACAGGGGAACAAGAGTGAAGGAGCATGGAGCTGTGGAAGGGTATCTACCTGCCTTAGATACCTTACCTGTATAAACTCCTTGCTGGGGGCTAATTCTGACTTTGAGCCCGAAGGACTGCGCCGGGGTGGTCCAAGCCACTGGGTCAGGCACTTGTTGGGGGTAGATTGGGGGCGCCTCGGGCTGCTTCACAGTAATAAGCTGAAGTGTAATACTGAAGTAATCAAGTGAGGGGTGCCTGGACTTGCAGCCACCATCAGGGGCCGAGGGGCTACTAAGGTAGAGTCTCTAACCATCCCCCAAGTTTCAAATAACAGCCTACCTCAGTTAAAGTCCCTACCTAAGGTACCTTTGCTACAGAAATGGAGACATTAGAATAGAAATACACCTGCAGTAGATGGAGCTATATGTGCTCTGCCACTTCATTAATATTCAAGGTCAACAAGCAGCAAGGATATAGAGACAGTCAAGGTATTGTTGTAGAGTCGTGAAGGTGCACTCACTTTAATGCTTTAATGTGATCCATCAAGCCAACTGCAATGGACCGGGGTCCACAATGTTCGTCACCCCGCATCAAAGTCCCAATGATGCTGCAGATCCTACTGTAAATAGCGTTCCTGGTCAAAAAAAAAGTTGAAGCCCGTCAGTTTTGTTTGGGTTGAGTCTTTTGCCTGCTTGGTACCAGTTTCTCACGCATCACATTAAGGGCTCCCTTTTCAAAAGTCAAGACTTGCCCTTGCTTGTGTCGACGAAATTGAATACTTTAATATCCCTTCTCCCCCTAACACCATCCACATCTTACAATGCCTGAAGACTTGTGCTCGGCTTGTCAGGAGCCCCTCCTGATAGAAGTTGAACCAGACAGCGATGCCGAGGAGTCAAAGTCGGCTGCAAAGATCAATAGTGTTCCTGATGATGTTCTATTGAATTGTGGTTGTCACTATCACTGGTAATTCCACACAACGCCCAATCCTGTGTCATTACTCGTCTAATCTATTTCTAGGGAGTGTTTTCTAGATGCCTACAACATCACCCAATGTCCCAGTTGCGAGAAGAATATATCTTCACTGGATTCCACCGGACAACAACAAGTTCTGGTCGTCCTGAGAAACGAAGGTGGCGTGCAGACTGACTATGACATCCTACCTGCTGCTACCGAAGAGGCATATCTGCGTGCATACCCAGAAGAACGGAGAGGACATGCCTACCTAGAATTTTGTCGAGAGGGAGATATCGACGCTATTGTTCATCTGGTTCAGGATGGTCGAGAAGATGAAGAGCATGAACAAGAAGGCGATGGATCACAAGCAGAAATCGATATCTTAAGTTACCGTGGGACATTCGAAGCCGTGGACGGGACTGGTCTTCACGTGGCAATCCGACACAACCAGCAAGAGGTTGCCTGGCTTCTGTTGGCTCTCGCTTCGGAATTGGAATGGTCCAATTTCCCCCCCGCTGTGCTGGAGGCTATGAAAAATCTTGACCTGCAGAAGGAAGATAGAAGATCGCAACCAGACATTCGCACATTGGAAGATAATGATGGACGCACACCAATGGCTCTGGCCAAGGAGGTCGGAGGCATCTGGACACAATGGCTGGCCCAAGGTTGGTTGGCCCCCTCAGCCCCATGAAATGCCCAATGTCTCACTCCATAATTCTCTACACGTTCCCATAGGAGTAAGGCAGGGTGCGATAGAGATCTAAAGCTTTAGGAGTGAAGACTTTTCTCCGGTATCCGAGTGAATCAGAGGCATCATGGGAGCGAGATATGCCTGATGCAAAGAAGATTCCGGTGCTGGTGACTTGCACATCATGTGCGATCACGAAGAATGTATTTGGTGTGCGTGCCATGTGCCACAATGGATTTTTCATCGCCTTCTCCCTTGTAGATGGTGACAGTAGTGAAACCTAGGTTCCTTCCGGCTTTGCTGACATTACCCTCAATGGTCAAGGTATCATCTAGCTTCGCCGTCGAAACATACGAGACGTGAATGTCGGTGCTGAGTCCAGTCTTTTCCATTCCGGTGCTTGCGATAGCCATGCCACCCGCCCAGTCCACAATGGTGGCCGATACAGAACCATGAAGGGTCCCTTTCGAGTTGAGAAGGTTAGGGTGTACCTTCAAGCTAGCCACCATTGAGCCATCGGTGGCGCTCACAAGCACAATGTCGGAGAAGAAGAAGCTGTAGACTGGAGAATTCTGCGAGACACGTTCCCAACATGATTGAACATACTCGAGTGGTGTTTTGAGAGACGCCATGTCGAAGGAGACAAGTAGCTCCGACCGATGGAAAGGAATCTGGGGAGGCTGAACACAACGGAACGAGGGAACAGTGCAGAGTAGCGCAGTCGTTAAAATTCCCAAGAATGTGCACCGTGCGTCGACTGTTACACCTTCCAGTTGACCAACAAGCCCAGTACGCTACCGGATAAACTTCGGGCCTGGCCGACCAAAAAAACTTCCTTCGACCCTCGACAAAATTATCGCCTCTGGTTGCAGTACACAACTCGAACGACGTTTACCATTCCACGACTCGACAATCCAACATGAGCAAACATAAACTAGATGACGGCCCTCAGCTGGCTAAAGACGAAAAGAAAAGACGCAAGAAAGATAGAAAAGAGAGCCTCAAGTTTCAAGACATTACTCCCAGTTCCACAGATGCCACCGCCGATTCCACTCCTGTACCAGAGGATCAGGATCAGGATCAGGAGGCTGCAGTCTATAAACCTCACCCATCGCTTGACACTATCCCTCAAACTGACGTCGACTCCTTCTACAAAACTGAGTCAGTTCAGATCGATCATGGCTCGCACGATCCCCTCCGCCCTATCCTCTCCTTCACCCACCTTCCCACCGAGTTGTCTACACAGTTCGCCTCTGTATTTTCTACCTTTGAGAAGCCTTCTGATATACAGTCTGCTGCCTGGCCGTTTCTCCTTTCCGGTAAAGATGTAGTCGGCGTCGCAGAGACTGGCAGCGGCAAGACAATCGCATTCGGATTGCCTTTGGTGGTCCGACTCGCCAATCTCAAAAAGAAAAAAGGCATTCGAGCTGTTGTCATTGCTCCCACACGAGAACTCGCCATTCAGGTCTTTGAACAAATCACCACTCTTTGCAAAACATGCTCGAAACTCAAGGCTGCCTGTATCTACGGTGGTACCAACAAGGATGAACAACGTCGCAGCCTCAACGGAACCAATATTATTGTTGCCACTCCGGGTCGCTTGAAGGATTTCATGTCTGATGGCACTATCGATGTCTCAAAGACTCGTTATCTAGTACTCGACGAGGCAGATCGTATGCTCGACAAAGGTTTCGAAGACGACATTAAATTCATTGTTTCACACATGCCATCGGCCAAGAAGCGACAGACGGCCATGTTCACCGCGACGTGGCCCAAGTCCATCCGTGACTTGGCGTCCACCTTTATGAGGCAGCCTGTCAAGGTTACCATCGGTCGCAACGACACCGATGACAGTGGCGAATTGCGTGCCAACACCCGCATTGTGCAGAAGGTCGAGGTGCTCGACGGCGCTATGAAGCAGCAACGTCTGCTGCAGCTGCTCAAAGAGCACACCGCAGGCAAAAAGAGGACGGATCGCATCCTCGTCTTTTGCTTATACAAGAAAGAAGCCGATCGCATTGAAAACTTTATCCGCGGACGTGGATTCAACGTTGCGGGGATTCATGGTGACATGTCACAGTCGGCACGAATTGCTAGCCTGGAGGGCTTCAAATCTGGCAAAGTGAGTCTCCTCGTTGCAACAGATGTGGCTGCTCGTGGGCTAGACATTCCCGAAGTCAAACTGGTCATCAATGTTACGTTTCCTTTGACTGCGGAAGATTATGTACATCGGATCGGCCGAACCGGACGTGCGGGCAAGGATGGGCTCGCGATCACTCTGTTCACTGAACAAGATAAACCACTTGCCGGCGGACTGATTAACGTATTGAAGGCAGCGAAACAAGAAGTGCCAGAAAGCCTGATGAGATTCGGGACGACGGTGAAGAAGAAGCAACATGATAGCTATGGTGCATTCTACCGTGAGATCGATGACGGCAAGACGGCGACCAAGATTACGTTTGACGATTAATGGGGCTTGTTGAATATACCACTTGTAACGCTTGGTTCATCATGGCGCCTATTCTAGCCCTGTGGCTGTTCTGAGATACATCATTCTCGAATCCCTTTCTCACTTGCGATCCGGCTGCAAATATGGGATACGCGCCACAAGGCGAGGAGGTACAAGGTCTCGCAGGAGCTGAACCAGGAAATCGCCTTCGGTGATGACGCTGCACAAGAAATGGCTAGAATTAGTATAATTCGGGTAGAAATTCTGCGAGTAGAAAAGACAATGCGATATGACACGACATGCCGAATCATGACACACGTTTTCATCGCCTTTGAGATCCAATCACGTGCACAAAAAGTCCGAGGACACAACCCGGCCATCAAAGGGAGAGGAGACTCACATGGATGTTGCCAATAACACTGTACCCGCCCCGATGCCGCCCCATTGCTGCGATACCGACATTGACCCATTGCGATCCCACAGTATTCCATGCCCAGTGACCACGACACCGACGACACTGGCGACACAGACACTGGCAATGTTCGGACATGCATCTCTCCACACGTTGGGTGTGGCCCCCTTGCTCTCCTCGGCCCCTAACCTGGCCGCGTCTCTGTTCTCCTGGACCCAGTGCCAGACAAATCTTAGACCCCAAAACGCCCGCGCTCCCATGTTCACCGTATTGGCCAAGACCAATCCACGGGCCCCCATATCGAATTTCGAGAGGAATATCCATGCTGCACCAGCGTAGATGCAGGTGAAGGCGGCCATCCACAGGCTCTGTCTCCTCAATTGAGAGGGAGTGGCAACACTGGTGACAAATGCATCAAGGATCCCGTTGATGGCGCTAAGGGGTAGATAATAGACATAGCAGCTCAATAGAGAAGTTGTGGCAGGAGAACGCCAGGTGGGCGGGAGCAAGTAAGGAGTGAGCCACGGAAGAATAGCGGGAGCGATCGAAAGGAGAGGGAGCGTGACGAGGAGGTAGATTCGAAGAACTGTGGTCAGATGCTTCAGCGCCTTCGATTTTGAATCGTGATCTTTTGACCAAGATTTTCGCTCAGTCATGGTACTCGTTGTAGACGAGACTGGAATCGAAGACAACAGTCGCCCGAAAACATTGCGACTGCTCTCCTCGACAGGTTGGAGAACTAAGCGGGCGAGAAGACCTCCGTAGTTGGATACCAGGGCAAAGGCACCTTGGTCGGACAGGCTAGAAAAAAGTGAGAGGACAAACGCATCTCCCTGGGTGAGAAGAAGCTTGAAGACGGATTGCATATACATTGTGGCGGCGAGGTGAAGTGTAGGGATGTGAAGAAGGGAGAGATAATATGGTGAGCTAACGCTTGTTGACGGCGGGCACGTTGATGATTCGGATGAATTCGAGGTCGAGATGGGTGACATGAGACGCGGCATCAAATGAAAATGATTTTTTCTCGAGGACTGTAGGACCGGAATGAGATATAGTGTAAAGAGGATGACAGCATAGGCGGCTTGTCCGGTAGCAAAAGGAAGGATCGAGGGTGACCATCCCTTTGCACGTCCCAGCAGAGCTGTGAGACAAGCGACAATACATCGAGCCATGGCGGCCAGGGTTTCAGCTCGGGCTCTGTCTTGATATAGGGCCTCTTGCTGAATGACAACGAAACTTGGTTCAGCGGCCAATTCAGCCAGGGTGGCCAAAATATAAATCTTGAACGAAATATCAAAGTATGGAGTGTTCAGAGCCTCGGATGGAGCGGATGCGAGATAAGACCACCCGAAAATGACAGATACAACCACTCCCAACGCGACGGCGAGGTAGGAGAGGTTGACTACTATCTGCGTCTGGACACCACTCTTGACGACGCTCTTTTGGGCCGTGTTGCCATCTTCCCGATTGGGAGGGGCTCGCTGTAGAGCTACACGGAGACTATCTCGAGCGAAATAGAGACTGGTGACGGAAACCAACTCAAGCTGGACCGAAATGCCCAACAAGGTTGGCGAAAGGAAGCGAAGCAGAAATTGATTACCGATAAATGTGAAGGCCCTAGACGTGACTTGGATAAATATTAGTAGCAGGGTGCCGCTTCCTGGAGCTGATCCCATTGTTCTTGCGATTCTGTTGGGTAATTCTGTAAGACGCTCTCTGCTAAGGTTCAGTCGAAGTCGTCGTATCCATCAACAAGTGCCATATCTTTGTTATGACACATGGTCTTCTTCAAGATGCATTGAAATGGTGTAGGAGATTACTTCTAGACTTTTTCGACCCATGGATTTACTTCAAGGTTGTTCGGTTTAGAATGCAGTTTCGATTAGTGACTGGTGTTGGTGTTGGTGTTGGTGTTTTGAAGAGGATGAATTGATGTGATACCTAGTATGATGTGTGAGAGGTGGCCTTGGTTGCCAAGAAGCCTCCCTCCTGTATACTTTATCACGAGTGCCTCATGAGGTAAATTCCCCAAATCACTGCCGTTGTTATGGACAGCAAGAGTTCAAAACACGTTCCACGCTTTCTTCTTGATCCCAGTCTATTGCAAAAGCCGCCCTGGTACGGTACGTGCGACGTGGATCAAGTAATGCACACTCCTAAAGCTCCTGAAGCCATGGACTGATTGGATGGTCACACCCTCGATGACTCCAAGTACACTGGTCTTACAAGATGCAAATGAGCGGAAGCCAATCCAGTTCATATCTCGTCCACATCCATCTTCTCCACCACCACCAAGCTGTCCGAATCACTGCCGTTTCCCAGCTCTTGGATGGTCACATACCGACCAATGTCCTCTTTTGAAATGATCTTCTCATTCAGCACTGCTGTGGTACCCCGAGCGAATTTGTAGTTTCGTTCCTTCCGTACACGTTGGTTCGGGGTGATGTGGTTTCTCATCAACTGTGTTGGCTTGTCCTTTTCCATCACGCACACGTCCACATTACTCCCCGATCCCAAATCATTGAAGATACCGGCGAGGATGGCATCGGAGCACAGCTTGACGGCATCGTCTCGTGTCAAACCGCTCTTCCAGCTGGATTCAAAGACAGCCATAGCCGCCAGAGAGCCAGACCCCATCGTGACGTAGGGAAGCTTGTCCGTAGAACCGTGTGCATGGACGGTGAAGAGACCCACCCCAGTGGGATCGACACCAGCCACCACAAGATATGCACCAATATGTCCCTGATGCCGGAACAGATGTTGTTTCAACATGGTCATGACGGTGACGACACGAGGGGCCCGACCAGTGGATAGTGAATGAAGCTCGAGGTTGGATGAAATAAGGGCGGTGGTGAATTCGGTATCGGCGGCGGTTCCAGCACCTGCGCACCAGATACTGGGGGAGATGTAGTGTAGTTTTTCACAGTTCTATCCAGGGTGAGTATTCATCAGTGGAATGTCGAGGGCAACTGGGCTTACCTTGTCTGCCACTATAGGCCCACTGGTGGCTCGAGTGTCTGCTGCGATCTGGATTTGCGTTAATTCTGGGCTGCGCCCCGTCATGGAAGAGTGGTAGACTGACCACAACACCATTGTCGTATATGCATCCAACGATTGTGGTACCAGTACTCGTCGCCTTGGGCAAGGGGACTCCTCGTGCATGAAGTGCGGCATTGCGATTGTAGTTGCTGAAATCAAAACCGGGCATTGTGTCGGACGATTAGGCCAGTAGCCCTTGCGAGGTGGGAGGTGTAAATGTGCGAGCCAGGATATGAAAGGCGCAAGGACACGGTCAATCTCTAGGACAAGGTGGAGGATGGGCAGAAATATTATGGTTGGGGAGAAGCGGTAAATTGATGAGATGATGGGTTGATTGATGTCAAGGCAGCTTTGGGTATGCGCAATGGTCGTCAAGTTGATACGGAAGAGCAGCAATGACTGCAGGCGTCAGTCGGACAGGACAGAACGCGTCTTACAGCCACATGATAGATGAGTCAGCAGGGTCACGAGTTTCTTGGCTCTGGCTACGGGGGAGTCTATTTCTTCAAAAGGCAATATACGAATGCTACGGTGAACCATAGATGTGTAATACGTCAACTGCGTTTGGCCCACAAACCCACCACGGCCTTCATGTTACACCGTGCCCATCCATAGCGATTGTCTTCATCATTCGACCAGAGTGCCCTCCAGAACTATCCTCCGCCTACTCCGTACGTCCCTCTCCATACTTTAGAATGAGGAGAAATTACTCCACATATCCCTCCACGGATGGGAACTCCAAGCCACCCACAGACGCAACCTCATGGTCGAAGCATTTCCTTCCCCCCCCCCCCCCCCCCCCCACCCCACCAAAAAGGCTTTTAGGAATTCTTGCTCCAGACCAGCCTTTTTTTTCACTCTCATGGCTTGCTATGCAGTTTCAAAGGCAGCCACATAGCATGAACAATGCTTAGGAACCCAGAATGCTTTTGTCGGTCGTTCATCGCTAAGAGCTGAGTCTTTGACTACTTGTGCTACCATTGTCGAAACCTCGTCCGAAATTGGTCCGGCGTTTCCCACACAGACCATTAAAGAGTCATTACTTAGAATAGGGATCAAGACGTGGGCAAACCCAAAACGGACAGCTCCACTGGATTGGCATACGGAGTACAATACTATCAGCTCCGACCAACATCTTTGACTCACCTGACCGGTCACCCTGTCACACACCTGTATACATACTTCATACAAAATGTGGGGACGCCACGACACCCAGGGCCCAGGCACTGCAGGCTACTCATTAACACTCGAGACTTGGTCGAAAATAATGCCCGACTTGTTGTTGAAGGCCATCGTGGACCTTGTCTGCACCATTAGCACGCCACCTTGACCAACTCTCTGCCTCTCCAGCTCTCACGAGCCCCTTATCGCCAGGACGCATAATTCGTGGGCTACCCAATGAGTCAACGCTATGTCTACTGGCATTGTAAATCGCTGCGTGTGAACACGGCAGAAACTAGATGTTTTTGAGATCTTGGAACCAGGCACACCTGTCAACCGCAACAAACACGTGCGATGTAATAGTGCGGTCTAAGAATCGGTAGCGAAGGGGTCGAGAGTTTTTGACTTGTTCACTTCGATGGAAAGGGTCAAGGTTACTCAAGCGTGTTACCGCGCCGCTCATCCTCACCCACCGGATGCGCCGCCGTGGCTGGACGACTTCAAACCAGACTGCTGGGTCGACAGGTCGTCTTTGGTCATCTTCTCATTTGAGTTTGCCCAAGATATTCAAGATATTAGGAAGGAGAGTTGACCATGCTTGTGGGATACTCCGTTGTCTGCAATACCTGTGCATGCATTCTTAGGCAACTTGGAACGACCGAATCAATGCTGTTGAAGTGGAGTTCTAGGAAATCAATTTCCTGAGTAGTCGAAACTTGGTGTCAGGCATCACTGACTATCTTCGACGCCAGTCTCGAGAAAAGCGTCGCTCTTGGCCATTTCGAGATGTTGACCTCGGGTATCAATCACTTTTCGCCAGAATTCAGCGGCTGTTTCGAGACACTAACGAAGTACCCCTCCCCTGACATGACAGCATTTCCACCGGAAGGCCGAAGAACCGCTAACACTCTATCCTATACCGTGCCCTCGCTTACTTCGTTAGTGGAGCTGGGCGCTGTTAAGTTCCCCAGGTTTGACCACCCCGGATTCAGAACGTCGACGTGCGAATCAATGACTCCACTCACTACTGACCTGGCACGCCTGGATGTCCAAGCTCTCTATCTGGTTGGTCGTCTCACCATTCCAGTTTGGCTTTGACGGAACTTTAGCTTACCAGCGATTTTGTGGGCCTGCCCCAGGTCTAGCCTCAATCTCGTGCGGGCAAATGACCATGCTTCTACAGACAAGCCACGCGTGATGAGCCTCTTGGGATCTTGGTATACAGAACCCCCAAGCGTGGTTGTGCGCTTACTCCGTACGCTGCCACTACGGAGTATAGCAACCAAATGTCTTCATTTGGATCATATCCTCGGGCCTTACCAATGGTATCCTCTGATCGTCAAGATCGCGCCTTGCATGCTGTGGGACATTTCCTGAGAAACTTCTCCTCCGATGTATATTAACCCCCCCTCCTGTTCTCTTAAACCCCCTCAGGTCTGCCAGTCTCCTTGCCAGTAAAATCTGGACAACTATCTTTTGCGCTCTGTGCACAAACAACTACCTCACCTTCACCATGGGAAAACTCATTCCTAATGCTTTCAACCTGGCCGTGGTCATTTATGTCGCGCTAGGTTCTACAGCATGCTCATATGGCATGGCCATCATTGGGTCCACCATTGGTCAGCCTTCTTTCTATGCCTCGCTGGGCCTTGCACAAGCTGGCGAGGATGGTTATAGCCGTACCGCAGAGTACATTGGTGCATTCAACGGTGAGAATCGATTGTGCCTTGACCACCTCTATTCACCTCCCTGACTGTCTTTCCTCCAGGTGTAAACGCTGCTGGCTCTGCCATCGGCTGTGCTGGTTGCTCCTACTTCGCCGATCGATACAGCAGGAAGAAGACCATTCAATGGTCTGCGATCATCCTCTCCATCGGTGCTGGTATCTGTGCTGGCTCTGTAAACAATGCCATGTTCATAGTTGGTCGGCTCATCAACGGCTTTGGGATTGGAGCACTTGTCACTGCCATCCCTATGTACCAAGCCGAAGTCTCCACTCCAGAGTCTCGGGGCTTCATGGTCTCTATGCACGTAAGTTGAATAATTGGTCGCTGCCGCCGCCGTGTCGTTGCTGACGAGTGGAAAGGGTGTCATGTTTGCAATGGGGTACTCGTTGTCGGGTTGGTTAGGTTTTGGAGTCTCCTTTATCTCTACGAGTGGCTCGACTTCCTCGTTCCCATGGCGGTTCCCCATCGCCTTTCAGGCCATCCCAGCACTCCTACTCCTTGCTGGCTCTCCGTGGCTCCCATACAGTCCTCGATGGCTCATGATGCACGATCGATTTGATGAGGCCCACGAGGTGATCAAGCGCCTTCATCGGACGAAAGGTGATCCTCACGACTCTCTTGCCCGCAAAGAGTTCTATCAAATGAAGAAACAAGTCGAACTTGACCGTCAGATTAATGCTACCACTTCCAAATTTGAGATCGTCAAAACGCCGGCCAACCGAAGAAGGGCGCTTGTTGGTTTTCTACTCATGTGGAACAACCAATTTACCGGCGTCCTCATCATTGCCAACTACGGGATCTTGCTCTACATCTCCCTCGGAATGACAGGGTATATGCCTCTACTTCTCACGTCGCTCTGGGTTACTTCAACCATCCCTGGCAACATCTTTTGCGCGTTCTATATTGAAAGATTCGGACGACGCAGGTTCATGTTGATTGGCCTTACTGGAATTCTCATTACACTCATCTGCGAAATCGCACTGCAAGCTTCATTCCTGGGAACCGACAACCGTGCCGGTCAAAACGCTGCCATCTTCTTCATCTTCCTGTAAGCTATGCTGTGAAACTCTCCATCTCATTACCTCGGAAATTGACAAAAGGAACAGGTTCATCACCCCCTTCTGGTCAACTTTTATGGACGCTAGTCAATTCCTTTATCTGTAAGTTTCCTATCTCCAAAGGTTACTGCCGTGGTGATGGGCGCTGTGCTCTTCTTTCATGACCACCATGAATACTGACATTGGTGCCTCCTCAACCAGCTCCGAAATCTTCCCTACCCACATTCGTAGCCAAGGTATGGGAATCGGCATGGCCGGTTTGTATCTGGCCGACATTATTCTCCTCGTGGCGGGCCCGATTGCGCTCGACAAGATTGGCTGGAAGTTCTTCCTGGTGTTGATCATTCCAACTGCGCTTCACATCCTTTTCGTCTATTTCATGTGTCCTGAGACCAAGGGACGAAGCTTGGTAAGTCCTTTCTACCAAGGTTCTATGTTGAAGTTTTGCTTGAGCAAACCGGGACCTCCCTTCCAGTGGATAAACTTGAACACATTCTGACAGCGGGACCGATAGGAGGACATCAACGCCCAATTTGGTGAACAGGTCGCCATTCATTACTACAATGCCACCGCGGAAGAACAGGCCGAGCTGGAAAAGGCCGCCATGCAGGACGAGGAGGCCGAGCGCAGAGGAATAGTGGGCAATACCTTGGATGAGAAGAACGGTGGCGTCGAGCAGCAAGAGATCGCCAACAAGGCTGCTTGAAGAGTCTTCAACTGAACATGGACTCATGGCCGTCTGGCGGACTGGTATGGGACACGGTGCGATGCGTTGATACAAGGAGGTCGCTCCTAGGCCATCCGAACACGCTGCGTGTGGTATCATCGTGATCAAGCGCTTGAGAGGCGAGGCGAGGCGAGGCGAGTCCTGTGTAGATGTTTATCTCCATGCCGCGTAGTCAACATACCTAGCTAATAAATGAAGGAGCTGGGGGGTTCGGAGTCAAACATGGCATTTCGTTTCTAATCTTGGTGTGACTGTAAGTGCCTTGGTTGCAAATGCAATCTTTTGGTATCAATGTGTCCTAATGCCATTCAATTACAGAATTGATAATATACTTGATCAATTAAATCAACGATTGGATATGAAGGTCTTGGTGCTGTGCTCATTCTCATCACTTGGTCATCTCTTCATTCAACGTGCGGCTTCATGCATGCTTTGGCGTAACTCGTTCCTGGTACATGATTCGTATGCCAAGGAGACCAACACATGTTCTAAACCATTGCGAATATTCTAAGACACTTCTCTGACATAGACGCTTGGGAAGACGCCCACATCTCCCGCATAGACGCCATACCACCAATCTTCATTGACTTCCTCCGTTTCCCGGACTTCGGCGTGTTTGGGAAACATGAGCTCGCCATGGCCATCTTCGCCGTCTTCTGGATAATAGCTCCACAGAGCACGACAGACTTTGCCCGGGCCTCCGTCAGGCGGGAATTTGGTAGCGGAGGCATCCGGTACTGTCGACGAACGGGATCTGGTCGCACGTTTGGTGCCACTTGGATCTTCACGCCAAGACCATTGCCCTTGGTCCAGAAGAGAGATTGGGATCGAAGGAGCCGCACCCCCTGTACGCGTGCTTCTCTGCCGCCAGGAGATCATGTCTTCCTTTGACAACTTTGTGCCCCCGACCAGATCACAGATGACGGTTCTCCTCTGGCCACCATCTCGATCGGGATCAAAGGTTATGGAGACCATACGGTGGCCAGCAGGGCACAAGCGCCAGCCATCAGGGCCATCTTCTGGTGGAATGCGACCGGTCTTGACATGTCCGTGGTAGCAGTCACTACAGATGTCGAAATCGCCGACTTGATCATTGCTGTCTGGTGATGGTGTTGGGTGGCTGGGGCAATGATATCGCATCTCTTCGGGCGCGATGGGGCGGGAGCAGATGTCGCAATTGGTGGTCATGATGAGTGGGATGAAGTCGGCTCGGGGTCCTGGAGATGTCCCATTTGCGGATGCGGCGCTCGATGGTAAACTATGGGCTGGTGACGAATCCCTGCCACCACGGCGGTAAGGACTGAGAGTGACTGAACCCGACTGGATGATGGCTCCTTGACGATGACTAGCAGATCGAGGGTCATATGATTTGTGGGCGACGGGTAACAGTGGATGGGTGCAGCAATGCTGGGTATTGACACAATCGTTGCAAAATCCCCACTCGCCATCGTTACAGTAGTCACAGGACCAGAAGCAGGCATTAGCAAAACGACCACAACGATCGCAGAAGTTGCCTTCCGCGAGGCGCGAAGCTGGGTCAGAGGTGGTGAGAAGGATGCTCGCCCTCGTGCCCTGTCTCGAATTTGACGGCGGCTTGCGGTACTGCCTACCAATCAAGAGATGGGGGAGTTCAAGCTGTTGGTTGCTGCGTGGATGTGAAGCTTCAAATTTGAGCATTGCTGCGTGACCAAATCCAAACCAGTGATTACACCCACGACCACTCTTGTAGCATCTCAAACAAAGATCCAGATTGCACGGGGCGCAATGCTTATGTATCTCGTACTGGATGTCGGTCCGGTTACAACGAGCGCAGGAGATGGTCGGCTCATCAAATGTGGTCATCAGGACGGGATGAATAGCGGGTTCTGGGGCAGAGGCCCCCGGATCAGAAGTGATGAGTGGCACCACAGGAATGGGCGCGTTACTGGGACCAGTTGAAATGGTTCGGGGCGATTCGACCGGGGCTGCAGATGCAATGGGGTTGGCGAATTCAGGAGGACTGGCCACCTGGCCCCCACCAGCTCTCCAGACATCAGAGGCCCGTGGTGATCTTTGTGGGTCGGTGTTGGATCTCTCGGTGCTGGGCGGCTGTCTGGGGCGATCTGAAGAAAAAGACGATGACTGTGGTCTGTTGGACAGATCTGTCGCAGACCTATTGTTGGATGCAATTCGGGTGACCGGGACTTGGGCTATCCGAGAACTCCTTGCTGTAGAGGCTTCGCTCCTGCCACTCTCATTAGATGCCCTTCTTCGACGAGAGGATTGTTGAGGCGGTGTCAATGCCTGTTCTGGACTGATCTGAGGGTATGATGTGGGCGGACGGAGGTCTGACGAGGAGGCGGGCACCGGATGGGTTGGTCTGGGACTTGGTTGAGTTTGTCGCCGGGCGGAATTTCTCGACGCCTGTCTGGGACCAGAATTAGACTCATCGACAGCGGCGTCTTGATGTCTCACTGCTGGACGGGTGGGGAGGCTGTTGTGTCTCGCTTCAGCTCGCCGTTCGTTGCTCAGACGGCGGCGAACCCTTTCAGGGTGCAGTTGTCTATATCGTTCGGCGATACGTTCGCTGAGTTCGTCCTGTTGTTCCTCGGTCAATTCGTCGACGTTGATACCGTCCAGAAGGCCTTCTGCTATGATATCCTGCATCAGTTGTGCCTCACTAAGGCTGTCGCCAGTACCGGTTCCACTCTCTGAGGCGCTGACAATTGAGCGCAAGCTAGCTTGGTGGGCGACAGTGCGCACGCCCCTCTGACGTGCTTCAACAGCATCCGGGTGGCGAGGAGAGGTGGGAGGTGGCGACAAAGAAGTTTGGTCGAAGGAATCTGACGAGCGAGCAGAGGGAGGATGGGCTGGGAGTGCTTCTGAATCCGAGATGTCGTTCCTAGTCTGTCTGCGGTCGGGATCTCTAGAATTCTCAGACCTGTCTCTGCGATCTCGGCGGTCTCGACTCCTCGACTGGCTGGCTCGACTGCCTCTGGAGGCGCTTGCCTCAGGGTCAAGAAGTTGAGAATGAGCAGCGCGTTCTCTGATGGCATCGTTGGCAGTCCGCCTCTCTCTAGCGGCGATTTCTTCCTCCTCTCGACGGCGACGCTCGCGGCGGCGGTGACTCTCGACTTTGGGCATGATATTGTCGGTGGGGTTATAACCTTGAGCCATCTCTGCCTTTTCTTGCTCCGATCTTGCTTTGCTTGGGTTGGCGGCCAGAAACATGTCGAGCAGGGTGTTTATCATGGCATTGTGCTGAGCATCTTTGACTGGGGCTCGACATGTTGGGCAGGTATAAGGGCTGGCAGAGGACGAAGAATGCGAGTGGGCTGCTTTGCGATATTGGTGAGAAAACCATTCCTTAAGACAGGAGCCACAGAATGAGTGTAAGCAGTCGATCAAGGTCAGCGGCTGGTAGAGAAGCTCGGTGCAAATGAAACACACAAGCTCTTTCTCAAGGTTCAGCAGGCCTGTTTGGGAAGCGGTGGTGGCAGTCGTCGCCATGTTGTTGTGAAGAGCATGTGACTCAAGGGAATCAACTCCCAAGGCCAGTATGAAGGGAACTGGGGTCGCTAGAGTCGAGGCTAGTGTAACAACATTTTAGATGGCCATTGAGAGGCTCTTTGGTCTAGCAACCTGCCGATAACATGGTCTTGTCGTCGTGACATGGATGAGGAAAGGAGGATAGAGGGAGAGGAGAGTAAACGAGCGGAAGAAGTTCAGCTACGAATTAAGAAATGAAAAGCCCAACTTTGGTGGCCAGGATGACTATGGCAAGATGTGGAGGTTGGCGGTTGGTGGTTGGTGGTTGGCGGTTAAGCGGCAAGGACCGCAGCCCAGATGATTCAAATAGGCCTCACATTATAGCAACAAGCCAAGGTGTAAGTTATTAGTTAGGTAGTAAATTAGCTACCGAGTAATTACAGGGATTAACCCAGGGCCTGTCAAGCAATAATGAAAACTGAGCATTGGGGAGAGGACCGCTGGAGGGTCACTTAACTTTCCTAGTCAAAGCACTAGAGGTATCTCAGGTTGAACGTTTGCTAGAGACTGACCGCCTCTTGCCCCTATAAGCGAGCCTGTGAGCATTATTAAACGGTGGTGTCAGTCTGATGAGGGATTAGAAGGGTACCTAGTAGGTATTTATGTAGAATGGACTCTTCATTCTCCAAGTACTTACATAGTTAAAAAGATAACCGTTCCGATTACAGAGTCTTGCCACTTTTGTCTTCTACTGCCATGGACCACGTGATGGAATCTCGGTAGCACACAGAACAGAGATCGTCGTCATCATCATCATCGTCGTCATCGAGAACTCACTCATAGTGGTTGACTTGAGAGGAGAGGAATGTGATTGGGGTTCTTTGGCCAGTACCAGGTAATTCCGTGCGGAACCAGCTACAAGAACTGATGCATCATATATCAGTATCAAGCATATCTGATTCAATAGTTGCAGTTTAGCCATAAACATAATACATTTCACTTGACAGGGTCGACCCCTGCAGGACAGTCATTCACAAGTGCAACCATGGTGTTTGCAAGAATGCTCCCCGATCAAGTCTCCATACTTGACAAGCAATCTGAATGTGTGACGATGAGTGCATCCCTCGATACACGAGCAGAGTATGTATCAACTTCTTGTACGTTCGTATGCAACCGTCACTTCTTGTCGGCCGGCTTGCCCAAGATGTTACTCAGAAATCCCCCCCCTTGGTTGTTCTTGATGTCATCCCAGCTCTGGCGTCGATCGGTGTTTTCATCACTCGCACGTCGAGCCATGAGACCGCCGAACATTCCACCTTGGGAGGCGGCCGAAGACTGGTGGGTAATCAAATATGTTAACGGATAATCACTTTGGATTTGGGTTTGGGTTGAGAGATGTCAATCACACCACATACCCTTCTTCGGCCAGCAATGGCAGAAGCAATTGGATTAGAGGGTGTCGCGGCCGTGGGTGGAGGAGGCGAAGCTGCCTTGCCCGATGAGCTGGCCGTCGATTTATCACTGCCACTGGAGCCCGATGGCCGACGGCCCGGCTGATGGATCTCCCTGGGGGATGGAAACATGAAGCGGCGATCGCCTTCCCACGAGGGTAGAACCTTGCCAGCGGCCAGGGGGCTGCCACTTGTCGTGCCTCCTGCGGCCCCCGCGGTAGTGGCAGCAGGGACAATGCCCACAGCTGCATCGGTGGGAGGTGGGGGAACAAAGTTGGTGCTTCCTTCGTGGACCTGTCGTCCAGTAGGGAACATGAAGCGACGGTCTTGCCAGGATGAAGAAGACATGATTAGTAGGGAGAGCTTCCGCCTATACGTGTGGTACTGTGGTAGTCTGGTGGATCGACAACGTTGATGCGAGTCTGGATATGCTTCGTCAAGGAAACAACCAAACAGGTCAGGTATACAAGGAAATCAAAAGATGTTTCTCAGGCGCAGTTTGTTACCTTGGGTGAGGTCTCTTGAGTTGAGGGGTCGAAGCTCGGTGGCCCGTATTCATTCAAGATGGATTGGTCTGGCATGGGAGCATCCTCAGGATGAGCCTGTCAAGGAGAGCCTATTGGCTTGCTCTGATTCGACGTCATACGATCAGCCGATAGAGACCTCGAGAGTGGTGGAAAGTTGCTCGTGCTTTGAACCCGAGGAGGTTTGATGGCACGATGGGTCCAATGGCCCCACGCCCAAAAGGCTGGTTGGCTGGACATCTCGGCGGGGTTGGTTAGCATCTGGGCACCCAAGGTGGATTTTGCGGGGGAGGAGAGGGCTAATGAGCCCCCGTAGGTGGTCCGATAGGTTAAGTATCCAAGGTGTCTTAGGTAGGTACCTAACATTATAGCAACTCGAAATGCTGGATACTAAGGTACTATGTTAGTACCTAGTAGTCAGTCTGGTCGATTCATTGGTATCTAAGGCAGGTGACTGGGTACCTACCTACTGAGTACCTACCTACCGGCTACCTACCTAACTTTTCAGGTACTGATATTGTAGTCTGTACGCACCTTGGGTATATATTATCAGGTACCCCAGGCACCGTAGGCACCTGATGCTCCGCCTTATCTCTTCAAAGCCTAGCCCCGGGCCCGGCCCTGGCCCCCGCACCACTATCCTTGATGCTGATGGCCGTGTAATTTTGAGTCATATTGCAATACTCTCAGAGCTCGTTGGAAAGGCACAGGTCCTTTTAATCATCGAGTATATCTCAAAGTCATTGACTTGCTGTGTCAAAGTACCTTACCCACCATCATCTTGTCCACCTATCTTTCCATCCTCTTTCGACTTTGGCCATATCATTATTCTCATGTCTGGCGAGGGCGACATTAAGGTTGAGGCTCGGTCGGTCCCCTCCTCCCACATCGAGATACATCCCATCACGAATGAAGCCGACATCCCCCTTCTTGCATCCATTACCGACTTTGCCCTTTTAGACGATGGTCTTCGCGAGTTTCATGCCAGATACGGACAAACGTCTTTGTATGAAACCACATGTCGAAAGTTGACCAATGCCTTTCACGACAAGCACAACCGATATCACATATTCAAAGCCGTTCTGGTGCCTGCGTCCAATGAGTCAAATTGCGAGCCAACCATCGTCGGCTACGCTCAATGGAGACTGGGATATATCGAAACTCCCAAAGTGGACCCTTTCGCGATCAAGTCCACCGCCATCAACTCGAGTGACCATCCCGTGGTTATTGAAGCTGACCGTTCGATCGTCACACTCCTAGAGCCGGCTGAACAACAATCACCGACGATTCTCCAAGCAATTAGACAAACTACAACATCAACAAAGGAAACTCTTGCTTTCTACTCAAATCCCGACGAGGAGTTGTCGAGGAAAGTTGGCAACGCTTACATCTCGGCGATCAGAGGTAAGCGCCATCTTTGTAAGTGTCCCTACCTTGGAACCCCTCTCGGATACCAGCCTGTCGTTTCGCCAACTCATGCTCTCAGATCTGCATCGTTTGATCGTGCTTCCCAGTCATCAACATCAAGGGGTTGGCCAGAAACTACTTGATTGGGGTGTTCAAACTGCAGACCGGGAAAATGTTGTCTCTTGGTTATTCTCTCGTCCTGCCGGATCCAAGCTCTATACCAAAAATGGATGGCAGACGCATTGCACAATCGACATCCAGGTGCCGCACGCAGACCTCCAGGTTGCGCCGATGATTGGCATGCAGAGACTACCGCGTCATACTGAGCAGCTGTCGCCTCCAGCTCTCTCGAAAACATGTTGAAACCCTCGTTGAGCCTAGCTTTAAGTTGCAGCGAAATCTCCCTCTGGCTTGAGGCTTCATAGCTGATTCTCATCTTACACATTTCTTTGATTTTCCAAGTTGCTCACGTACGCAAGAAGAAATTTGCAGCAAGTCAAAACGTACTTGCAAGCTCGAGTGAAGGATTCTGCGTCTCCAAACCCCATGCCCAGCTTGATAGATATCCCGCCGATCTTGTCATTGTCAATCACATATGGGAGAACAGGTTGTTTGGGCGTTGTCCGCACTGTTGTCATCCGCTGCGAGGACGCTTTATTGGTCTGTTCATCCGGTGCACTGCGTTCGACAAACTTGGCCACCTGGGACAAACAGTCGAGAAATGCAACCATGCCGTTGTCAAATTTTCGATGGTTGAGTACTCGGCCAATGGCCATTTCACCGCTACTGAACAAGTCCAGCACCGTGACTTTGGGTTCAGGATTTGCCGTACTCGGACCGAGAACTCGCTCTCGAGCTGTCGTCGGCGGTCTTGTTTGGTCTGGCGGCTGTTGGAGATAGTCGAGTTTCTCAATTCGGGAGATGCTGCCCTGCGGTTTGAGGCGATAGCCCTGGAACACGTATTTGAGTCTTTCAGCAACGGTGGCCAACAACAGTAATGTTTGGCCCCATGCAGCATTGATTTCTCCCCACTCCACGTTGTTATTTGGTAATCGTCCCAAGCGCAGCCCGTTGATGGTCCCAAACGATCCATCATGACCCACACAGAATGTGTCATTGAAGACGTTGGTTCGTTGGAGCCGCTCGAGACGGCGGTGATCGTGGCTAAACGATTGTTGGAGTGTGTTCAATTGAATGGTGGCGTCGTGTAACTGCTCATCGAGCGAGTTGCGTAGAAGCCAAAAGGCTTCTTCACTCGATTCCAAGGCACGAATCTCCTCATTGAGTTGTGCAATGTCAACCTTTGTCTGTTCCACTTCACGCTCCACGTGTAGTAACTTCTGATATGCCGATTCCGCGTTGGCCTTGCGTGCGCGAAGAGACTGCGCATCTTTAGATGGTGCAGACAAGTTGTGCTGCTGTATATTTTTCAGGAAAAAGGCATAGGCATCTCTTTCCTTTGTGGCGTTGTTCATGCGAGCTTTTAAGCCATTGATCAGGATGGCAGTGCACTCGGTACATATGGGATGGTCAACATCAGAATGTGATGACAATATGGAAAACAACCTCTCCGCCTTGGAAATATCATCAGCAAGCGTATGCTGCCTTGGTTCAGGATGAGGTCCGTTCGTCTCGTGGGGGCCGACGGCATCCAAGGATTTCTGCTCGGTCTGATCCCCCAGCGGAAGGTCGACTTGTGACTGAGTTATCTCGATGAAGGACATATCTGCCTTGAGCTGTGCATCCCCCCTTGAGCCGCCAAATGTCGACTCATCCAGCGGTGGGGGAATTGTGCGCTTGTGGATGGGCGACACTGCTTGTGCGGTGACACGGTCATATCTTGCCCTGCGTTCCTGAGGATAGGCCAGTCGAGAGGCACTTGCCGCACCCCGTTGAGGTTTGCCAGTTGACCCTGCACCTGTTAGTGAGTATTCGCAACAAAACTATGGACAAGGCCATACCAATTAAGACATCAAGTGCGGCAGGGTTCAGCTGCTTTATGGTCCCATCGAGGCGGATTGGTTGTCTACAGATCTGACAATAGAGCGTTGAGGACGCTGTCGCCATATTGAAGGTCCTCTGGGATTTCCAAAGAGTTGTGCCACATGGTACGGTAGTGGATGATGGACCTCAAATAATGATTGTTGTAGAATGTCGAGGAGGTGTGAGTGACACAGACGAATGATGAATGACGCAGGCGCGCAGGCACGTAGGCACGCAAGGCTGCTCTGGCTCGGGCGCTGTTTCCCCAATGGGCCCCGGCCCCTCGGGCTCTTCTCTACTTACTCCGTAGACACCAGACACGTGCCTAACACATCAGCTGATCAGGTAACCTCAGCCTTGCCATAAATTAAGAATTAACGAATTAACGCCATCGCCATCGCCATCACGCTTCTCCACACACGCGTTCCTCCGCCACATGCCACGCGACTTCAATCTGTTAACCTTGAGTGTCCTCTCAACCGACAGCCTTGCTTCAACTAGACATCTTGTACCTGAGGTTTTCTAGAACACCAGAGTGCGGCCCTCCTATGCAATCTTCCGTTGACGCCTCATCAGGGACTCTTGATTTCTGAGAAATTCCCCTCCCTCAAATCCACCCCCCCTTCCCTCCTACTACCTCCAGTTCATCGGTCCACAATGGAAGAACCCTTCCGGAAACGACCCCGCCTTTCCATATTTCACAATCAGTCGATTAATCCAACCTTGGACGAAGATCTTGACACACGCCGTGTTCGCAACGACCATCTCTTGAAATCTCGCTTCGAGTCCATCTTTGAAAAGTATAGCCAGGACTTCACCGGAGTTGGCGACGAGATCGACCTTGTTTCAGGCGAGGTTGTGGTTAATAATGGACATCTTGAGGCAATGGAAAATGAAATGGATCTCGGCCTGGATACGCCTCAAGGCAGAGCCCTTTTAAGAGCCATGACCGAAACAGACGCCCTCGACGATCCTTACTTCAATGAAGCTGCAGACGATGTGATGCTGAGCATCGAAGAAATTGCCTCCAGCTTCCCAAACGACGATGACCACGGTGGTCTACCTCCTCCCGAGGATAGCGATGAAGAACTATTCGGAACTACCAACTTGTGCACACTGGCTCCTTTTGCCACCCCACCAGACTCTCGAGATGGTCACCCTTCAGGAAGCAGCATGTACGAATTAAACCCCATTGTGTCGGAATCGGACCCAGATTCCCTTTTTGAAGAACAACATATGTCTCGTTCTGAAAGTCCAGATTCCCTTTTTGGAAGTGTAGAGCCTGCACCACTTCGTTCTGGACTGGGGCAGATACCTGAAGCTCTGTACAGTAACAAGCCCATCCCGGCCCCCGCCATCGTCGAGCTTGACGAGGACTTGCGGCATAGTAGTCTGCTTGCAAGGTATGGGCCAGAGATAGGACAGGAGATTTTCACAATGATCGAAGAGACGAGGAATCAAGCAGAGGCACATATTGAACCTGCTTGGCGTATTCCCTCCAATGTGATTCCTCCTCGCATCACGCCTGAGGCATCAGACACTCGTGGAATCACCTCACAGCAACATACACAATCGCCAGCGCCAGCGCCAGTAATTTCGGTCCAGAGATCGCCAGAGAAGCGCAAATCGCTGTGGGCCATACCCAATCAACGAAAAAACAGGAAGCCACCAATGAAGGGCTCTTCCAGGCACACCCGAGCAGAGTCAGAGGACCCCCTCCAGGATGGTTTTGCTAGCGAGCATGATGTCGACAGTGCCCAGGACGAACACACTTCTGACGGTAGTTCCTATGAAGAGGCCAATTTCAAGCGGGTCCGACCAGAAGACGAAGACGAGCAACTGCGCTCCATGAGAACGGGGCATTGCCCATATTGTCAGAGAAAGTGGAAAACACGCAGTGGTGTTGTCGATCACTGGTCCAGAATCGTGCGAAAGGCTGATGCAAACGGGGATGACGGGGTGCACGACATGAATTACATTCGGGATTATCGGCAACGAACAAAGATCCGTAGTGTTCGCAAGCCACGATTGACTGTGTCGGATTTTCGGACCATGGTTGAGCTGCACGAGGGTGCCGGCCTGAGTTTCGATGAAATTGTTGATGTGGGAGCACTGCGAACTCGTAAGGTAGGGGCAGCATTGTGCGATGCATATGATCGATATCGTATGCCAGCCGAGATGGATCAGCCATCGAAGGATTGGACGGACGACGACATAAAGATGCTATGCGATCTCTGTGATCGATCAACTCGAGACTTGGGAAGTTTGACCAAGGCGCTTAAGAGATCGGACACCGATGTAGGTGCCAAGCTCGCTGAGCTATGGCTCCTGGAGATGGGCCACTCGGTCCAGGGTTTGACGGCGAAACGCGGTGTTGCAGAACAGGGGGTCGCAGGCGACAGACATGCGAATTCTTCAGCTGGACCTGTGTTCGTAAAGACCGAAGATTCGGACGACGACTTGTTCGATATCAGGACAAACTAAGGGAAGCCACCTTGGCCAAATTCAAGCTTCAAGCTTGAAGGATGTCCTCGAGTGTTGTTTTAGCTTCCCCACCAATTCCTCCTACCTGAGACCAGAATTTGGAGAGATGTCGCATTCCCGAATCGCAGAGTATTGTTGCCACTGAATGTCCTGGACCCAGCTGAAGAGCCGTTTCCAGTGCCGCCACGCCTAGGGAAACAGTCAGAATCAAGACCCTGATAGATGCTCCGAGTGCAATGCGACACTGTTGGAGAGTGGGAAATACTCACAATTTACCGCACTGCTGCTTCCAATGAAGATGCCATCATTCTCCACCAGCCATCGCGCCATGTGCTTGGCCTGTGCGTCTGTGACTTTGATAGCATCATCGACGAGGTCCCGACCAACCTCGAAATTTCTCGTGGAGCGGGTCAACCCAATGCCCTCAACAATCGTGTCAACTTGATCTCTTCGCCGTGTACCCTCTCGTTCTAGGCTATGAAACATGACGCCATGTTTGACCTTGTTATACAAGCCACTGCCCTGAGGGTCAGCAAGCACGCATCGAATCATAGGCAGTCTCGACTTCAGAAACATGCTGACTCCAGACAATGTACCGCCAGTGCCCGCGCCGGCGACAAATGCATCCAGCTTGCCGTTGACCTGCTCAAAGATCTCTGGGCCTGTGCCTTGGTAATGCGCCTGCCAATTGGCCTCTGTCTCGAATTGATCAGCGAATAAGCCCCTCCCCCTGGTGTTGGCATCCTCTGTATGCGCTCTTGCCAGGTTTCGGGCGCGGTTGACGAAGTGAGACTGATCCACAATCGGAGCTGGAGTCACCCTTTCCACCACAGCACCGAGCTTCGCCAGCAGGTCAGATTTCTCGTGGGCCTGGTCACTCGGCATGCAGATGTGGGCTTGGTAGCCTCTTGCTCGTGCTAATGTCGCAAGGCTGATTCCAGTAGATCCCACAGTACCTTCATAGATTGTGTCGCCGGAATATGGGGTCAGACGGCCAGTAGATTCAGCGTCATTGATGATCGATTGTGCGACCCGGTCTTTGGGGCTGTTGCCGGCACCGTTCAAGAATTCACATTTCGCATAGATGGTGCAACCCGTGGCTTGTGACAGAGACTTGACGATAATAAGCGGGGTGTGACCAATGGTGGATTCAATGCCGATTCCTGGTGGTGGGAGATGCTTCGACACGGACGAGGGTACCACTGATGTCGGTTGTCGAGTTGAAGTCGACCTCGAGGACCCTCGCTGTCGGAGCCGTTCAATGACGATTGCAACGGTTATCCCGGCGCCGAAGCCGATTATTATGTCCCTAGTATTCCAGTGCATTGATGCCTTTGTGCAGAAGATATTGATGTGAGATGGTCGGTTGAGATAGAAACTATTCCAGACTTAGCAAAACTAGAATTCTGAATATTTATCTGGAATTTCCTATGGTGCCGAGGTCCAAGGGAGATGGTGGTTGGGTCTTCTTCCTTCTATGAGGATGCGCGGATCCAAGCCAACACCATCAAAGCATCCAAAACCAACGGCATGAACTTCGCATAAAGTCGTGGTTCCGAGAGTCTGGCGTTGGTCCTCTCCCTCTCTCCCAAGGTGAGTAAAAACTACTCGCGCCTCAACCCGTTTAGGATGGAGGGTCATGCCGCCCTATACTCACCACGGCTAGCGCGAGCCGCTGGAGATCTAGACTATATCGAGCTTAGACTCGGTAATATGTAAATCCGATCCGATCCTCCACTTGATCGGCATCTCACTGTGGCACGTGATAGGGCTGAGCACGCCACATTCACGCGATGATGGTTTCCAGTGTTCTTTATCAAAATCTACGACAGAAACGACATGTATATACGCGGGAAGGGATCCACAAGACGATTCTCGTTCTCGCGGCTTCATTACACTCTTTGCGCTTCCTTTGCGCTTCCCAAGCAGGCTCCTTGGGGAACGCAACGCGCCACTGCCTTTTGATATAATCTCGACTTCCGCGTCAATCATCCTGGTGGGTATCTTTGAAGACACAGCGCAAGCTTCAGAGGCAGGCAATCTTCCCCGACTGGCTTGTGAGCGCTTCCTGGTGACCTTTTCGAACAATAAGATCTATCATCGTTTCACCTCTGTTCCTTACCTAGAATACTCCTCGATCACCCATCTGACGACCATAAATTGTGCTTGACGGCTGTTGGGATAGCACTCCCACGCCACCAATTAACCAGCCTGCATCTCCCCCAGGGCGAAGTCCAGAATTGGGAGCCGAGGTGACCCCTGGGGATTGCCAACTGTTCACCCCACGAAAGTCCCCTGGGAAGACCCCGACCAAGCCGGGGTTGATTGGTGCAAACTGATTGGAAGCGCCACCAAAATTTCCATCGTTCACCTCGCCCACCACCCCTCTTGGGACAGGCGGAAATGCATGCCCCGGCCTGAAATCGATGGCCGTGGGCCGTCCAACGCCAATGTCCTCCATTTCTCGCCCTCGCCAGGTCAGCAAAACGTCCTCGCGCTTCGAAACAAATTTGTCACTACCACGAGGATCTTCTACGACGCGGACGTCTCTGAAGATTGAGAACGTTGTGTGAGTGCGACGTTCTTCCCTGCGGACCATGAAGATGGCACCAACCCACCACAGTGCGGACAGCACGATAACGGCACAACCGACAGTGGGGACAAGGAACCATGGTAGAGAGATACTGTCAATCACAGGCGTCAACATGTCTTCAGGATTATCTCTTGATGACGAACTGCCGTCTGGCTTGACCCACGATGTGACCACCGGGAACAGATTCCCAACGAGATAAATGACGGAGGTACAGACACTGAGCCACGGCTTGATGTTGGGCGTCTTTCGCCGCCAGTCTCGGTGCTTTCGGAATCTTAGGGAGAGCAGTCCCACTGCCAGAAGACTGCCAAAACAGGCGTTGAGGACGTACGCGGTGGTGCCAGTCAAAATCAAATACGTGTGTTGGGGTGTTGCCCCGTAGGTGGCCAATATCAAGATTGTGCAGGTCAAGAAATGCAGCACAAACGCGCCCACCGGGGTTGGCTCCGTGTGGTGCTCGGGAGCGAGGCAACGCAGTTGTAGTAGACCTGCAAAGGGACGACTGATGGCGGGGGTCCTACGTGCCCATCTGAGCATTCGGCCAAACGAGAAGTCCACATCGAGAGCCCAGAATTTCGGCCATGGGAGCAGCCCCTCCTTCCCAATCTCCTGTTTAACACGGGCTGCAGTGTATGTCATGACGATGATATTCCCCAGGCTGGAAATGGCTAGGAAAGTGCTGAAAACCCGTCTCCCCGTTTCGGAGTCCGCGTTAGGGGAGATGGCGCCATACGTGAGGTCAAAGAATGATTCCACCACAATGCCGTCGTGGATCTGCATTTCCTTTGGAACAACCGCCATCTGTCAACGTGAAATCCGTCAGTCTATTCTTTGGGGGCGATTGAAAGCCGAGAACTCACGTAGCTCACGTTGACTGCGATATAAAGGATGCAGACAATGCTCAAAGCTAGAACCATGGCGATTGGAAAAGTCCGATGCGGATTCCTGATCTCTCCTAGGACATACTACCAGTTGTGCGACGTCAGTACATCGTCGGGATCTCTCAGCTTGTGGCGCCTTCGGTGCGTCACTGTAGCCTCAGAAGGAGAACTGCACTCACATTCGGTTGCTCAAAACCTCCGAAAGCGAAAATGATGGAGAGGAACGCTTGGGCATAACCATTCGCGCCAGACGACGAGCCACTAAAGACGTGCGAAGGTGAGAGGTTTTCTGACAAGGTCTGACTTCCGTGGGAATCAGGAAATGCGCGAGCGCAGTAGCAGATTGCTGTTACAATGATGAAGAGCATCATACAGAGCTTGACCATGGCAAACAGAGTGCTGAGCATGATACCACCTTTTCGCGAGAAGCCGTGGATGAAGCAGGCCGCAAGAGACACAAAGATGGCGACGGCGCGGATCGAGCCGTTGTTCGGGTTCTCGATGCCAGACGCTTCAAATATACGGATGGCAAAGACGACCGCATTTCCTGCCATGTTACCGAGGATGATGAATGAAATACTAAACATCGAAGCAACGAATGGAAGTGTGTCAGGGCCGTGTGCTGGCTTCCGATAAGTATATTTGAACTGCGAAAAGGTCAGTACACTGGCAACACAGCAGAGGCCTGGGTCTACGTCGCTAACATAATTCAGATCGCCACCTGATCTCGGCACGGCGAATTCATTGTTGCCCCTCTCCTCAATCCGTTTCCGAGGCACATTGAGACCATATTCAATGTAGACGTGCATTCCAGACAGAGCATAAACAATGCCGGCGAGCCACAGGAGCAGGGTGCTGCCAGTGCTCTGGGTGTTCGCGATGACCCGGCTCGGTGTTTGGAAAATTCCAGTACCTGACGAAGGGATCAGCTCCTGGAACCTAGAGGGGTTTCTCGTCAGGTGAACTCACCAATCATCCTGTTGATTATGAGGCCCATAACAGCGACATATCCCAGCTTGAACGGGGGCTCTGGTGCCCAAGTTACAAGTCTTCTGGGGTCTCCATTCTCTGAGAATAAACTATCCACGTCGTGAAGATCAATCTGCTGCGACCGAGCGTGATCAAAAGGAGCGGCAGGGCTTGAAGCACTGTCTACGGAATGCAATTGAGCGTTATCCATAGCAGAGATAGAATTTACAACACTTTCTGGAGAGGGGATCCAGAGAATCAGAACACAAAGGCAAGAAATGTCATCTTTGAAATCTGTCGCGAGGATGGCACAACCCTCTCCCATCTCGCAAAGGTGCGGCTGATGGTCATCGAGTCCATGTCAATCTGCTCTCCGGTCGCCTTGCCAAGGGAGGCATTGCCTTGCAAGCGCACGCTGCCTTCGTCGCCTTAGCAAGCCTCACCGCTAGACTGTGTTGTGGCTGTCATAGTGAACAGCTGTCATTGGATGAAGTTGCTCGGTACTGGCGAAAATGTAAGAACCAAGATATGCCAACAACATTCAGAAGCGATAAGGGGGGTACCACAGCCTGATCGAGCACCACGACGTTGATGAAGGAAGATGTTGCAACATGTTGGATAAGAAAGGTACCATAAATATGACCAGTAGCGCCGAGCTACTAGAGATTTCTCTTTTAGCCTGCCTACGACGTCCAACACAGGCATAGACAACACGCTGCCCACTCCAGATAGCCAAAAGAAAATCAATCTTTCCTTTTGGATAGCTATTCGACTCACTCATCATTTACGTACTCTTAGGGCAAGTATGATTCAGCTCGGTGACATCATTCAGGTTAGCAAGACGGCGTGGGAAATCTATAGCATGGGCTGGTTGGGGACATCCTCCGCTGGTAAGTCGAAAGAAACCCTTCACGAGAGCTTTTCATGCCTTTTCTTGCTGCTCATGGACTTGTAGCAACACAGTATGCGCAATTTGGAAGGGCTTTCTTTGGTCTCGCAGATAGCTTGAACTACTTGGTTCAGGAATTGAAGGATGCCTACCAACATGCCACACAGCAATCCCGTGGAGATTTTACTGCTTTGGACGAGATCATTGGAGACTACTGGAGAACCATAATAGACTGTAAAGCACTTTACGAGAAGAACCGTCTATATGGCATGCGCAGCGGTCCGCTGGCAAACATCGAATGGAATCTCGTGATTCAGCCGGAGGCGGCTGCTCTACAACAGAGACTCTTGTTGCAGCAAACCAAAATTCAAATCATCGTAGAACCTTTGAGACTTGATCTACTTCGTCAGATCCTTACCGGAGTTCATCAAGTCCAAGATACGGTCAATGATGTCTACGCACTCGTCCAGCGTTTGGTCGATCAAGGGGCGACAGAACAGCAACAACAGCTCCAGCTCCTTTGGTCATGCCCTGTTGAGATTGCCCAAAGGTTTCACGCGGCCGCTCAAGGAGGGACTGAATCTCAGACGGGTGTAGCAATCCGACCATTGTCAGAAGCCACCGATGCCTTTCTCTATCATTTTGAAAGGTCGACCAGAGACGCCGGGTCTCCAGACAGAGAGCACTTGAGTCTTTTGAAGTGTGTGTGGCTAATAGAACAGATCGAGGGCCATGCAGACCTTGGACATGCCGCCAACAGGTTCTACTGGAGGTCGTACGTAAGAGGTCTTAAGCTGGTACGTGTATGCACTACTGAATTGCAAAGAGGACAAACTAATCGCAGCCATGGCAGAGACTCTCCCAGGATTGCAGGAGATTCAATTCTGACCACGGTTCTGACCACCTGGCTCTCACTGCAAGCGTACGGCCATGGCCAGACTCGGAGTTCTTCATCTGGCCCCCAATCATCCTGGGGCCGCTTCTTCCTCCCATTGTTACGTTTCCAGATCTCATAATGGAGGAAATCCTCGTTGCGTGCGTTTGGCTGTTGGTCAAGCCCGTTAAACCTTTGCAGCTGACACCATTGTTCGCAGCGAGTTGGCGAGGCCAAGGCCTTCGCTTGATCGACGTCTTCGCCTTCTACGCGGGCCGAACGGCAAGATGCGTATGGTCATATCAGCGGTAGAAAGAATTGGCGAAGAAGAAAGAAGTGACAGTAAGGGGGAGGATCACCGGTCTCACATCATTCCTCTCTGTCCATTCTAGCTGATGACTTCGCAGGTCAGACATTGAATTTCAATCTCGAGGTGGCCGAACTAGTTCCATTGTTCGCCATTTGCTTGGACGGAGGTCTGCCAAAATGTATTCTCAGAACGGAATGGGATCAGGCAGAGCTAGAATTCAGATCTATAAGGGAGGTTTTGAAGTTTCAGAGTGCCATGACCGGCTACGAGGTCTACAAGGATTACTCAAAGTATGCACATTGCGTGGCGTCTCGTTCACATGGCCAGGATCTAATCAGCGCATGCGCAGGCAAGTGGAGAAACTCGGGCTTTTCCTGACAACGGGGACCCTGTTCGAAGTTGGTGCAGCTCATATTCAGCTTTGGGTTCCACGGGCTTCTGAAAGGCCACCTAAGACGGCTTCGACTCCTGGCTCGGATTCTGCTTCGCCGCGAGCGTCTTTCGGGCCAGACTCTTCTTCCCAGAGCTCTTTGCGTTCTCGAGACAGCACCTTCAGTCTCGAAGGCCCTCGTCGCGGATCAGCTGCGACGTCTACTCAGTCTATGTCAGCTGTTCAACCGACGCTTTCAGCAAAAGCTCAAAAGGCAAAGGAACCAGCCCGCGTTCCTAGCGAGAGGGTTACCTTGGAAGAAGGACCCCAACCGCCGTTGCTCGTTTTATTCCTCACTGCTATCACCCCCCACCAAATAACGGGATTCGACCCTAGCACTGCGCCGTTTAGCATAATGACCATCTCGCTCGAGGAAGGAATTGAACCCTTTTATCACCGGTGCAACTGCCTACAAAGTGAGAAAACCTGCACAGTGGTGGCGCTGGAATCAAAGAGGCATTGTGGTCTTCCCGCGAAGAGGATCAGCGTCGAAGACCTGAGCTCATGGGATCTGATGCGCTGGCGGACCTCAACCCAGGCGTTTTCTCACAATACGTCGCGCCTACCGTCTCAGAACGGACAGCCACAGATATTCTCTCACCTCCACAGGGTCACTCTCTATTTCCGCGACCCGCATTCAAGACGTGAATTTGGCGGATACTGTTGTAATTGTGCCCCGCACCCGTCTGGGGCTTGCGTCCGTGACAATCATCAGGGGTTACTGGGGCGCTTGAGATGGAAAAACAGCGAGGTGGTATGAGAGTTTAGATGAGGCGGCACAGGTGAAAGAGCTTCCAAGAGTGGAAGAGCCCCTTGTGCAGAAGGCGGTGATGAAATCAAAGTGCTCATGGATTCTGGTATGGTTCGTGATTACGGCGCCCGATGTTTTGGCTAAAGATTAATGGCCAAAGGAGGGCGTTAGGCGTACTTGAGGCGCTTTATCTCTGAGGAGGAAGTATGTCTGATAGGAACCAGGGGGCTGTCTTCTAGACGAAAGTCATCTCAAACAAGCTAGAAACCTAGATCAACGCTGCTTGCCCTGAAGTTGTCAGTGCTTTGATTGATGCCGAAGTCCTCGCTTGAGATACGTTCATATTTCACGCTCGGCCTTGTCCCTATGACTGTTCCTTGCTGAACTCAATGACCGCTAAACCGCAATCCCATTGATTCAGCGCATTACACTTGTCTTTTGCATGAGTCAAGGTCAAATCTCTTGCGATTGATTCGTCCATCTCTCCATCGAGCATTTGGAACGAGCGGGCCTGGGTAGGCGACCTGGCTTCAGCTGACAGGCTGCGTGGCTGACTAAGATGTTACCTATCTTGGACTGGGATCCACGGATCAATAGTTTCTCCGCAAAGAAGCGAATCCATCAAATATTCAGTCCTCCGTCGATCTCTAAGCGTGTACTGGAATATGGCTGCATACAGGCAACGAATACCTCACCATCCTTCCGCATCTTACGGAGCTGGTTTGCTTCGCTGACCGTCTTTGTTCCTCGAGGGAGTGGTTTATGCCATGGACTCACCGACTGTATTGCGCATCTTCCGACAGCTGGCTCGACCGTCGCGGCAATGTGTCTACAACCCCAAATCCCAAGTGAGCAGGTCGGCAGCACCCTTTTCCAGCCAACATCGATCCTATGCTATAGGGCGAAAGAGCCATACGGACGAGCGTGGAGATAGTACATGGCAGCAGCGGACGGATATACTTCCTCGAGATGTCACACAACAGATTAAAGAGTTCCCTCGCATCACTGCAAAAGATTTACGACACCGCACCCAACGTCCCCGACGGGTCAAGATGTACACGAGGGACTTTATTGAAGGTATGGACACCCCACCACTCACAAGGCTGGTTTGATCGCAGCTAACATCTCAACAGACAGCTTGTATAACCCAAATTATGGGTACTTTACCAAGCATGCGACCATCTTTAATCCCGGCGAACCCTTCGACTTTCCCAATATCAAGGATGGCGCCGAGTTCAACCGATTAGTGGACCGCAGTTATGTCGAGTTTGAGGATGCCCTCGATTCCATCCAACCAAATGATCTGAGACAACTCTGGCATACCCCGACGGAGCTCTTTCGACCGTTTTACGGCGAGGCCATCGCACGATACCTTGTCACCAACTATAAAATGACCCTGTACCCGTACCACGATCTGATCATCTACGAAATGGGAGCTGGAAATGGCACGCTCGTACGTAATATACTCGACTTTATCCGAGAGAACGAGCCGGAAGTCTACACACGCACTCAGGTCAAGATTATCGAGATATCTGCCTCCCTTGCCGGGCTTCAATTGACCAATCTGCGACAATCTCCCTATGGTCGTGAACACCTCGAAAGGCTGCAGATCATCAACCGGTCGATATTTGACTGGAATGAATACATTCACTCGCCCTGCTTCTTCCTGGCCCTGGAGGTCATTGACAACTTTCCACATGACAGCCTGCGGTACGACCCGGATACTGAAGAGCCTCTCCAAGGCAGCCTCCTCATCGACCAAGACGGCGAGTTCTTTGAGATTTACGAGAAGCATCTCGACCCAGTCGTTCGGCGGTACTTGCAGCTCCGCCAGGTTGCTGCTCGTTCTCCCTTTACCACCCCTGTCTCGGGTCCCAAGTTCCTGCGCACCCTCCGGCATTCTCTCCCGCTGGCGCCCAATCTCACCAAGCCCGAATACATCCCAACATCATTGATGCAGTTCTTCGACATTCTGCATCGCTTCTTTCCCGCCCACCGACTGGTCCTGTCCGACTTTAACTATCTGCCGGACGCGGTTCCCGGCCTGAATGCTCCAGTGGTGCAAACCCGGTACCAACGCCGCAATGTCCAGGTGACGACGCCATTTGTCTACCAGGGTTACTTTGACATTTTCTTCCCCACCGATTTTGCCATGATGGAGGACGTCTACCGCGCAATCACCGGAAAGCTGACACGTGTTTCAAGCCACCAAAGTTTCCTGGAGAGCTGGGCAATTGTCGAGGAGACCATGGTCCGGAATGGAGAGAACCCTTTGTTGAGCTGGTACGCCAATGCTAGCGTCATGACCACAGTTTAGTGGAGATGAATTGGAGTCAGGTCTAAGCAAGGACGAGGAGATCTAGCTATAGGAACATTCACACCATGTAGATGAAGGTTACATGGTCGAGTCACCCGCATGTCAAAGCGGAGGCTGCCTGAATCACCCTCGGTATAGTATAAGATTTCGGTCAAGGGCATGTCTGTTTCTAATGCTCCGGTCATGGGGCTAGACTCAGGCTCAATCCGAACAAACCTGCTCAACCCTGTACGCGAAATGTTCTCCCGCTTGCTGTTTTCCTTTCCCTTTCTTCCGTTTCCGGCCTAGCACGATTGAGAACTAGAGAAGGAGAATCAGCGCCCGACGGACGATAAATGAAGGGTTGTATTTACCTTGCAAGAAATCAGCGGTCCGCCGTCTCATTCGGGAATGAATATAGGCCTTGGAGGCTTTGATGTGGTAGTGGAAATAATCTCGGAATGTTTGAATGTGGGAGATGACTTGTTCTCGACGGTTGCGGGTCAGATGTCGCGGGAAAAGGACTGACAGGTTAGTTAAGGCTTCCAGCAGACAAGACGTATCGAGAGCTGGGGTGCGGGGGCATCATTCTTACCAAATGTGATGAATCCAACCTCTCCCTTCTCGCCGGTGCGGCCGACGCCTTTCAATCCTTGTAACTCGAGAGGGGGATCACTCCTGAATAGGACCTGGGGCGCATTTTGAATGGCTCTCCGTCGGGCGTCGACGAATTCTTGTAAAAACACTTTTGCAAAGATCTTGTCCACGGCGTCGCTGAACAAGGTGGAGAAGATGACCGTGACGCGATCGTGAGAGGCTTTGATGTAGATGGCCTCAGCCTCGCGGTAATGGATCGACATGACTTGTCCTCCTTCCGCAACTCCCTGTGGGGCAGATTCGGACGTGTATTTGGCGGCTTCCTCGGCGAGGGCAGAGAATTCGTCAAAGGCTTTCTCGAATGGGGCTGCCATGACGTTTCGCTTCAGCAGGCTGATCCTGCGGACTAGCTCTTCTTTTTCTTCCGGTGTTGGGGGGAGGGACTCGAGGTCAATGAGGATGCTGAAATCGTAGCCGGCTTCGGTGTCGGTGATGTAGTTTCCATATTCTCGTTGCAGGACGACTTCGGCGCCATATTGGACTAGTTCTCGAAAACACTTTATCTGTAAAGAGATGAGAATCTGAGTCTTTGTATTAGGAGTCGAGATGTGGAAGGTGACGCCGTCAAAATCCGACACGACTTGGTCGATTGAGGTTGGTGCAGCACCGGAGAAACGCTCGGTTAGAATGGATTGCAGGAGAACGTTTTCGTAGTCGAGGAGTAGCATGGTGATCGGTTACGCCTCTCAACGAGGGTTGGGGAGAGGAGGATGAGTGGTGCTTGTGTTGCAGGAGGCTTTCGTTGGAAAGACTCAGGTCTGAATTGTAGGCAAGGAAGCCTAGTGCTCGTCGTCCTGAATGAGATGAGGGCAACGTCAGACAGTCAAGTCAAGTTGTGGCTGGTGGTTGCAGGTGGGGGCTGAGGGGGCCGAGGGGCTGAGGGGACTGCAGGACCTGGGGGTGCAACCTGCGTCTTGATCACTGTGGTTCGCAGCAAAGCTTGGCGACTAGTAATGTCTTCGGTCGCTACTGTATGGCGTGTTGCCACAAGGCTTGGAGAGTAGGGGGGAAAGGAGTTTCTGTATATTGACTGTATACTTGATCTACCGCGATTTATTCTCTTGGAAAGGTGTTCAGAAGAAGAGACACACAAAGTGTCCATGGACAATGACCCTTACCACATCATATTTGCAACGTTTTAGTTCACCTGCCAGGTGAGGAAGCCGTGTTGATGTTTTCTCCCTGCGCATTGATCGCGTCGGTTGGAATGCGCAGCTGCCCAGGCATTTCTGTTCCTCCTCCTGCTCCTGCTCCTGCTCTTGCCTGGCCGAGATATCGCCCACCCGCGCCTTCCGTATATTCTGATCTTTCTTTTGACCGAAGCAGGTCCATGCATGTAACTCTTTTTTCTTACACTCTCTTGCTCAGGGAGTTGCTGCACCTTGGTTGACCATGAACTGCTTCTTCTTCACCTCTACCATCTCTATACTCTCTCCTAGGGTCTGCACATAATTTGCCCCTTTCTCCATGTGGCCACTGTCACGTCTTTTCCCCGTGCAGAATCAGTTCCCTAGCACTCATCATGTACAAGTCTCTCTTCGTCACACTCGTTCTCGTCCTCGGGCAACATTCCACGCCCTGCGACTCTGTCACGCTTTTTCGCAGCCCTCTTAGTCAAAGAACAGAAGGTGAGCCTCTGTTTGCGTTGGCTGCAGCCATCTTATTGACCGTGGTCGCTAGCCATGCCACTCGACTGGGGAGCCGCTCATGCTAAAGCTGGTCGTTTTGTTGATCAATTGACCCTAGAGGAAAAGCTTCATATGGTCCGAGGCAATACTTCCACACGGGGACCTGGATGCACTGGCAACATCGAGCCAATCCCTAGACTATCATTTCCAGGCATTTGCTTCCTCGACGGCCCCAATGGTGTGAATCGGAATGAACTAGTCAGCGTCTTTCCTGCCGGCGTCACCACCGCTGCGACCTGGGACAAGCGTTTAATGTACAAGCGTGGTCTTGCCATGGGCTCCGAGTTCAAAGGGAAAGGTGGCCATGTCTTTCTCGGGTGGGTGGCCCATGACTCGAAGTCTTGAATGACTAATAACAATATTGCAGACCCAATGCCGGTCCCATCGGCCGCCATCCTGCCGGAGGCCGCAACTGGGAAACCTTTTCTCCCGATCCTTACCTCACTGGTGTTGCAATGGAAGCCACAATCAGAGGCGTTCAAGCAAATGGTGTACAGACTGCCTCGAAACATTATATCGGAAACGAACAAGAGACTCAACGATCAAACACAACCCTTGCGAATGGCACTCATATAAATGCCATATCTTCCAATATCGATGATCGTACCATGCACGAGCTGTACCTGTGGCCCTTTTCAAATGCTGTCAGAGCAGGTACCTCCTCCGTCATGTGCTCATATCAGCGACTGAATCAGACCTATGCCTGCGAAAATCCGGCTCTGTTGAACTCGATCTTGAAGGCAGAGCTTGGATTTCAGGGTTATGTGGTTTCAGATTGGCTCGCCACCCATTCCACCGCCCCATCCGCCAACTCAGGTTTAGATCTCGAGATGCCTGGCTTCTTACCCATCCCAATAGCAGGAGCAGTCCAATTCTTCGGTCCTCAGCTCGCACAGGCGGTCAGAGACAACTCTGTTCCTCTCAGTAGACTGGATGACATGGTTCGGAGAATCATGACCCCTTATTTTCTTCTTGGCCAAGATAGCCCTCGGTATCCTACTCCAGATCCTTCAATTCCCTTCGTCCTTGCAGTATCCCAATTTGGCCTGCCTACTGCGCGAGCCTGGTTCGAAAATCTGCTCGGTATTCCCTGGACTGAACCTAGACCCCGAGATGTGAGAGCTGATCATGCCTCTCTTATTCGCAGGATCGGTGCCGAGGGCACGGTTCTCCTCAAAAACGTTAACGCAACCCTACCCCTATCAAAAGTCACAAATATTGGCGTCTTTGGAAGTGCAGCTGGAGATCTGGTGGGCGGGTTGCAATACCCCGACGAAGGAAACCCGTCACTCGGACCCGTAGTCATCGGCGGAGGTTCAGGGTCTGGCCGCCTTTCTTACATTGTCTCCCCGTTGGCAGCAATCAAGACCCAAGCGCAAAGGACTGGAGCGCGTGTTCAGTATGTCACAGACGATAAGATCATCTTGTCATCCAAACTCGCAATCTATCCCACACCAGAGGTCTGCCTTGTCTTTTTAGCAGCGTTTGCTAGAGAGTCACGAGATCGGGATGGTCTCGAAGCTGATAGAAACAGTACCGCTGTTGTCCGCACCATTGCAGAAACGTGCCCGAATACCATTGTTTTCGTTCATGGCCCTGGTGTTGTCACTATGCCCTGGGCCGATCATCCAAATATCAAGGCCATTCTCGCTGGACACTATCCCGGGCAGGAGATTGGCAATTCGGTGGTGGACGTTCTCTGGGGCTCGACAGAGCCTTCCGGGCGCCTACCATACAGTATTCCCATGTTTGATAACCAAACAAGCCTTCCTATCGTGACCGAACGGAGTGGCCCAGGCGAGAATGATTGGCAGGCCGACTTTATAGAAGGCCAACTGATCGACTATCGAGCTTTTGATGCCCACAAGGTCAAGCCGAGATACGAGTTTGGGTTTGGACTTTCATACACAACATTCAATATCTCGAGCATCAACGTTACGGCCAAAGTGGCAAACCCTGCACCCCTTCCGGACCCTAGGCGTGCGGTCCAACCGGGGGGGAATCCGACGTTATGGACAGAGCTTGTTTCAGTCACGACCAAGATCCGAAACACTGGACGCTCTGCTGGATCCGTCGTACCTCAACTCTATCTGACATTTCCTTCAACTACGCCGGAGGGAACTCCTCCCAAGGTGCTTCGAGGATTTGAAAAGCTATATCTGCGAGCGGGAGCTAGCAGTGAGGTCGAGTTCGGACTCATGAGACGTGACGTTAGCTACTGGGATGTGGCCAGGAAGAATTGGGTGATTCCCCAAGGAGAATTTCAAATCAGCGTGGGGTACAGCTCAAGAGACTTGGCTGTCTCCGCAAAGATGCGGGTACTGACGTGATGAGTCCAGTCTAAATTCTCTTCAAAGCAGCCAGCCATCATGAAGAGAAGGAAACAAGTGATGACTACCGCTGGATGACATTGCGTAGGAAAGCTTGTATGCGTGCTATGTGTGAGGCGTTTGGGTCGATCAGGGTTCTGGCGTCTCGAATTTGATCAACGATGAGATGCAAAGGAAAGGCATCGTAGGACTAAGGTAAGCGCAACTGGTTGGTCGCGGGCCTTATTGCATTACAACTTTATAAACAGGTGTGCCCATGTCACTGCCGGCTATCAAGCAAGCAACCCTCACGATAGAATTAACAAGTCAGACTAGATACTGAGATATCTTTAGGGGCCGACGAGGTTCTTGACATTAGCTTGTAATCCATCTATCCATCTTTCTAGGCCTTTCTCCTGGCTGCGTCTGTGATTAGGGTTTAGGGCGCGCTAGACTGGCTTTTGATACACCTGAGTCTGGTGTGGTGGCTTTTCAAATTGCATCGGGGTTGCAATTCCCCTGCCCAACGGGCCCGGGGAAAAGTGCCCACTACTCTCTGGCAAAGTGGGAGAATCGAACCGATGATCTGTGGGGGGAGGTGGGAAGTACAGCTGGAGGTCTTGTTGCGGTTGCTGCGACGTTGGTTGGCCTTGCCATAGCGCTGTCTGGACGCCGCCGTACCGTGTCTCGTCATGGCTCATTTTGTCATGGGCAAATGTCTGGCTTCTACCCAATCTGGGCTCCTTGAAGTCAACACCCTCGAGACCGCCGAATATGACATCCCTCGCCTCGGTCACGGGTACATGCCCGTCGAGATTGGTCCACTTGCCACCCATACCAGCCTCCTCAAACATCATCCTCTGAACCTGCAATTTGTCATCCAAGATCCAACGAACACGTCGAAACGAGCCAGGACCGCCACGTACGCCTCGGGACTGCAGCCAGGATACAGTCGGCTGAAGCAAGAAAAACACAATGATAATGACTATCCCGACAGCAAAGACAATCACCAACCCCAACACTGAAAATGACACGGTGTCACCTAGAACCCCGACCTTCTGTGAATAACACATGGCCTTGGTGGCCGCATCAAATGGCTCCTCCAGGTAAGTACCAGGCGGAAATGTGTCTTTTGAGACACTCGAAGCGGCATATTCGACAGCGCTGCGTTGCAATTTAGCTAGGCTCACGTCGTACCAGGCCGAGACCTCGCGCTGCCATTGAGTAGAAGTCAGCTCGGATAGCTGATTCTGGTTCTGAACTGTTTCACTGGCAAGGAGGGCTGACGCGCCCCGGCCGCCAATTGAGTGATAGATACTCAGGGCCCGAGATGTGAGAATGAGGCGGGAAGCAACGGCGAATTGTAGGGAATTGAAGTTGAGAGAGATCGATGATGTCTCATTGATGTAGCTGTACGCTTGTTGGTAGCCTGTGAGTGGGGTGCATTGATTTTCGGCCATGTTGACACTACAGTACTGATACTGGTCCTGGCACGCCATGACGCTGACATATTCATCCGCGGAATAGTACGATAAGTCGACCCCAGCAAAAGTGCCGAGATCGACGCGAAAATTGGCGGAAAAGAACGGATCATTAGTCGGATACGTATACTTGATCGAATTCGAGGCGAGAAAGATCAAGGTGAGGTCGGCCGATGTTTGGTCGAGTTCAGGGATCGATGTCCACTGTGTGGCATCCAAGGGGGCCTGTGTTGCCCTGTGCATTATATTAGACTTGGGAACGCCAAGGCCGAGTTACAGAAAGATGAGAGACTTACACCAATTCATAGCCGAAGCCATCGATCAACGCGTGTTGATTGTACATGTAAGTGATATTGTTTCCTAGTCCGGCATCGGTGTATGTTCCATACTGGTACTGGCGGATACGGTCGCCTGCTAATCCCAGCCCATCGAGACCGGTAGAGTTGATCACTTGGACATACTGTTGGGTGACTTTGAGTGGTGAGCACGTAGCGACATGGCGGAACCCAACTCGTCCCGATTGGGGGGCATTGATACCCAAGTCGTTGTGAGAGTCAATAACTCCTGAATCGAGTTGGAAGGCTCGAGGGGCGGAGCAGATGGAGGGATCGGCAAAGGGACAAGAGACTTCTGATGCTGTGTATTGGATGCTCGGTTTTGTATAAGTGCTGCAGCGCAGATTGTTGAAGCTAGAGGCTTGGGCGTAACATTGACGGGCATAGGAAGCAGCAAGGATGGTATCATTGAGATCTTTGTTCTGCATGGCGACGGTGCGGGAGTTGATATCTGCAGAAGCATTGACAGCCCAGAAACCACACGAGTCACTTACAATGAGTCTCTGGGCACCAGCAGCCTGGGTGATGAGACCAGTCAAGACGGACGCAGCGCTGAAAGCAATCATAAAGAGCAGGGCCAAGATGGCGAGGGGTAAGGATCGGGACCATGGTTTCCGACCGGCTCTTCGCCAATGCCAGGCAGTCTCAGTGAAGGACTTGGTTGCTTCTGCTGGGGAAGTAGAGTTGCGGAAGATCAACTGGTGCTGGTGATGCAAGCCATCCCTGGCCTGGGAGGTGGAGGATAATTGATGTATCGTGTAGCTGAGAATTCTCCACAAACAAGAGCTGACAATGGTGACAAAAAGAGCAAGGAAGGCTGTTAAGACAGACGCCCAACGAGAGGAAAGGGTGAGGGTGCTACCAAGGACAGCACCCCGTGACCAATCAACCCAGGCACCAGTGAAGATATGGGCCCCAGTGAGGGAGGGCATGTTGCAGAGGGCAAACTGGGGAATTTGGGAGAGGACCAAAGGAACGAGATGGTGAAGGAAACAAGCTTGAGGGCCCTTAAGAGTGAGTATTGCATGCTGGGCCGATGATGACAAGAGGGAATGAAGGTATTATAGCAAGACTGCAGGGGGCCCCAACGACAGATAGCAGACAAAAATGACAAGGCGTTGCTGAGTCTGAGACAGACCTAGCAAAAAGAGTATGCGCATGATGAAGTGACTTGGGCTGAAGGGAAGTTCTGCAGAATGAAAAGTCAAGTCTGAAGAGGGTATGGGTGACCACGAGGCGGGTGAGGAACGAGGTGGAATCGTCCAATCGCAAGTTGCATAGGGGCTGGAACGAGCCGCAACGAAGCTAGCAGAGGCTCTGCCACGAGGACATCTGGCCGAACAATGGATATTGGCTGTAGAATGACGCTAGCTCAAGCATCTGAGAGAGGTGAGGCTTCTGGAAGACATGGGCGTGTACTGGATGTACGCTGCGGAGGAGCGGTGGAAGCTGGAAGCTGGATTAGCGTCGGGGAACCAAAATAGACATTTGAAATGTCCATGGCTTGAACGGATGGGAAAGATGACAATCGGGCATGGCGTCTTGTCTGCGTCTCATTAGCTTAGCAATCTCAGGGCTGAAGGGCCGAGGGGTGTAGGCTAGACCAAAGCATAGCGGCACAGCGTCAAATATGTCTACGGAGTGGTGGTAATAACAGAGAGCCACATTTGTCCCCAGATCTGTTGTATCCTTGGCAGTCAAGACTGGAGTAACGCTGGACACGAGGTGCCAAGGTGGGCTTTTCCGATCTAGGAATGTCGAATCTGGTTCAAATGGTACCGTGGCCTTGAGGTTGCCCGTGGCTTGAACCTTGGTACCTAGCTTGAGGATACCAAAGGTATTCCAGGCTTTTTTCTCTGTAGGTCGGCATGAAACCCGTGAGGGTGCTGGACTGGATTTCAAGAAGAACAACTAAAGAGAGAATCAGACTCATCGACTCATCAAGATTGAATGGGAAACTTGAAGAATGTCGTACCTTCCGCTGCGGGGTCAAGTTCCCCACCTGCCATGTGGAATTATTATTATATGTGTATCTTTTCGGGAAGCCGCCTCTCGACGACCTGAGACCACAGATCCCTATCGACCTAGGTAAGTTTAGGTAGTCGGTTTACCAACATTGAAATCCCATCTGCAAGGGCAAGTCGAAAGGCATTGGCCCCTCGATAGGTGTACCCATACGTATATGGAAACGAACAACTTGCTATCAAAAGGGTCCTTTTGCGTATGTAGCCATATATGTAGGCCTTAGGAGCTAAGTCGCCAGGTTGAGAAAATGACCGAACCCAGTCTTGGAGTCGCTGAACACGTTTATACTCGCCAACAGACCAACTGAGGGTGAACGCGCAGAGGCATGAATAGGGACGCCTCTTAAATTGGGTGTTGGAAGTTGGCTGGAACCTTCTCTTCCAACGTGAGACCATATAGCAGCGTGCGTCTTATAATGTGGCAGTCCGAGCTGGAACGCAGAGCAGACAAAAAGGTGAATACAGCCGCTGAGGAAACCTGGTAGACTGCGTCACGATGGTGCCCCCAAGTTTGTTGAATGCTGCCAAAAAAGACCAGCCTGAAGCCGCTTCTGCAATAGGCAGGGCTGCCGATAGTCACGTGTTATATTTCAGTTCTACGCGCCTTGAATGAGGCAGGCGCGACTCCAACGTAAGGAAAATGTTGATCAAACATCAATCCCTCCCTCCATCCATCAACATCTGCGCCTTTCGCCAACCACCATCTTCATAGTCCTTGGTTGCTAGTCTCTTCTTTCTGAACGGCTCCTCTGCCTGGATAATGCGAGCCTCCCAAGATTGCTGACCACAAGCATTTTCCTCATCTCTGGAGGACAACGACCCTCTCCCACCCCCCTTCCTACACCTTCGCCTCGCCCCTTCGCGCCGTTTCGTCAAATGCGCAGCCAATCTCACCGCCCTCTGTCCTCCCGACTCCTCTAGCACGTCGATCTCTGTCCTCCGAACTGCCCCGATTGAGAATGGCTTTTAGCCCTTCTAATGTCGCCTCCGCCCAGGCTGCAGGAAATTCCGTCTCCGTTCATGATGGTGCTCAGTTGTTGGAGATTCGCACCACTGAACTAGCCTTCCACACCCTCAACGGCGAAGTCAAGATCCAACTACTTCCTACACCTTGGCCAGACGACAATCTTCCCGCCCCATCGTCTTCCCTACTCTCCGTTGCTTCATCTCGAAAATTGGTCGCTGCCGCTGGGCCCAACGCCGTCTACATCGCTCACACTTCCAAGATCAGGGACTTGTTCCAGGCTATCGAAGGAGACCAAGTTCGCTCCTATGCTCCAGATATCACGATCCCTCTCCCTCGTCCTTGTCAAGTTGCCTTTTCGTCCGACGAGAGTGTCTTGGTTGCTTCCACCGAACACGACGGTTCGATCCACGCTTTTCAGCTCGACGCTCAACACATCCTCCAATCCGAACCAACCCTCACAATTTCCACCGGAGGCTCAAGACTGAGAGCTCTCGCTCCAAACCCTGCATCCGATTTGGCCCAGCTATTCGCCGTGGTAACTGACCGTGGCGACTGTTGCATTGCTGACCTCAAAGCGGGCGCCCTGGTCTTGCGTGACGGCACTCCAGAGTTGCTCAAAAATGCCACAGTCGTCTCGTGGAGCAATAGAGGTAAACAATTGGTGGTGGGCCGGAATGATGGTACCGCAGTTCAAATCAAACCCGATGGCAGCCTCGTCACCACCATTCCCAGGCCCTCTTCGCTCCCTGACAATGTTCACATCTCGGGAATCTCGTGGCTGGAAAATGAGTGCTTCTTCATTGCCTATACGCCAACTGCCTATGACACTGACCAAGGGATCCCTCCTTCCGACTACTTCATCGTCAGTCGTGATAAAGCCGCCCTCAACTATACCTTCGATAAGTTACCTGAAGTCGTCTCCCCATTCGGGCCCGAGAGGCTCCCTTCATCACATCAGATATCTCGCCTGAGGGGCTGGCAACCCAACTTGAGGGACCTCTTGATCGTGACTGCCACGACCTCTTCAGACGTCGGTCTCGTCACCAAATCTTCTAAGCCTTTATCGCCAGAAGGCATCGTGGACCCAGCCTTCACCGTAACAGTCATTGACGAAGATACAGAACGCCCTCAGCTCCCTCTCTCTTCCACATTCCAAGACACCTCCCCAATCGGAATGGCTCTCGATCTCTCAAGTACTGACAAAGTCCCGGGGCCGCTGAAGGCTCAGCCCGAAATCCTAGAGTCCGATGGCCCTATGCCCAATCTCCTTATCCTAAACCACGAGGGTGTCTTGGTCTCGTGGTGGGTAATTTATGCAGATTCGGTACGAGAGAAGACTCTTTACCCGGGCATCCTCAGTACACCATCCACTGCCCAGCCAGAAGCATCCCTCCCCCAGGCGCCACAACTAATTTCATCGACCGCGCCCAAGGTTCCTGGCCCTTCCAGTCCCTTTGGGTCGTCTGCCCTCTCTGGTGCATCACCAACAAGTTCCACCTTCGGCGCACCTTCCGCCCAGAGTCGGCTCCCGGCACCAAGCAACAGCTTTGGATCCTCTTCCGGCACCTCTTTTGGCCAAGCCACTCCCATCTCAATTGCAAACACATCTTGGACCAATACGGGATTTGGCGCAAATAGTACGGCGGGGACAACGGCGTCTGTGGCCAATAAGCCCACCTTTGGCGCACCAGGATTTGGCTCCACTAGTGCATTGGGAAAGCCTTCATTTGGAACAACAGCGTTTGACACTGCCAGCAAACCCACTTTTGGCCAGCAATCTTCCTTCGGGTCAGGCGCCACGAAGAGCCCATTTGCCTCCGCCGCTGCTCCCTCGTCAGGTTCTGGTTTTGGTGCATTCTCCAAAGCTGGGGGTTTTTCTTCATTTTCAACTGGGGAAGCATCAAAAACATCTCCCTTTGCGAAAGCCACCGGCTTTGGCGGATTCGGGACATCCTCCTCGACTAATTCGTTTACCCCGGGAACAACTACATCTGCCCCTTTTGGCGAATCTTCCCAGAAATCATTCCCTGGTGTCGGGACATCACCTTTCAAACTCGAGTCCTCTTTTAAGGGGGATGGAAGTGCTAAAGATGACCTCCCAAAACCAGATACTGCTGGTGGCTTTGGTTTCGACGCCTCTTTAGACGACCTTTTAGGCACCTCCAAGCCCGCACACCAAAACAACAGTAATGGTGCTACGGTTGGCGAAAAGAGTACAATTGGCAGCGCGGCGTCGCAGTTGACTGACAATTCCGCTCAACAAGAATCGGCGCCGTTCGAGGCCAAGTTGCATGGTCGCCCGACCACCACTCCACCTGCCACCATGAGCCAGTCCAAGGCCACCCCAGCAGCGCCAGTCTCGGGTCTTTTTGGCAATTCAAATGCTGACACAAGGACGCCAGAAGCTCCGGCTGCGAAACAAGGGTGGTCATTCGACGCCATGTCCTCGACAACTCCCAAGGAAACTCCCGCATCTTCTCTCTTTGCTCCAAGCTCTGATGGTGCCACGCCTGCGTTGGCCCAACACAGTCACTCGTCAGACACGTTTCATGCCAATCGAGAGACGCCACGGATCAAAGAAGAGCCTCCTAGTGATGATGAGCGAGGAAACCTTGCAAACATTCCAGAGGCTCCTCTCCCACCTGATCCGGTCAGTAAGCCTCGGTATGCCTCTGGAGACACGTCGGCATCTTCAGTCAACTCCAAGACTGTGACAGATGATGCTCCATTGCCACCCGACTTTCTCGCGGGCCCCAGGTCTTTTACTAAGGGACATTTGCAGCAGGAGCTGCCTAGTGACAACGAGGACGAGCTGAGCTCGGATTTTGACGATAGTGAGGAGGAAGTCACGGAAGAGTTGCAAGCAGCTGCCGAAGGCTCAGAGAATTCGCAAGAGGACCTCCAGACGTCACCAGAGAGTTCATTCAAAGATGACGATCGAAGCTTTGATGCCAGTCCTACTGGGGGCGCCTTTACCAAAATCACTTCCACAGGCGAGGCCAAGCCTGCATCTCGTCCATTGTTTGGAGAGGTAGTCACAGGTCTTGGACCAGCTCCCAAGTTCCCCGTGCCTCATCCACAGGAGAGTCCACGATCGCCAAGCCCGGTTCGAAAGCCATTTGCAAGTGAGGTCCTGCGAATGGATCCGTCAAGATCCGTCAGTGCACCTGCACGGCCTCGTTCAATCATAGACCAGAGGAAAGCCGAATTCAAAGAGTCTCCTTTCTCTCTTCAAGCAGCCAAATCTCGAGATGAGGAAGTTGCCAGGGAAAGACAGCGACGTGAGGAGGTAGCCCGGCGGAGAGCTGAAGAAGAAGCCAAGCAACTCGTGCCACTACAAGACGATGAAGATGAGAGACTGAAACAAGAGCTTGAGAGACCAGTGTCGCCTAAGGGTGAATTGGATGAATTTCTCTCGTATCAACCTCGACCACCTGAGGATACCGTTCGCACAGGTATTCCGGCTCAGATCGAGAGGCTTGCTTCGGACATCAACAAGATGGTCACAAACCTCGGCATCAATAACCGGTCGCTGACCTCATTTCTGCGATATCAGCAACCAAATGCCACCAACCAGTCATGGCCACAGGTCCTTCGATCAGACACTCCACAGGATGCACTTCACGACGAATGGCTTCTGGGTGACATTGAGCGGTTGCATGAAGGTTACCATGTCCTAGCGGTTGACCTTGAGGACAGTTTGGTCCAAGGCTTTGACGGAAAACTGGAGGAATGTCAGATCCTGCTCGGTCGTGACCTCTACGAGCTGCGAGCAAAACTCACGGCGCTTCGCAAGACCTTGCACAGCGCATCGGCTGGCAACAACACAAAGAGCGCACCATTGTCAGCCGAACAGTCATCCGTCCAGGCTGATCTCAGAAGGGCGTCTGCATCTGTTCAATCGAAGCTTGTACAGATAGAAGACAGTGTGGCGATTCTCAAAGCACGAATAGCAGAATCGAAAGGACAGGAAAGCTACAATGGCCGGTCTTCTGCATTTAGAAGAGCACCGACACACAAAAAGCCAACGGTCGAGGCGGTGACCAAGACTGTCAGCAAGATGATGTCTATGGCTGAACAAAAGAGTGCTGATATCGACGTATTAGAGGGCCAGCTCAAAAAGTTAGGATTAGGGTCTATGGACGGATCGACCTTAAGCCATGATAGCATCTCCAATGGAGCTCCTGCTGCAACTACCCCACAGCAAAATCGGAAATTGCTGAAGAGAGCGACTCCTGGAAGCACTAGCAGCGTCTACCACACTCCAGAGTCGCACTTTGGCAACAGTGCGCGGTCAAATCGTTTCCGAACAAGTCAGAATTCAGGCATGGTGACAATTTCAGGTGACGACAGAGAGAGATGGAGATTACAGGCCACGCGGAAGAAAGAGGCTGCGGCTGTGCTAAAGGCTGTTCTCGAGGCCAAGCGGACAAAGGCCAGAAGCACGGAATGAAGTAATCGAGTATCAAGCATTGCCTCAATTGATGTAAAACTACCATGAGGGGAATATGGATCATGAATACAATACTTCCTTCCGTTTCGCTCCCGTTTGTACCTTCGCCTGAATCCTGCCACGACACGATCTCGTGGATTTTCCATCACCATGCCCAAAGAACCTTGGCTAAAGAATTAGCCCTGTTTGTGTGATACGCATATATGGACAAGGTTGACAAAAGTCTCTCACTTAGGCACGTGACATATTGCCTCTAGAAGCTGCCGAGAACGCCCATAGGAAGTAGGTAGGTAAGTGGTCTAGTACTTGTGCGTACACGCACGACTTAATTATAGTGTAAGGGAAAATAGGCAAATAATCAGGGACGTGTCAACTACAGACTGTAGACAAATACTAGAAATTAGGGAAGTTGATGCAAACTAAATAGTATGAGTGATCGAGGCGCTCAGCGTCGACCTGAGAGGGAGGATATTCTGAGGCAGGTACCAGCCTGAGTAATTAAATCTACTCTGTAGAACTCATCGGCACCTGCATGGTTGCAGTGAGTGACTCCTGTGGTGCCTGCGAGGTGCCTGTTTCCCCAGCCCTTGGCAGCCACGGCACTACTTTTATTAGTCAACATCTGGGGGAGACTGGAGTCAGGCACGACTGGAAATCGGGAATCCCAAAGTCTGGGAAACAGGCGCGGAAAATTACTGTCCGCTATTCCTAATTAGTACTAGTCGCTGGGTGCCCATTTTGACTCGCAGGTTGCAACTTCCAACACCTTGACTCCTGACCTTCTCTCCAAACCGAGACTCTTTCTCACCCACAACACATCTTCAAAGTCCAGTTCCAAGTCAATCTCGTAGCTTGACGCCAGCAGACTTGAGCGTGAAACTCTTTCTTTGATTGTCCTTTCGTTCGCTTACACTCTTCTCGAGTGATCTCACCGCTGATTTCGCGGCTCCTCCATTCTCCCATTAGCCTGCCACGCCCTGCCTCACCCTCCTGTTCAGCCACTTGCTTGTCCTCCCGCCATCTCCTTCGCCATCGCCATCGTCAGATCACTCATATCGTCAACCTCTGGTTGTCTGAGTTAAGTCCACAGTTGCTCTGCATCCGTTGTCCTGCTTGCGGGGATCGGAGTACGGCAAACTGCCCTGATTCAAAGCGTTCCTTGCATCACCCAAACCTATCTGTCCATCCACCTACCCACCCATCCACCTTCCACCTCTCTTCCTCCACGGCCTGTTCCTTGACCGTCTATCTCATCACATCATACGTTTGAACACGCGCTCCACTCCACCCACAATCTCTGAGCCTTTTCCCGCGTCTCTTCGACTTCCTCAAAAAGCACATAAACATCTCCATTCCACCAACACTCCAGCCTATCCTTCTACACCACCCGCCCTCCTCCTCGCATTTGGACTTTGGCAATCCCCCTTCCTAGCACCAGCACCAGCCCGTTTTCCTTGGACGCACTGGTGTACATAATCTCAAGATCAATAATCAAAGATACCATTGAACAAAATACATCTCTGCACACGTGACTGGACGTCACGCGACATGTCTGCCTCACCCACGTCAACCACCGCCATGTCTTCTGCTAAGCGGCCCTTGGAAGACCCTTCATCTCCCTCAGCCCCAACTGACCTGCCAGACGCGAAACGACCAGCTCTGAACAAGGCCGCACAAGAAGAGCCCGCCTCCCACACCCTGGAGTCGGCCACTTCTTCCGGTGTCCCAGCTGCGACTGCAACTACCCTGCCGCCTCCTCCGACGACCAATGGCGCCGCTGAAGCCCACTCGGATGTCCCGTCCTCCGCCACGGCTCATTCGTCTGTGCAGCCGTCCGTTCCTGAAACCCAGCCCATCCTCTCCACCGCCTCCGAAAACGAACGAGCAACCTCCGAGTCCCATGGCCTCCCCGTTCAGGACGAAACCAATTGGATTCATATTCGCGCCGTAATCTCCAGCGCCGAGGCCGCCACCTGTATTGGCAAGGGCGGTGAAAATGTAACTCAGATTCGCAAGCTTTCTGGTGCGAAATGCACCGTCAGCGACTACTCACGTGGCGCTGTTGAGAGGATCCTAACCGTCAGCGGTGCCCAGGACGCGGTTGCCAAGGCATGTTTCTTCACAAATTTCTCTTGGGTGTGGCAAGACTGACATAGTACAGGCTTTTGGTTTGATCATTCGTACATTAAACAACGAACCCTTGGAGGCACCATCGACGGCACAGTCCAAGACATATCCTCTACGACTTCTCATCCCCCACATTCTCATCGGCTCGATCATCGGCAAATCGGGGGTGCGTATTCGTGAGATCCAAGAAGCTTCTGGCGCACGTCTCAATGCTTCAGACTCTTGCTTGCCACTGTCGACAGAGCGCTCTTTGGTGGTGCTCGGTGTTGCAGATGCGGTCCATATCGCCACATATTACGTCGCGGTGACTCTGGTCGAGCAGTTGACGGAGCGGTTTGGAGGCCCAGCCGCCTCGGCCTATGCCACCAGGAGTGGAGGACCTGCTGGTGTTGTCCCAGGGGGCATGCAAGTCGTTCCATATGTGCCACAACCTGCAGGAGGTCAATTTGGCCATCCAGATTCCTACAAGCGACACAACACCGCCCCACCGCAAAGAATGCCTCCTCAGCCATTCGTTGGTGCGCCTGCTCCTGGTCCTGCTCAACAAGTCTACCCTCATCATGCACAAGCATATGCAGCCACACCTCGAACGCCGAGTTACGGTGGACCAGTGCCACAGCCAGGAGCATACGGGGGCCAGCCAACTCCTCAACCCGGTCCACATGGGCAACCTGGGCAGCCGCCCCAGTCAATGCCTGGACAGCCCATCACCCAGCAGATCTACATTCCCAACGACATGGTGGGTGCCATCATTGGTAAGGGAGGGGCCAAGATCAATGAAATCCGCCATCTCAGCGGCAGTGTGATCAAGATCAATGAGCCTCAGGACAACAGCAATGAGCGACTGGTCACCATTACTGGCACCCAGGAATGCAACCAGATGGCGCTGTACATGCTCTATTCAAGGCTCGGTGAGTCCTGATCCTAACTTGGCTTCCCGTGCTTCATAGCAGCTTTGTTGTCTAACTTGATACAGAGAGTGAAAAACACCGAATTTGAACAATGGACCATGGCCGGGACCGATAATGCCCAGTTCAAAACTCCTCGTCGCTATTCCGTGAGCTCCCTCGTAGAATTGAGACTATAGGGCAAGAGTCGATGGGCATTGATACCTAGGCAGTTGAGCCCAAGGTTGGAAAGACACGGCACCGTGGGACACAGGTCCATGCCTCTTGAAAGTGCAGAAGGCAGGCAATTTGATTCCCTCCAGTGACGAGGCATGAAGGCTATCTCCCCACAAACGGGGAGCTTCGCTGTGACGGTTTAGAGGGAAGGCCGAGAAAGTCGCGAGAAGCTGAAAACAGCGGCGGCAATGTTGAGTGATGGAAGACGCGACGGCAAGATAGATGGTCATCCAACGAGACATATTGTATGACAATAATAATTAGGTGTCGTGAACACGACTCACGTGGAAATGTGTGTAAATGGATCACGAGCACGTGACATGACTATTTGTATATGCAAAGTGTACTACGTTGTCCCTCGACTAAAATGTGTGGGAGCGTTAGAATGTGTGAGGCGGGGCTGGGGATGAAAATGTGGCGGGGCTCTCTTGGGTCTGTGGACTGACCCAATTGAAGAGAGGGTTTCACCCTAAACGACATCACGGTCCAACTCGGTGGTTGGCTCGGCTAAGCATGAGGCAGTGGACTTCAGTGGACCATCAAGAGAAGTTTTTCTTGTGACCCTTGAGTACCTCGGGAGCATCTTGGGAGAGCTGCATCCTTGAAATCATTGTATCCAAGTCCTAGTTTCGACCAAGTTAAAAGTTGGAGAGCATTCAGCCAAGGTCCGAAGACAGACTGACGACTGCTGTGCCAAACTCTACGCATCTGGACTGATCGGAGTTGTACTCTAGAGGACACCAGGGCCTGAAGTAAGGACAGTGGCCCACGATGGCAAACTTGACCGCCAAATATGCCCCTCCCTTTCGAGCGGAACACATGGGGTCCCTCCTCCGTCCCCAGGCTCTGTTGGACGTGCGTTCGCAGATCCGCGATGGAGAAGCAGCCCCGGCTGCGCTGACGGAGGTTGAGAAGCAGTCTGTGGGTGAGGTCGTGCAAGCTCAACTGTCGCTGGGTTTGCGGGCGGTGGGAAGCGGCGAGTTCAATCGCACCCGGTTCTGGGGCCTGTTTTGGGACGAGCTCGAGGGAACTGTGCGTCTACAGGACGCCGATGCCAGCATGTTCCGTCTCTACCATCCGGACGTGGTGAGCCTGATCGAGAAAGATCGCAAGGTGATGCCCGGAGACAGTGTCATCGCTGGGTCCAAAGTGCACAATGCTGGCACGGCGAGCAACTTGCACGAATTGCGCCTGGTGCAACAGTTTGTGCCCAAGGAAAGGTGGGGGGACATCAAGTTGACAATGATCACGCCAGCGGTAGGTTCTCCAATCATTATCTTGCGCCTAGATGGGAATTGGTGACTGGACATGAATGCAAGACTAATAACGGTTGCACGTGTGCAGTGGTTCCACATGAGATATAAACAAGGACGGGCATACACCGCCGAGGCCTACTCCAACGACAGCGAGTATTTCCGGGATGTTGCTCTGGCATATGCAAAGGAACTAAAGGACCTATACGCGGCGGGACTCCGAAATGTCCAGTTTGACGACCCAGGACTTGCTTGTGAGTGGCTTCGCCTGAAGAACGAGAATACGGCCTGAGCTGACGTGAATAGATTTCTGCTCCAGTTCATTCCGTGATGGCTGGGCAGCAGACCCCGACAACATTGGCACGGTGGACGAGCTGCTCGATGCCTACATCAAATTGTACAACGATTGCCTCGTTGATCGGCCAAACGACCTACACGTTGGAGTGCATCTCTGCCGAGGAAACTTTATCGGAGGACGGCATTTCGCCGAAGGAGCATACGACATCATCGCTAGCAAGCTCTTTCAAAATCTTGATGTCGATACGTTCTACCTGGAATACGACACGGAGCGAGCGGGTGGATTTGAACCATTGAAGTACTTGCCCAAGAACAAGAATGTGATCATCGGGGCCATCAGCACCAAACTGCGACAGCTAGAGAACAAGGACGAGGTCAAGGCGCGTGTGTTGAAGGCAGCCGACTTTGTCGCTGAAGGATCGGGACAAACGAGAGAGGAGGCACTCAAAAGAATTGGGTTGAGCCCTCAGTGCGGGTTCAGCACGCATGAGAGTGGTTATCCTTTGACATTGGAGGATGAGACAGCCAAACTGCGTCTGGTTCGGGAGATTGCAGATGATATCTGGGGCGAGCCATGAGAAATGAAGGAGACCGACGAGATGTCAAGACTTCTCGTGTTCTGGGGTTGTTCGATGATGGCAGCTATAGCGTGGTTTGCCAGAAAGAGAGATAGAATCAAAAGTTTGAGATATGATCAAGTAGAGGTGCTCAGAAAAAACTCAATGACAGATATTTTTGTCGAACAATGAAAGGATGAGGTCTTTGACATTGAGGAACGAGAAAAGGAAGCTACAAGCTATAAGCAGAGATGGCTCACTGTTGGCAAGCAAACGTCGTTGGCGTCATTTATTATATTATATTATATTATATTTTAATTCCACTGCAGGCGGCTACGAATGGCTGACTCGGTTCAAGCAACAACGAGGTCGCCCATTGATCTTTATTCGAGTGACCATTGCTGGTTTCTACCACCTTGCCAACAGGTACCTTTAAAGCATGTCCAAACGTGACTGGTACTATTAAGTACAGTACATGATGATGAGAGGTACTTGAAAACAGAGTTGCAAGGTTTCAGAATTCCAAGCCACATGGGCACACGGGCACACAGGGTCACGGGGTTCAAAGATGCCTCCGCAGAAGCTCCATATATTTACGGAGTAGTTGGTCGCACCTGCCTGACGATAGGCACAACGCGGAGCTTTAGGTTGGTTTTATGTGGAGCTTGGATGATCTTGTCCCTTCTTATTTATCTTGGCGCATCTTCTTCCTCCATTTCCCCACGCGTCCCCCACGATCCTCCTTCTCTCCTCCTGTCATCCACTCACCTTTGCATCTCAACCCTGGTCCACCCACACCACTTCAATCTCGCTCTACGGAGTAAACCTCTCCTCAAGTTTACAAGTATTTATGACTACCTAGGTAGTTACCGGAGTAGGTATGGGATGAGTGCGGAGACCCATACGACTTTGGCGACCAGAACCATCGGCGTCATTGCCGATATCCCGTCACCGTTGTTGTCCAGCCTGCATGTTGTCATCCTATCTCACCCCGAACCGTATTTTCTCCAACCCAAGGGTTCAATTGTTTTCTCAACAGTATGCCGTCATTGCCTTTCGACCTGTTTCCTCACCGTGTTGCCCCCATCCTCTCATGTCATGTCTCCGCGGGTTTCCCTCGGCTCTCTGATACTCTCGCTGGGTGTTGTCCCGAAGCACCACCCGTATATGTCATTCTCCAACCATCATGGCAAATGCCAGTCCGACAATGGCCAATCATGGGTAAAGGTAGGTGGCCTTGTCAAATGGGTGGTCATCGGTCGGTGATCAACGCTCATCACTTCCTCATCAGCACTCACTCAACCACATGGTTTTATACAGGCTTGTCCCTCTTTCACTATTGCCATTAGATCTCACAACCACACTCGCCTCGTTCCCAGACCCCCCTTCTACTGCTGAAACTTTTCTCTATTCATTTTACTCTATCTCACAACCTACCTAGTAGGTGCCACAATGCAAGGCGTTGGGTCATATACCTTTGGGGTGGCACTTTTTGCTGCAATTGGAACTTTCCTTTTTGTGTGTCCCTTGAATATTCTCCATTCTCGCTCTTCTAACTCAGTGACACCTAGGGGTTTGACACGGGCATTGCGACGACAAGTTGGTCTCACCCCATGTATTTACCCAACCCTCCCGCAGACCCTGACCAAGCCTATAGCCATCGCCCATCAATCATGGATAGATTACATGGGAAATCCTTCGAAAGGCCTGACGGGCTCAGTAAACAATTCTTCATCTTGACTAGACTCCCCCCTTCTCACCCTTGATAGGTCGTGGCCATCTACATCGCAGGCGAGGCAATCGGTGCTCTTGTCCAAACCGCTATTGGTGACCAACTGGGGCGCATTCGTTTCATGCAGTTCATGTGTGTTGTCGTCACCATTGGCACTGCCATTCAGACGGGCGCCATCAACATAGGCATGTTTCTCGCTGGTCGTGGTTTGGCTGGCTTTGCCGTCGGGTTAGTACTCATTACCTCTCCACTCTAGTAGCCCGTCTTCTCACCCCTTTGTAGTGGTCTGGTAGGAACAGTCCCCATCTACCTCAGCGAAATCTCTGCCCCTCACACTCGTGGTCTCATTGGGGGTATTTCGGGTTGTGGAATCAGTCTCGGCACCATGGCCTCAAACTGGGTTGGCTTTGCATGTGGCTACGCACCTTACGGCGCCGTTCAATGGCGGCTCCCTTTGGGCATTCAAATCCCCTGGGGGATTATACTTTTTATCGGCCTAGCCACCTTCATGCCCAATTCACCTCGTATGCTCATCCGCAACGGCAAAGTCGATGAGGCTAGGATCAATTTCCTCAAGATTCGTCGCGACCTTGGCTCTCAGGAAGCCCGCGAAGAATTTGCCCTTATGCATGGGCAAATTGTGTTTGAGCAGAAGCGAGAAATCAAGTCTATCAAAGAGATCTTCAAATTATTCCGACACCGTGCTCTGGTGTAGGTCTTCCCCTGCCCCGTTGCCTGTTGCGAGACGAGACCCAGCTCACCTCAATTCCAGATCAATTGCTGTCCAGACAATGACCTCCCTCACCGGTGTAAATGTTATCCAGTACTACCAAAGTAAGCTTCAGTGACCTCTGTGCCGTGCTCCTTCCATATTATACTTTACTGACATGGATCGAGCCATCCTTTACAAATCACTCGGTATCAATTCCCACATGATTCTGGCCCTGGCTGCAATTTACGGCACCTGTGCATTCGTCTCCAATGTCATCACCACGAGATATGTCCTTGATGCCTGGGGACGCCGACCGTGCGTTAAGCCATGACCTGGTCACATCAAAATGGCCGCCTTTTCAAACATGAACTGACTTTGTCTCCGCAGCATGATCTTGACCGGCTTATCTGCTGTTGTATTGATTGAAATCTATGCAGCCGTCATGCAGCGAGTGTTTCAAAACACGGACAACAAAGTTGGAAAAGGCTTTGCTGTCTTGGGAATCTATTTGTTTGTGGTCTTTTACTGCAAGTCACCCTCAAATATGAGCACATATACCGATCCGACCTTCCATTCCCCATTCTCCGCCAAGTGATCCCTGGCTAAATCCTTGTTTGTGCAGATGGCATGCTTAATAGTACCACATGGCTTTACGGTGCTGAGGTGTTGCCAATTGCTCTCCGATCAAAAGTCATGGGCCTGGCCGCAGCGAGCCATTTTATCGTCAATGTGGGCAGTAGGTTCTCTCAGACTCCGTGTCGCGCAGCCAAATACTTCATCTGCTGCCAGAACCAATATTGGGATACTGACCCGTTCACCATCTTTTCAGTAACCGAAGCGGGACCGAGCGCCTTTGCAAACATTCGAGAGAACTACTACTACGTCTTTGTCGCGTGTTCGTTCTTCTTCCTCGTTGTCGCCTACTTCTACTTCCCGTGAGTGTCTGCATGTGCCTGGCGTGGCCTTTTGTATCCACGACAAACAGCTGACGATGGAATGATAGGGAAACCAAACACAAAACGCTTGAAGAGATCGCTGCTGCCTTTGGCGACAAAGTGGTATTGTTGACCGAGACCGAACTTGCGGCCGAGGACGAGGCGTTGGGTCACAAAGTGGACGAGATGCGAGTAGAGAGGGCCGTAGAGGATGGCCGTGGCTAGTGGTCCATTTGTCGTGCCGCAATCATGTACTATGTGAATCTGCCATCAATGGGCGCACCGATAGCACGACCTCCCTGGACCAGGGTCTCTTCCCTTGCCCTTCTCACAAGTCTTGAATTTCTACAAGTATTTGCCGAAAAATGTAATCTGGGATGGCATGGCATTGGCCTTGCAACGAAATGCGCCAGAAGGGCTTGTTGACGCGCGTAGGGTGCCCACGAGCTGAAGTCCGGCATAGAGCCATTGATACCCGTCAAGTGGCGGCCCTATCGAATGGTTCTCCTGGTAATGTACATGCGCAACGGAAACCCGTCTCTTTAACGATATCTCTTCTTGCCCCCCAACACTGCCGTCGAATCTCACCTAAATCTAATGCATTCCAAGACTGAGCTACGATCGACCCAGACTGATCTGCCCTTCTTAATCGACCGACCCATCATTATACACACAAATTTTCCAAACTCCACGCATGACTGGCTGGCTAAGAAACGTCATTGTCAATGTCATTTTTCATCCCTCATTTCCCCGTTTGAATGTAGCCCACAGTCCACAGCACAATCGTCTCTATCATCCACCGCCTGCCACATGGTCCAGCGCGTTGCACATCAATTGTACAAACCATTTATCGCCGTTGTAACCATGGCACGCTTCTACCATGCTGCTCAGCTCTTGACCACTCGTCTTGGCCACGGAGTTGGATTCGAGGTCTGTGCCACCTATTGACGTTCCATTGAGGGACAAGGTTGAGTTGGTTGAATCGGTTGAATCGGAAGCTCCTGTACTGTTGCTGGTCACCAGAGTGGAGTTCTCACTTTCGACCTGATTGTACGACGCACCCCCGGAAATCAATGTCAACGGAGTCCCTTGTACTTTCCAGCCTTCGTCGGTGCTAAGCGCTGTTTCCGGCGGCGATTGGGGCCCCAATGTCCCCGGTTTCCATCCGCCCGAGATACTCGTCGGGTGACCGGTCGAGTCTCGGACACAGTATTGGGAGTTAAATTGTTTACCTCGCCGTTCGCGGAAGGCGACGTCTGCCAGCCGTCGCCACAAAAATGCCGGGTCATATAGCATTTCCCGCGTCCACCACAGTCGACAGTCCGAGGCTTCATAGACAAACTGAAGCGGTGTGGCAGATTTGTCGCCGATGCGGTAATGATTCCGTCCATTGACAGAACCACCTGTCAACCCAAATGAACGCAAAACAGGGTCTGCAGTGAAATTTTCCCAGATGGTACCATTTACCGAGTCTCGAAAGACGTTGGTCGGGCTGTAGAAAAGATCGTTCCAGTACGGATAGAGCAGGCCGGAGTCGGGAGTGGACTGATATGTGAAGGCCTGAGACCCTTTGGTTCCACCGACGGATTGCATGGGACCCGTTTGCGGCCGACCACCTATGGAGATGAATTGGACGCCTGCATAGTTCTTGAGATATTCAGAAAAAACCGCACATGTGCTTGCGCACAGCCCATCGTGCAAAACTATCATGTCTTGCGAGGCAAACGGTCGACGAAAGCCAGTCCGGTTCTGCGTACCAGTAATGATGACACCGGATCCCACGGCGTCGGAAGCGTCGACGTTGGTATAGTTGTTTTGAAAGAATGCTGTAAAGTTGGACCCATTTCTCTCAAAAGGGCCATAGACGGCTTCGAAGTTTGGAAAGGCTCGAAGGTTGGGGTCGACGATGGTTTGATATGCAAGCGGTGTCAGGATAGTTTCGGCGATCTCGTCATCCTCCTCGCTGTCAGTTTTTTTCACAGCAGAAATGTTTTGAGACGCAGCATTGCCCAAGATCTCGAGCCCGAGGTGTGCTCGCATATCAGACTTTGAATTGGGTGGCATGGAGGGGAATAGCTGGGCAAAGGTGTCGGTGCCAAGGTCGATATATCCACCTAAGAGGGTGTCAGTCGTACAGAGCAGCATGGATGGCAATAGTGGAAACGGGACACTTACCAGAGTTGCCCTGCAGATCAATGATGAGCTTCCTCTTTTTACTTCTCACCGCAGCGGACAGGAATTTTTCAACGACCTGTTGAAACTCTTCCTGATAGTCATGGGCGCTACTGGTCAAAGACTGGAATTCGGTGATTTTTAGTACGGCGACATCGGCGTATGACGGCTCACTCAAATAGTACCCGGCGACCGAGTCTGCACTATGTTTGATGACAGGATTCGGGGAGAGAGGGACATTGGGCAAGGCCGGCACTGGGGTTTCGGTCTCGTCTTCAGATTCGACAAGGGTCGTGCGAGTGGAAGCAACAGAGGTAGTCTCGGTGACAAAGCCATTGGCCCCGGGACAGAAGGCTTCGTATCCTTCTTCTCCGGTGGCCAGGCCTTCCAAGGGGACGTTGACGATTGCTTGGTTTGGAAATTGCCTGGTGGTTCCGTTGGCGAAAGTCAGGTTGGTGTGAGGGCCTGGGTAGAATACTGGAGAGACAAAGGTGGAGTCGGATTGTCGCCCAAGCTGGAAAAACACTTGGTTCCACAAAGAATCTGGGTCTTGCGATGGGTGAACGAGAGATTGTTCAAGCAGAAAATCGTTCACGTCCACGCCGTCAATCTCAAGGACTGGCGAGGGAGTGAAGCCGGTAACTGGCTGGACCACATTGGATTGAGGATTGAATTGGACAATGTCGTCTAAGAGGTATTAGGAGAGCTGCAGGTGGAATGGGTGAGAAGGTGAGAGGGCCCAAGCGAACATACCAGACATATATACTTGGGGCGTCTCTTGACCGTCTGAAGAGATGGAGACGAGTCCTGCGCCCACATTCGATCTGACAAAAGTGAAGGCACCCATCAGGTCACCCTTCCAAGCCAAATGTCCATCTCTTGCGGAGAGTAGCAAGGTGGTTATATCAAGCTGAAATTCATATTCGCTCTGATATTGAGCGGCTTCGACGTTCTGTCGGATGAGGTCGAACCCATAGTCGAGGTCGACGTCGGGGAAGAGGTAGCCGTTCGGGGGAGACTTGAGAATGTCTTTGGAACTGTGAAATTCGAGGTAGGTGCGTAGGGAACCTAGGAGTCGCAAAGCGGGCTCTTGATAGTTGGGAATGCTGTGCAAACAATCATAGGCTACCTCGGCGTCGATCACGATGGTTGTGGCTGAGGAGGCTCGGTCAGGAGGAAGCCGGACTAGAATAAGGGGATTAAGCTTGCTTACCGGTGGGATGTGCTGCTCGAAAAGAAGAGTATGCGCTCGAAGCCTGGCCGCAAGCGTCGTTGGTCACGGTTGAATTCAGGCGGCGGAGGAGGATGGGGTGGGAAGGAGAGGTGGAGGTACGGCATTGTGCAAGTTGAATCAGGGATGAGATTGCAACAATGAAGGATATGAGCCAGCCTTTGGCCATTTGGGCCGATTGGGCCGATTGGAATGGGGTGGAATGACTCAAACAAGATTTGGTTGCAGCGTTACGGCGCGCACCTCAGCCAGATGGCGACTGCATGAGAGTTGGGCTGTTGGACAGCGGTAGAGAAGTGGCCACCGAGGACGATGGAGAGGAATGACGTCTCACAATTGGATCTGGACAATCGATTGCGAGGAAGGGAAAGGACCAGGCGAGGAAAGAGTTTAGAGATGTCAATCTGGACAGGACATGGAGGAGGAGATATGACAGTGGTTGATGTCGGAGTAAAGCAAGGCTGGCGCAGGGAAGAGTTGAGACAAAGTGACAAGTTGTGAGCTGTGGTTCAATGTCTGGGGTCCGATTCAAACTACTTGCAATAGAGAGTGAGAAGGAGATTGAGCATCTTCCTTACAGACGGCTCAAGAGTAAAAGGCGAGGAAAATCGTGCCGTGTGGCATAGTTGGAACCTGGATTGGCCCCCATAACCCCGTGAGATTCTGGATCTTGGACTCTGGATACTGGAGATGGTGGGGGTTTGGGGATCTGGATCTGTTAAAGTTGAGAGGCTGAGACTGAGGCTGAGGCTGAGGCCAAGGATCCCAAGATTAGAAGTAAGCACGTAAATATAAACGGGTACCGAAGAGTACCTACGAGGTTAGTACTCGGAGGTACTTGTAGGGAGTCATGTGTAGGTACGCATACTAATTATAAGAAGAGTAAGAGAATTGTCTCCGTTTCAGCCTCCAGTACAGCAATACTTAGTACCTTATTTGTCTCCATTAGGTAGTACTTCGGAGGATCCTATCCAAGTCCCTTCTTTGTATGTGGTCCTACATGTAAATGGGCCCAACCATTAGACATGGCAGAGAAAGAGGCCTACCAACCCTCACACTACACCTAGGTACCTAGGCACCCAAGTAGGGTAGGTAGTCTTCGACCAAACAAAAGCACCTACCTATGGGCACCTATTAGCACTTATTAGCACCTATAAGTATATCGGGAGTAAGGTCACGCAGGTGTATACCTAGGTACCTACCTATAGGTAGATCGTAGGTGCCAACGTAGGTAGGTTCCTCCATCCAACTTCAGCGGGTAAAAAGCTCAATCAATACATGGACTACCGTCCTTTGCTTAAGTAAGGTACCTGACACCTAAAGCAGCAGTGTAGCATGTAAAAATAATAACAATACATCAACCTAATGACACCAAATCTTTTTGTATCTCTCATGTTCTGCTGTCCAATCTGCACAGCTTGAACGTGCTGGGTTCTCCACCAACACCATCTCCCGTTTGGGCTCTGTCTTGGTCTTGTATCGCCATCATTCATCATCTCTTCGTCGCTGTCGACGGCGTGACCGCTGACTGCGTCTGATGGCGTCTTCGGTCAGAATCTCACTAGGCAGTTCGAATTCGTGCTCCGCCAGATCAGGTACCGGTACACCAAACGCCAGGATGATCCGTCCTCGCTGTCGTCCTGCCACCGCCGCGTCTCTCAGATGTTTCTTTGAGAAGAAAGATGTGAACGGCTTCGGAGGCGCAGGTGGGGGTGGAAGAGGCGGTGGCCCTGTCTGCTCGACCGTTTTGGTAGCCAATTTTTTTCTGCGACGTGCGCTTTCTGCCTCTTCAATCAGTTGTTGCGAGGCCAATGCATCCAGTTCGCTCGAGTTCGGAGCCTGAGACGACGTGCTGTCCATGCTTTCTGCTGTATCTTCACTTGATGAGCGACCCCTGTCGGCTTTGCTATTTCTTCGACCTTTCTGCTCCTCCTCCTCGTCCTCCTCCCCTTCCTCTTCTTGCTCCTCTGTTTTCATTTCTTCCTCCAGGAGCGCCTGTTCTCGTTCCAGCTTCCGTCGTTTTTCCTCTTCCTTCCATCGCCGGAATTTTTCGATCAACGCCTGGATCTCCCGAATGAACAGTGTTCGCTTCGGTTCGTATCGTTTCTTTTCCGAATCAGTCACTCCGGTGATGCCCAGCGTTTTAAGCCAATCGGGGCCACGGAGATCCTCCAACAACTTTTCCAACTGATACTTTTCATGTTGTGCTCGTTCCCGGTCTCCATTCTTCATTTGTTTTTCGTGCCTCTCCGCCTTGGCATGGATCTTGAGGTAGTAGTCCTCATGCAGTGGGTCAGGTGCTGCCAGATCTGTAATTGTTCCCCGTCGAGAAAATTGTATCGTATCCGTGAGATACAATGGCTTGTTGGCACCGAATGGGTCCTCCTTGGGTGGGCGCGGCTCGAAGTCGGGCGTGTCATCAATTAGTACAACGTGTGTTCTGGTGGTGATGGAATCTATTCATCGTCAACAAAATTTCCTACAAGACACCATCCATTTGACCTACCTGGATCAGGAGCCTTGAGGCTTAGCATTTCCTCAAACTCGGGAAAGTACTGGGCGAGCTCTGTTTTGGCCCGTGAGCCGCCATCTTCGGAGCGTAGCTTTCGTTTTTCATCCTGCGTTGAGGTGACTGCCTTGTTGCGGATTGCGGCTTTGGCCTTGGCCTCGATGATCTTGATCTGCTCATACTGCGGCTTGCCACTTGGCGACGCGATTGGGGTGGATGTGGATGTGGTCGGGGTTAATGTAGATATTTCAGCCTGAGGTACGACACTGGCTGGTGCAGGCGGGTTAAACTTTGGAACTCGACTCCTCAAGGGAATGTGCAGTTGTGGTACATCGTCCCTGGTGTTCGACAGCCGCCTTCTCTTGAAAATGTGATCCTTGTCCGAAATGGTTGAGGCTCTCAGGCGCTTGGATGGAAGGATGTTGCCGGCATCGCGGGACTGGGTCAGGAGCGGAGGTGCCTGTGGCAGAGAGCGAGAGTCTGATTGAGGGCGGAGGTGTGTCTTGTGGCTGTCCGACGCGATCAAACTTGAACGAGGACTGGATCGTGGAAGGGAATTTGAACTCTGATCGCGTAATCCTGAACGCCTCAAGGACGACCTGGAGCCAACCGCCATGACATGGGTTGTTTTGTATCTATCATGATGTTGCGGTGGCAATCAACATCAAGTGCGCAAGAACGAGGTCACGTAGAGGCTCTGGTCATACGAGTGTTGGTGTGAAAGATTGAGCCTGCTTGCTCCTCAGTCGCCCTTTGAGGTTGAACGACGTCTGTGACTGCGGAGCTCGTGCGGTGCAATAAATTCTATCGTCTGACCAGGTGATTTTGGGCTGTCTGTGCCTCGCCACGCGTGTTTCTTGCTTCATTTCACTGCCATTCACGCCATCCTACGACCAGGTACTCCGCCTCTTACAACAATCAATTTGTCAGACAAGCGCCAATACTGCATGATACTACCAAGGTCCCTGACTCCTGCAACAATTCAATCCAATGCCCATGAGTACCTACACAACACAGCAAGGGGGCCCTCGGGCTTCTGTCTACCCACTGACCCCCTCTACCAACCTTGACCACACTTTTACCTTTAGAAAAAGCATAAAAACCCCGGAAAGTCTGCCCTCACATGTAATGTCACAGATATACTATACAGGTCAATTGAGGGCGCGTCCAATGAACCATTTACTACAGATAGTGTCATTCCGAGCTGGGCAATATGCCCCGGTCATGGCTTCTCTTCGCTGTTGCCGTCCCGTGACCCCGACCCTGTGTCGTTACTAGGAGTGTCCTGATATCCCTCGTCATCGCTATACAAGTCATCGTCGCTTTCTCCAGCGAATGCATCGTAAAGCTCGCCACCACGCCGAACTCGGCCGCCCCGGCTTCTTGACTTGAGCCCCTGTTGTTCCTCGGCATCCTCGTCTCCGACCATCTCAAATTCATATGCATCTCGAGGGTTACTTCTCAGTCTCTTACGCCTTTGAACAAAGAAGTAGGCGCCCAGGCCGGCACAGAAAACGATAATCAGACCCAAGGAGCCGTAGATCCAGACTTGCGTCCTCTTCGACACTCCAAAAGTCGGGAAAAATCCGGGCAAGAAGCTTTCAGAATACGTGTGAGTCGCTGCAGCGGTCGAGTCGGTAGCTGTTGCCGACTCGGTCTCAATGGCGGCCCCCGTCGACGTTGCCGCCGGCACCTCCAGGGTCCCACCATTGCTGGTTTCAGAAGACCCAACGCCGCTCTCAACTGACGGCTTCGGCTTGGTAGGACGATCGATGTGATCAGTGGGTTGGGCTGGGAGTGTCGTGGGGTGGCTACCGGCATCGATGCTGGTCGTTGATACATCCGCCGGTGCCGTCTCGTGGTCGTCGTCGTGCTCGTCAGGGAGAGGATGTAAGCCCTGTACCTGGGCATTAATGGCCTCACCCCAGAGATTGAGACGCCAGTCAATGAAGGTGCCATTGAACTCGTTCTCTTTGGTATCTTTCACAATGACAGTCCAATTGCCAACACCAGACTCGCCCCTATGGATGGTCAGTACGCCTTCTCCGCACCCTTTTGCTCTCACTCACCAATGCACGACAGACATGAATGTCCAGTCCACATAGCCCGACTTGGCCGTATCCGGTCGTCTCGCTGTGGCAATGTGGCTGACTACGCCATTCGGGCTGATGAGATCTGCGCTCAAGTCGCCTCTTCTGCCATGATCGACGTTCATAGTGACGGTTACGTGCTCAAGCCTTTCCAGATTCATCTTCTTCAACATATCTGCTGTAACCTCATAACTAGCTGCCAATCCTTGGTCACCTTCGGGAATGGCATGCTGAACCGAGAGCCAGGGCGAATGCCACCATGCCTGAGGCTTGACCGGAGTCCACGCCTTGGCAGCCTCGACGAAGCGATAGGCATCAACTTTGCCATAGCCGAACGTGTGACTAAACTTTTTCCCGATGGTGGTGTCCTGCCAGCTGCCGTCATCCAGGTTGATGGGAATGGCGGCTTCAATGGTCAAATATTGCATATCGCGCCAGCTGAGATCAGGTCGAACGCTCAATGCGAGAGCGGTCGTGCCGACGACAAGAGGACCAGCTGCTGAAGTCCCACCATGGCCGTTGTAACATTTTTCTGCGCCGACGTCGGTGGTATGTATCGCATCACCAAGACCAGAGCTGTAGGTAACAACAAGTTGGGCAGAGCAAGGCTCAGAGTAGTAAGGGTGATTGCCGCCTTTATCAATTCCGCCTACGGTGATGCTGTAGATGCTGTTGGTATAACCGTCAAAATTACAATTGTCCTCAAAATTGGCACCGTTGCCCGCAGCAAAGACAAAGATAGACCCTAGACCACCTCTGCCACTTTGAACGCCATTGGCCATGGCGCGCTGAATTAGAACTCCCGGTGCTTCCATGGTGGCACCGTCATCGGGAGGGCCCCAAGAGCAGGAATAGATCTGGTTTTCTTGAAAATGGTAATTGATTGCAGTGGCTTCGTCTTCATCGCTGATGGGCTTTGAAAGAATACGGATGCCAGCGATCTTGCTGTCATAGGCCATGCCGACGCCGCACACATTGTTTTTGACGGCAGCAATCTCTCCAGCGCAGCGAGTGCCGTGCTTGTCATCAAAAAGTCGAGGCTTTGGTTCGGGAGAATTCTCGTTGAAATCGTAGGATCCTGCGGCGTAGTAGTTGTCCTTCAAATCGTTACTATACATGTCCAGGCCGTCATCAATGACGGCGGATATGGTGCCATTGCCAGTGATACCTTGGAGCCAAAGCCCGGTAACGTTTAGATCGTGGCCGAGCTGGACAGGGTTGAAGAGATGCCACTGTGTTTTGAAGATAGGATCCTGAATATCGAGGGTTTTGGCAGCCTGATCCAGACGTTCCAGAGCATCGGCGTGAGCCTGGTCGAGATCATCTGCATTGGCGGAATCGACGCTCTGAGGGGCTCGAGGAACCCAAGGGATGGGCGGAGGCAGCCTCTTGACATGGCGATGTCTTAGCTGTTGTTTTTCTGACCACAGGATCCCATCAAAGTCGAGAGTAGCCTGTCTTTTCTCCAAACTATTGTATTCTTCACCCAGGGAACGACGTCTGCGCTTCTTGCGCATTTCGGCCTCATTGAGTGAGCGTTCCAACTCCGAGCATGTATTCTTGGGACAGGAGAAGGTGTAGTGTTGAGGCAGCTCACCAACCTGGCCTTCGTACTGAACGCCTAGTCGCTGGGCTATGTGCAAAGGATCGACATCTGAGCGAAGATGAAGAGCAAAATAGTCGTTGCGGTCGTGGTTGCGGAGGGAGGCATGGGCATGGAGGGACAATAGAGGGACTGAGAGCCATGGCAGGCGCATGTTCGTGGCTCTGGGGAGGGGGGAGGATGAGGAGGCTGATCTATGAGACCACTGGCATGCCTGGTTCCAAGGAAATGAATTGCTGTCTCTTTGGCGAAGACGTGATGGAGAGAGTACACAGAGGAGACTGTTTGCAGCGAAGCAGTTGCAGTCGAGGATGGGGACTTGTCCGGAATCGGTGAGCGAAGTGATGTAAGTACACGGGAATGGTGTGAAAGAAGGCACAAAGAAGGTATTAGAGTATGTTGAGAAGGAATGAAGGAGCGATCAGGCCACAGGCTGGGAATGATGTAGAAAAAAAATAAACGAACTCGAGCATGAAATTGAGGTTGGACAACTTTTGAAGACAGATGGCACTCACTCACAGAGGAATGATTTGTTAGAAGGGTGTGAGTGATGAGTGGTTGACCACTGAGAAAACATGGGGCCAGGGGGGGCGTCGGCGGACTTGAGTTGGCCCAAGGAGCCCAAGGAGCCTAAGGAGCCCAAGTCGCCCATCAGGGACCTAAATTCGATGCCTGGGGGCCCTCGGGCCCACGGACCACGCCTATAAGTCTATAACTGGTTAGTTGGAAACCATTTCGGTTACCACTTGATGATCTTCGCACCCTGAAGACCTATAGCGCATCTGATTTAAGCCTTGCCCTAAGACTTATTTGGATGGTTAAACTGGTTAGATTCATCACTGGACAAGGCTCGACGTAGATGGGCCAAAGACATACCTATATGCATTTACCTCCCACCATACGCAATGGGAATCCATCTTTGTACTCTTAAGGAGGCACCTGACAGTGGGGACCATTTCTATCATGTAAAGTCTTTGACATCTAGCTTGGCGATCGACCATAAAAGGAAGCGGAAACATGCCTTAGATAGGAGTTTTCAAGACTTACCATGTAGTGTGAAATCCTTATTTGATTATTCGGCCTTGCCGCCTTGTAGCCGCCTTATGGGACGAGGATCTCACAAGGGCCACGATTTGATTGATGGACTTCGGTGCGCGGACACGAAGATAGGACTCACAAGCTCGTGGTGGCCAGCAATAGTAACGCCCCGGCTCTTAATTAGCCCTCATTTAGGTTCCTAAGGTGAGGTACATGTACGGAGTCGTTTGGTGGAGGACATACGGAGAACCCACGGTGTCTTACCACATGTGTTATAATTTGTAGCTTACCTTAGGTAAATAACAGCATGAACAAATGTGTGTACCTACCCAGCTACAGGCACTCCCTGTGCCCCGTGGCTCCGCAATGTCCTTGGGGCGACAGGTGCGGGCCGGAGCCTCCCCCGGGCGCCTCAAGCATCCACCAATAAGGACCCCACGCTTATTCCCGTCATGCCTATGGCCATGCCTAATGGCCATGTGTTGTTCAGCACTGGTACGCGTCAGTGACTCCATCGTCACAGCTCTCCAACTGTCCAACTGTTGGTCCAACAAATCCAACTCGTCGCCATTTACCAGCCACTTGACTTTACTGCCTCTGCCTCTGTATCTACTTCGTCCCCAGTCTCCGTGCTTTCTTCTGTGTTCGTTCCCTCTTTACCGTGCTCATCTTCTTTTGTAGCCTTTCTCTCCTGCGATCGCGTACCCTTCACGCTTCGCTCTCTTTTGGACATGATGTCGCAGTCCCCGCCATTGACTGTGCAAACCACCTCTCCTTTCCTCATGTCCTCTTTCAGCCATCTTGCCTCAAGTTGAAGAGTCGCCATCTAATACACTTTTCAAACGCCCATCTGAAACCCTGTTGGATCGCTTCTAGCGTCATTATCTGTGGGCGACAGCGTCCTAGCGCCCATACTTTGACGTCCTTGCGCACACGAACCCTCAGCCTAAGCCTACCAGCACAATTCAGCCATGGCCAACTCGATGAACCCAGTCAATCTCTACCATGACCCGTCCCTTGACATCTTGCTCTCCCAGAACAGGACTTCCTCTACCAAGAATACCAACTCATCTCGACGGCATAGCAATGGCCATCATCGCCGCCCCACCTCCGACAACCTCACCCACGAGCAGGTCATACCACCTCCCACCGCACCCGATGTCCCTCAAGGCCCCCCGATTTCATATCGAGGATTCGGCGGCACGGACCCAACTGTCCACAGATCCTTCTCCCAGCGAGTCAACGGACGTCCCTTCCCAAGAGAAGCTTTTGCAGACCAAGATTTAGCGACTACAAGTCAACAAACCACCCCGATCTCCTACCAGTCAGCCCACCCTTCGGATGAGGCTCCCACTGTAGCCCGTCGCAAACCTGTTCCCAACGAGACCCTACGTTTGACCACCACCAATCTCAATGGGAACCCTGTTCCTTACACTCAAGGGCAAGATCCCACTTCGTCTCGTGACCCTCGCTCCGTTTCGCTGCCCTCGGCGACTAGGTCACAATCCCAGCATACAGCAACTCCTTCTCGAGCGCACCATGAACCGCCTTCTGCAGTGACCAGGTCTAGTGCTTTTCAAAACGACTCTCAGAGACGTGACTGGGCTCCCGATCGCTCTCCTCTGCAAAAGTTGGAGGTGACACTCAATGACATCAGCAAGGAAGAAAAGCGAGCTCGCGTGCAAGAGGCTGAAATGCTCTTGCGTGAGCGGAACGCCAATCGCCAACTTCCATCGTCTACTATGGTGCCTTTGTTCCCCGACACAGAAGCCACGACATCGGCTACTGGAGGACAAGCAAGCGGACAGCAAGCTCCCCAAACAGAGTCGATGCCCCCTCCCACCCAGGACCATGCACTCGTCAGGAGCCTTAGTACCACCCAGCGTCAGCGACTCCAGCACAGCACAACTCTCGACAATCACCGTCCCGACGCCCGGAGATTGTCCGGTGAAAAGCATCCAGGCTTTGACTACACAATCTCAAGCACAGTCGCTTCACCACCTACCACTACCCGTGGCGAGAGTCGAAAATACCGCAGACAAGACCATACTGAGAATTCAACCCGCGGATACCCTTCTGATCACAGCCAGAGACCATTGGACGGTTCCCTACCACCCACGATAGGCGATCATCATCAGTTTGGTGTATCTGATGCAGAGCCGTTGTCTAAACCTTCCACAAGCCGGCGTTTGCCTGAAAACCAGCCACGTCCCATGTTGGAAACTCCAACAGCTGTACCAATGTCTCGGCGCGAGTTAGGCGATCGAGAGATGAACGCTTCTCACAAGGCCGCATTAGAAAAGCTCACCGCTGGAGCCGCTCCCAACGTTCGTAATGGCTCGCGCAAGCTTCAAAAGCCGCCTCCTGCCGTATTGGTCCCATCTGGTAATCGAACAGGAGCAGCAGCATTGTCAAGTAGGATACCCGTGCCCACTTCCGAACCACTCCATACTGCAGCAATTCCAACAGCACGAACAGCATCTAATGCAACTGCCCGAGCCATTGATTCTCACGTGAATCCCAGGAGCCAAGATCATCCGAGCACTCCTCCCACGGGAGTTGGCCCACAGCCATCGCCCCATCCGAGCAGCCCCAGGTCACCACCAGAAAGAGTCATCGATGTCACCAGGCAACGACAGCGGAAGTCAAACGTCTCATTCAAGGAACCTATGAAGAGACGCCCAGTTGACGAATGGAAAGAGGCCGGGATTGCGAGGCTTTCAGCTGTCGATTTCCTGACTACTGCTGATTCACCCCGAGAAAAAGCAAAGGCTTGGTGGGAACATCAGGGGTCCGCAGCAAGGCGTCGGAGCGTACCGAACAAGACCGCTGATCACACGAACTTCGATGCGTCAATTGATGATAAAACCGCAGAGTTCAGCCCCAAACTTTTCGTGCGTTGCGGCCCTTTGTTACGCTACACGGGTATAAAGACGCTCAAAAGCGATGCCGGTGATGGTAGTCGCGAAATATGGCGAGGGAGCGTTATGATTGTGACGCAGGACTCGCACTCGTCTTATGACCCTCCTCCCACCTTGCGCCTCTTTTCGCAACCACAAAGACTGCTCCCGCCGCCGCCTCAAATGGTCCACAGCGATGATTTAAGTCCAGAATATGTGGATCCCATTGCGGGGCTCACCAAATTATCCCGTACGGGACGTGCATTGTATGTTCGCCCAGTAGATCATCTGGAAGAAGGAAAAGACCTCTCCCACATCGAGAATGACGATGGCCTGTTTGAAAGCTCGCCAAGTCCTCTTGAAGGATTTGGCGCACAAAGCTCGACTACCAGAGCCAGAGCCAACAGAGTCCTGGATAACGATGGCGAGAGGCTTGGACGATATCAAGAAGTTCGAGGAGCACGGCTATATGCCGACCCGGACAGGGACGTCACCTTCTGGAGGTTCAATCTGGAGATAGAGTTGGGCGAGTCGCAAAAGCACATTGCCTATCGCATCAATGGTGGTCCTTCAGTGGGGTTCTGGGTGCCTGCGCATGGCGAAACCATGAATATCATGTTCCATAGCTGCAATGGTTTCAGCCTTGCGGTTAATCCGGACAATTTCAGTGGCCCAGATCCATTGTGGAGAGACGTTCTCAACACCCATCAGACGCGGCCATTTCATGTAATGATTGGAGGTGGAGATCAGATCTACAACGATCGGGTCATGCTTGACACACATCACTTCGGCGCCTGGACTCGCATGCGAAATCCCAATCACAAGCACAACGCTCCTTTTACCAACGAGATGAAAGAAGAGCTTGAGTCATTCTATCTCCACCGATACTCTACGTGGTTCTCTCAAGGCCTGTTTAGTATGGCTGCCAGCCAGATTCCCATGATCAATATTTGGGACGACCATGACATCATTGATGGGTTTGGGTCTTACCCAAACCATTTCATGGAGACGCCCGTCTTTTCAGGCTTGGGCAATGTAGCTTTCAAGTACTACATGCTTTTCCAGCATCAGAGTGTGCCTGAGGAGACAACTGCCCATGAGCCCAGCTGGCTGCTGGGGCACGAACCTGGACCTTTCATCAAGCAGTTGAGCAGAAGTGTCTTCATGCGTCTTGGAAAACATGTGGCATTCCTGGGGCTCGACTGTCGCACAGAGCGCATGCACGGTGAAGTTCTGAGTGTTGACACCATTGACGTCATTCTCGAGAGGTGTCGTAAAGAACTAATCGAAGGAGAGACCAAGCATCTTTTGTTGTTGCTCGGAATTCCCATAGCGTATCCCCGACTGGTGTGGTTGGAAAACGTGCTGACAAGTCGTCTTATGGACCCAGTCAAAGCTTTGGGTCGAGCAGGCATTATCAAAGGCGGTTTTCTGAACAAGTTCGACGGCGGCGTTGAAATCCTCGATGACTTGGACGACCACTGGACCTCCACCAACCACAAGAGCGAACGGAACGATCTCGTCAAAGATTTACAAGATCTTGCTGCCGAAAAATCCTGTCGGATATCAATATTGAGCGGGGACGTTCATCTGGGAGCGATTGGGCAATTCCACTCCAACCCGAAGCTGAAGATTCCCAAGGACAGGGATCATCGATATATGCCCAACGTCATTTCGTCAGCCATCGTCAATAGTCCGCCGTCGGATATGTTGGCCGACATCCTCAACAAGAGGAATAAGACGCATCACCTGGATAGGTACACAGACGAAAATATGATACCAATGTTTACTCACGACGTGGACGGTAAGAAACGAAACAACAAGCATATGCTTCCGCGAAGAAATTGGTGTTCGATCCGGGAATATGTCCCAGGATCTACGCCACCGCCATCTCCTCCAGACACGCCAGACATGTCAGACATATCCGGTAACGATGAGATTTTGGAAGGCTTGACGGACCAGAGGCCCCCAGCTCGACGCTTTTTATTTAGCAAGGAAGATGTGAGCCCACGCAATTTGCTGCGCAGGCTCAGCTCACGCCGTGCACCACCTAACTCATACCGCGATATGATGTATGAGCAAGGACGATCTGCCTCTCATGATGGCACCTTGCAAGCACAACACCGTGCACGCCCAAATAGTAGAAGTGTGTCGGACTCGCGACAATCTTCTGTCGAGTATGGAGCACAGACCAGGCCACGAGCGGCATCGTTGGACCACAATTCAAACCCGGCTCTCATGCGTCCGGGGGTCTTTATGCGGCGACCGACAAACCTCTCTGAGAAGGCAGCAAGAAAGGGCAATATACCCGCAGTGGATGCGGAAGGAAAAGAAATAGACGTCAACGACAGCATCAACCTCGCAGGTGGGTTGGATGTGGTCCTCAACATGGAAATCAGCCAGAAAGATCCCTCGGGAATCACTATGCCATACCGCTTACTCATCCCTGCCCTCTGGTATGATGGTAGTTCGGATCGTGAGAAACTGGATGAAGCTAGCGGGGTCGAGCGTCGGGCTCCAATTTTCTCCCGCTTTGGCTTTACTGGACGCCGTGGCCAAAAGGCCACACGGACAGGCGCAGACCACAATATGGCCCACACGGAGAGTGAGTACGAAAGCTATAGTGAGGAGGAAGAGATTCAGCAACGTACAGCCCAGCCACGACGAAGATTCAGCCTCTTTGGTAGCCGAAGGCCGAAGGAGCAGCCTTCTCTGAGTGGAACGGAATCCGACGAAGATGAACGAGACCCTGAGGGGGGAGCGGGACATCCCATCGCACCCCGGTACGGACAACCACCCCAGCGAACAGCTATTGCCCCAACTACGTCGACGAGAACTGCGCAAATTCCGCAGAATCCGACTGGTCCGGCCTCTCATGATGTGCTATATGATACCGAAAGGCGACCGCCACCGGACCACAACATCGACCCGAGAATGCACCCGAGCACGAGGCGGTCACTTACCATTACCTCTGAGGGCAACCGAAGGCATCAGCCAATGCGAGTGGACGGTTCTGCTAGGTCGACAAGCGACAGCTACACACGACTGTACCCAGAATCCCCAGTGACTGCAAAGCGAACTGATGCGGTACAGGCACTTGATGCCATACCTAGGGAGGAGAGCGGTAGCGAGGAACTGTATGAGGACTTCCCGCCTTCCAGGTCGGCAGCACTTGCTGGAAGTGTGCCTCAGAGGCGATTGAGCAAGCAGGAAAGAGTATTGGGAATATCACAATCCGACCCCCCGCTGCCAGCAATGCCACATCAACTTCGTGGAAACGGAATAATTGGCCGGGACCTCAATGGGCCGGTGCCAGCCCAGAGGATTGCCGCTAGTCATCAGCCAACAGGATACTCAGGCATCGAGGCATGGAAGGAACCGCGGCCGCGAAGAGGATTCAGTTTGAGGAAAGCCCGAGACTGGTTGGACGGCAGGGGGCGTGGGGACAAGGATGAATTTGATTGAGCTCGTCGATGGCGAAACTGTCCAGATAGCATCAGGTGGACAAAAGCAGGAACACTGACCCATTGCGGAAGGGAAGAGATCCTTGAGCAGACTTGGACTTGGTGACTAGATTTAGTGAAGAAATCAGGAATATAACGAAGTCAGAGATCCTACAGCAGTTGACTTGATGACTGGAATGAAGTCGAAAGAAAGACATGCACGTGCGGCGAAGTCTGACCACGTGATTATATTGCCGAATTTTTCCGAGTTCGCAAGTTTCCGGGTCGTTGCGTCTGACCCTCATGGCAAGGCTGTGCGTGTCTTGTGATGTCGAGTACCCACCGAGAGAACTGTAACAGTGGAAGGTGTAGAGAGTTCGATTTACGATTTGCCCACAATTGCCTCGTTGTAGTAGTGGCGAGCGAGCAGGTCGACTAAGCCGTGTGGCCGAAGCTCCACAAGTTGATGCTCCCGAAGAGAGCAGGACGCCGGCTACCCTTCCTTGTCGAATCCAGGGATGAGCCAGACAGTTGAAGGCATAGGAGATGAAATGTAGTACAGAAAGTAGTCATGACTTATTCCTCTGGGTTGACCAGGCAGGTTACTCAGCAGATATGGTGACTTGGGTTTTGTTTTATTCAAGTCAAGAACAGCAAAAGGCGAAGCACAAACAGGTAACAGGATATACATAGTAAAGTTGCTAAGCTTGGAGAAGATGAGATTGCATACATGGTGATTGGGCAGAGCATCTGTGGAAAGAATACAATACCATTTAACTTGGTACTGTTTGGTTTTTGGGAAGCTGTAACGTCCACATTGGAGCTGCCGGGTAGGTACATACCTCCTACCTCCTACCTCCTGCCTATTGTCGCTAGTATGAAATGTGATACGAGTTAGTGATTAATCGCCAGTCGACTCATTATTCGTACCTTACTGGGTTAAGAAGGTCCATGTACTTGCCTGCCTGGTAGAGGGATGATGAGTCATGTATGCAGTGAGTGAGGTCAGGTTGGTGATGCAGACAAACTATTATTGAAATGACTTTACACAGAGCTGAGCAACTGCACCTAGCAGACCTAGGCATCGACCCAATCAAGTACTAGTGGTAACATTACTAAGGGACCTGCACACAGGTAGAAGCACGCCCGCACGGCCCAGTGTCCAGGGGGGCCACTGGGGGGCATTCTTATTACGAGTTATTAATCGATGGTTTGGAGCGACGTTATTCGGGGTTTCGGGTTAGACTTGAATTCCAGATCCCCGGACCTTTCTCTTATAGGCTGCAGGTGCCATCTAGCGTACCCTGCAGGGACCAAGACAGCTAGGAGTAGGTAGGGAAGGTAGGCAGCTAGGCGACCACCCACTCATTATTCTCGCAATACGGAGTAGTAATGCAATGGCATGTGGACGAATTAAGGATAGATTCCGCTGAGCCCGTGGAGTTTGCTGCACAAGGTTCCAGCCAGAGCTATTCTTGAACCCCGACTGAGGTTACGAAACTGACGAGTCCATTATCATTCCCCGGTCGGACAGGAGCAACGTCGCCCTGACGGCTGATTCCTCGATAACGGTCCTGGAACCCCTGTAATCCTCGTGCTTTACCCCATCCGCCACACGGATGCTTCGCTGCCTCGTGCCTCTTCCATTTCAGCATCGGATGGGACCCCGGGCTCCATAGATTGACAAAAAGCCTCGCCGTCCCAGGTCCTGCCTGTCATGCGTATTCGTATATTAAGGTTGCTCAGCATCCCATATGCTTGCCTCATTCCCAGCTCGGTGTCGAACCACCTCCCAAATATTATTTTTACCTCGTCACCTCATCACCTCTTCAGTTAATCCCATTGATGACCAACACCCTTTCCCATCATGAATTCTTCGCGGGCAACATTACTTCCCTCCCTAACCACCAACATCTCCCGTGTTGCCAGCAAAGGTCTTTACTGCAGTACCGCCACCACAGGCTTGCGAGCAAGTTATTCTGCCCTCAGACCTTTGGCCTCGTCGAGGCACCGGAACTTCTCAACTTCGCAAAAGACTCAGCTTGATTTCTTCCCTCCTCCAAAGAACCTCCCCAACATTAAAATCACGTACGTCAATGAGAGCCTACATCTTTCCATGCATGAACCACTGACATTGCTCACGACAGGCCCCCATCATGGCCGCACCCACCTGCCAGCGAGGAACAGCTGAACAAGATTGAGGTCGCTCACCGAGAGACAAGGACTCTGTCGGACTCGGTGGCATACAACACTGTACGGTTCCTACGCTGGGGCACCGACTTATTCACTGGCTACCGCCACGACCCCAACAAACCATACATTATGAGCGAACGCAAGTGGCTGATCCGATTCATCTTCCTCGAAACTGTTGCAGGGGTGCCGGGTATGGTGGGAGGGATGCTTCGGCATCTGCGCAGCTTGAGACGGATGAAGAGGGATAACGGCTGGTACGTCAATGTCAAACACAGTCCAGGCAGAAAGTGAAAGATTGCTCACATACGCAACAGGATCGAAACCCTTCTCGAAGACGCATATAACGAACGCATGCACCTGTTGACATTTCTCAAAATGGCCGAGCCGGGTTGGTTCATGAAGCTCATGATCCTCGGCGCACAGGGAGTCTTTTGCAACGGCTTTTTCTTCGCCTACCTCATCAACCCTACCATCTGCCATCGCTTTGTCGGCTATCTCGAAGAAGAGGCCACCAAGACATACAGCTATGCCATTGAGGATCTTGACTCCGGCAAATTACCCGCGTGGGAAACCCTGCAGGCACCAGATATTGCCGTCAAGTATTGGAACATGCCCGAAGGCCATCAGACCATGAGAGATCTGTTGTTGTACATCCGAGCAGACGAAGCCAAGCACCGAGAGATCCATCATACTTTGGCAAATCTCAAGGCCGAAGACCCCAATCCATTCGTGTCGGTCTACAAGGACCCCACTAAGCCTCATCCTGGCCCAAGTATTGAGCATATCAAATCAAAAGGCTGGGAAAGAGAAGATGTTATTTGAGGAAGTTGGATCATGTGCCATTAGACTTTTGGGAGTTTCGCACAGGTTTTACCACAAATGATAAATGCTATCTACATAGCGGACGAATTGAGATGATTATTTGTAACAGCAACAGACAGAAGCGTACGGAGTACTGTAAAACAGCCGTGAAGAGTCTTTGTTTTGACGATTTCCTTGCGAGTTAAAAGGTGGGGTGTCACTGGTGGGTACTGATGTCAACCTGCATGGCCTGGCGCTGAGATACTTTGATACCCGTGGTGGAAGAGATGAACCATGGACGCGTTTGGGGACGATCATTGGTATTTTGATCCCAAAGCGATGCCGCTAGGGCAGCACAAGCCTGTTACTTGTGGGGGTCTACTTATCCGCAGAGGTCTTAGCCTCCAGGGTTCCAGGTGGTGACAACATGATGAATGGTCAATTATTGGAGGTTCCTCGTCAGGCATCTGATTAGACTTGGAGCTAATCCACGCAAGCTTGAAGGATGGACGTGTCGTCCGTCGCGTTAGAAAAATACCCGAATGCAGAGTCCGTGGATGAGCAGCGTGAGTGGGCGCGACTATTGCCTACTGTGAACTGGTGCCTGATGCCTCATGACCAGCCATCTCTCATTCATGATCAGGTGCCATGTTCAAATAGAAAACTTGGATGCCACTGGCATTACCAGCCACCGAATTTTAAATATTATGGTGTGTGGGTGTAAATGAATGGCGCCGCTCTATGCCTATCGCGTAAAGGACGAATCCATTTGACCTGAACAAATTGGATGCTCGTCTATCTGGCTACGGAGTACATCTTGGATCCAAAACAAACTAGCTGGCCAGACAAACAAGCACCAAGTCGTTTTAGGACAGCAATAGCTGGGAATGTCTCTTGTCTCTGTGTAGCCTTGTAATAAGGAACAGGCTCAGACGTCCTTGTGCAGCAGTACAATTATTAAATGCCTGCGCAGTGGTCGAGGACTGAAAACCTCGCTAATAAGTTACGAAGAGTACGAGTAGTGACAAAGAAACGTACCTACCTAGAGGTACCTCATGTAGGCCTACGAGTACTGTGCACGTATGTCCAGGCTGACCCTGGGATGAATTACATGTCCAACTCGTCCGTAAATCCTGATCTTAGGCGGTCAGCAACCCCCCGTGCCCCCCAAATCCCCGTTTTCGCAGCAACTTCGCAGTCAAACCCTCTCCTACCACGCCGCCAACGCTAAGCCACAACCGACCCCAAAACTCAACTTTTAACCTCACCTCATGCGGAATCTCCATCTCCATCTCCATCTCCATCTCCATCTCCATCTCCATCTCAATCAACAGTCCAGTTGATCCGTCAACCACGTCGATATCTGACATCAATCCACCACCGTGAAACAAAAACACCTCATCCACTCATCTCCCCTTTCTCATTGTGCCCTACCAGACCTCCTCGTCGACCCAACGCCGTCAATCAACGCCTTGTCCTTGCTCAGCCCCGAGTCACTCTATCATATGAACATCACCGCGACATCACCGTTGGCTTCAGCCTCAACTGGCGGACCTCCTACTGTTGCTCCTCCCCTCCTCCAAACATAGTCACGTCGAGCCGGTTGCGCCTGCTGTCTGGCATGACCTCAGCGGTCCGCCGTCCATCCATGGTGGAAACGCAGAGCGAATTCGACTTCCACCAACTCCTCGTCCCCACCCCTACCAACGATGTCCCCCCTCGACACTCCCCTTCTGCCTCCTCGGGGCCCAGCAGCGATGCCGGATCTTTTGTCATCCCGGACAGCTTGTCTCGGAGCAATTCAGTCTACTCCTTCTCGAGGGCTTCCTTCAGCAGTCAACTCGCCAGCCTCACGTCCATGAGTTTACCTCAGGCCGAGTCTCTCGCCGCCACCGTTGTCTCTCTTCCCACCGCTCGAAAGGCCACCAAGGCTCTCTTCAACGCCGCTGAGCAGATCCAAACCTGGAACAGAAAAGCTCTCAAAGTTCTCGGGAATCTTGACGCTGACGAGGATGTTGAATGGGCTGCGGCTGCCGGAAGACTGGGTCTTGACGAGACGGAGAAGACAATCAACAAGTTTGAGAATCTCATTAACGTCTATGTTATCTCCATTGAGGAATTACAGTCACGCCCCGACATCGCCGACGCCAAGGCAGAAGAGTTACAGGCCGTGGTCGAGCAGATGGAAATCACCTTGATAGGCTGGGAGAATGTCAGGAAAGATTTGAGGAAGATCCATCAACAAGTCGAGTTGGCTATGGAATGGGAGGAACTATGGGCCAAGGTCTTGGGTGATGTCGGCGCTGAGATGGACAGTCTCAGCCAGTTGGTCTTTGAGATGGAGGAAAAGCGCCACGCGGCCTACCAGACACAGACACAGAGCGGACCTAGTCAAGCCATCGACTTGAACGAGTTGGAGAGCTTCATCGACGAGCCATCCCAAAAGCGCACCACTCCCAATTCCCGCTTCAGCCTGCCCCCCTTCGAGTCCTCCCCCTTGGGATCCCCCATCATTGAAAATCCCGCCGACGATTCAAATCTGCTGGCCCTCTTTGCGCGCATGCAGCCACTTCGAGCCTCTCTCGACTTTTTGCCTATGAGGTTGTCCATGTTTCAAGCCCGGGCCGAAAAGGTCTTTCCCGTCGCGTGCAAGGAATTGGATGAGAAGAGAGCGCGCCTGGAGACCAATTGGACTGACCTTTCCAAGGAGGCCGAAAATTTGAGACGTGAGCTGAGCGAGGACCGCTGGGTGATCGTCTTCCGCAACGCAGGTCGGCAGGCCCAGAAGATGTGCGAGTCGGTCGAACGAAGTATTGTCAAGGTGCAGGAGGCAATCAATGAGGGGTATCAATCGATCAACCCTGCCGCGCTTGCCAAGCGAATCGAGAGCTTTGAAGCAAAGAAGATGCACTATGGTCCCGCCATCAGCAGGGTTTTAGCCATCATCCACAAGGGTCTCAAAGATCGGCTGACGGTCAATGGAGAAATTCTGCGCTTGCACAAAGACCTGTCATCAAGGATGCGCGATCTCACCGACACGATGGAAGATCTAGAAACCTTATTGGAACCCTACTCGACTCGGCAAAATTCGAAATTGCGCGAGTCGATATCCAGCATCGTTTCAGCAGACCGTTCCTTTACGAGCACTTTTGCCAGCACCCCGGGGAGTTCTCCCCCGTCGTCAGTTGACCTGCCGCCACAGCGATCCGAGTCTCATACTCCCAAATATGGCCTCAATGGGTACACGAAGCCGAGAGCGCCATCGACAAGCCGCCCGGCGCCAGCCAACTCATCCAATAGACGAAGCTCCGTGCTGTCACATCAACGACGACCAACGACGCCAATGACAGGGTCGAGCAGTAGTGTGATGCGCCGGACGGCATCACCCCTCCCTGGCCCACCTTCAGTATATCGTCAAGGTTCCTATACACCTCCCGTAGCGTCAGTCACAAGGCCAGGGCCAACGCCACTAGCCAACAAGCCTCGGTGGTCGGCCGTGGTCAAAACTGACAGCAGTGGGTTGGCCCCAACGTATCGTTCATCGTCGACGGCGACTCCGTCGACAGCGAAAAGATACACACCCAGGTCCATTTCGTCGAGTACGGCATTGCCTCTTCGGAGCCCCCTCAGTCGGGAGGCGTCCGCCTCCCCCACGTCGGTGGTGTCATCATTATCAAAACGTGACAGCCAGCAGTTCAAATCATTTGCTGAAAGAGTCGCGGATCCTGCTCCGGTCAGAGGATCTGGATTACTGGATCCCGTGCCGTACCACCGCGGCCGCAACAGCAGTGCGCCCATGGGGACCATCAGATCGCCATCGTCGCTTGCGGTCCACAGCCAGCAAAAGCCGACCATGAGTGGCATGACCAGGCCACCGTCATCACTCAGCCGGAGTTACGGCCCCTCTCAGACTCTGCCGTTGCGCAGCACAACTCACAATTCCAGGGTGGATTTGAGGGGCGATGGTCGTCACGTGCCGAGTTCTCTTCATTCGGATGAGATGGATCCACCTAGTGAGACGGAAGAAGATGCTATCACGGATCCGAACTCGAGTCCGCTGTCGAAAAGGACTATTACACGACCGAGCAGTGTGATGGCGATGAACGGCAAGAACAAGAGAATGTCGTTGTTACCGGTGCCCAAAGGGAGCGGCCGGCAAAGCTCTTTGGGAACGAGAATCTGACGGGGCTCACATGGGGCTTTAGGGTTGATGGCGTGAAGCGCCGATACTGCGGCTGCAGAGCCCCGCGAGGAGCATGGAGGAGTGCATTGAGGAATTGCGTGAATGCTTGCCATATTGGAAGTAGAAGCAGGTGTGCCAGGGTGTGTTGTAGGTTTTCGGTGTGCACAGGAAAGGGCATTCTTCAGCGACAGTCGAGTTCAAGCAAGCGAGTTTGATTGATATTCATTTTTCCTTCTTGGGGCCATGTCATATATTTCTCATGTTTACGACGAAGTGGTGCGCAGGTGGCTAGGTTCGGCGATGACCTCTTTGTTCATGTCCAACGTCAAATGTGCAAAAACCAGGCTGAGGTTGCCATAGCGCGGAGAGAACCGCCCATTGGATCCAAGAGCTGATCCATCCATTTGTCATGTAATGCGTAGGGTTGATGCGGACGAGGATGTTCTTACAAACAACCCATGTCCAGTGGCAAAAATAGACACGCAAACGAGTTCGTGGTTGCAGACCAGTATACTGTTCGGTTCGAGCACTTCACTTGTCTGATGAGTTGTTTCTATGCTGTGTTTAGAGATGATCATTAAACGTCTACCTGACTTACTACGGTGCTACAAGCTTGACAATCTTTGAGACACGAGAGAAAACAAACGGTAGACACAGAGAACCGCGAGGACAGAGCGTAGAGTGGAGAGCGAGCGTGACTTCCTGAAGCTTATATTTTGTCGCGAACGCGTCAGGAGTCGCGTCATGGGCAGGAGCCACCTATTCTCTTTGCCACACTCGCCTATCAGAGTGAGTATCTCAATCTTTGTCATTTCTCTGTATACGATTATTCTACCACTCGGGCTTTTAGAAAAAGATGGATCGGAGTGACAGTAGTCTTTAAGCGTATTGATATCCCAGCCCTCCTTGAGGACCTGCAGAGAATCGGGATCTATCTGGTCAACGTGCATACGCCACGAGCCTTCTCCCCTTAGGGTCCGTGCGCAAGTAGGTTATCCCTGGCCTATAGCGGCTCTCGGCTGTTCCGTTTCTACATAGGGATATATCTGTTAACTCCTGAACCCCTCGAGCTTGACACTTGACAACTACTTGACGTGCTGCCAGCGCGATATCAAGAATTGGTACACCTTTCCACCCACAGATTCTTCTCCCTACTCGACGAAAAACCTCCAATGAGATATCTTGTCAAGCTTCGTCTTTCACGCTTGCGCTGGATCGCCGTGTATTCAATCCATCACCAGGCGTCAAAGATTGGATGATAAGCAGGAATGATCGCTTCTTCCCCTTCTGACTGAAACTCGCAAACATTTCTTTTTGTGGTCCAGTTGAGCTTCCCATGTTATGGCGGTCCATCGCTGGGCAATCGCCGTGTCAGGTGTCAATGATCCAGATACTTCGCTGGCTAACTCATCACTGCACTTCTCCTATTCGAACCAAAAGGAGGTCAAGCTCGGTCCGACAGTTTGACACCCGTCTGCCTCTTTGCTTGATTTCTGACGTGCAGAAGATGCGCACACCTTGGTCTGCACATCTTCCATCCATATGTCTGTCACACCATTTCCTGGTGTCTCTTTCTCCTTCGTATTCTATTCCCACTAAGCAAGCGTTTGTTGTTTCAATCCTCATCTGCCCGTGACCCTACAGCCTCCCTGACCATTCACTCCAATATTGCGGCGCGGGCACCACCTCAATCATGTTCAAGCCCGGTGAAGCCGAGTCTCAATCAACGGGACAAGGAGTGCCTATCATCTTTGGCCGGGCCATGATGCTTTTATCTAAGCGGATAGTAATCCTTTGTGCGGCTTTGGTCATTTTCACACTGGGCTTCCGGCATGTCAATGAGCAGAATGAAATAAATGTACGACGTTCCTCCCACCACTGCTCCTTTGTCACCCTCTGACTCTCTCCTAGTTGTGGTCCTCGACTGCATCGAAATCGTCGACAAATCCATATCCTTCGCCTCACCAGGACGGCGCCCCTACGGAAGATGTCGAGGATCTCGGAGCCTTTCGACGTCGAAACATCCAAGGCTTTCAGAATACCGGAGTACCTGGAGGGGCAGCTTTAGGACACAATTTGACGTGCTCAACCCTGACACACTCGGCCGAGATCGGTGTGCAGGATTCCTTTTATCTCTACGACGATCTGATTGAGGTTGCCGCCGAATTAGATGGTCACCCCATGGTTGAATATACAGATGGATCTGCAGGCAGAAATGGCGGCGGCTCCTTTGCCCTCGCAGACTTGGTCACTACTTCATGGAGCCGCCTCGCCACCGCCTGCACCTTCATGCCAGACTATGGCGTCTACCTGTGCGTGTCACGCATCATTTTCCATCCAGATGGACATAGGAATCGATGTCGCATGAGCTTTCTCCGAGGCCAGATTTACAGCGACAAGTGGGTCCATCTCCACGGGCACAAGATTGTGTGGAAAGAGCAAGAAATCACTTTTCCCAAAGTCTTTGATACGAGCTCCGAGTACAAACTAGGAGGCGAGTATTATGGTCCTGAGGATGCACGCATCATCATCGAAGAAGGCGTCGAGGGGGCCGAGCCCGTGGTTGTCTTCAACATGATCACCTCCTTGTCCGATTGGAAGCGGGCCATGTGGATTTTCCGGCCATTCTCGCAAACATCTACAATCTTGACAGTCAAGGACACTGAAAGGCCCAAAAAGGAGAAGAATTGGGCCCCATTCTTTGTCAAGGACCTCGACGACCCACTCCAAGACAAGAAGGTTGCACGGCAGCCCAGCAAACATATCCACTTTATCTGGCGATTCGAGCCGTTGACCATTCTTAAATGCCAACTCCTGACCGGAATGTGTGATATTGTCTTTGTCCAAGATGTCGATCAAGGTCTCTTAAGCACACATGGCGATTATGACGGAAGCTTGAGAGGCGGAACACAGTTTCTACCCATTCCCGCCTCCGTAACACCGCCGAGCACACGAGACCGCATCTTCCACAAACAGAGCTCTCCAATGCTTCAATCATTTGTCGCGTTCCCTCGGACCCACCTTGAAAATGCTGGTGGTTGCAGCCGCGCCGTCTACCGACCTGAGTTGGTCGTTTTAACCACGAACACCACCCACTTCTACCTCTCATATGGCTCTGGTGCCTTGGACTTTGGTCCTGGTGCGATCATGAGTGAGGAGGTCCTAGCAGACCCATGCAATCGCGGGCGCATCATGATCACCAACAGCATTGCCCGATGGGAGCCCAACGTCCCGATGTCCGATGGCAAGACGTCAGACGTCATGACGTTGACACTCTCCGTCGATGATGCCACAGTTCAGGTGGCCAGACTGAGCGGGATTTGGAGTCTTATCCGCGGTCTTCCTTCGATGTCGCGATACTTTAGTCAGACGGGGCATCTTCCCGAGGAAGATTTCGCTTTGATTGAGCAGTTCGGGGATGATGACGACAGGGAACTGTTGCAAAGCCTGGACCCATTTTCGCGGGTTTCGGCGGTTGGGTGGGACATCAGAGCATGTCTGGAGGAGGCAGCTCTGGCGTATGTGGGCGGCCACATCCTCCAAGTTGACGAGGCCGTCTTACAGGCCGAAGCCGAGCAAGCGAAGAAGCTTGAAGAAGAAAAGAGGCAAAGGGAGGAAGAAGAAGCAGCAGCAAAGAAGCAAAAGGAAGAAGAAGAAAAGGCAAAGAAGGAAAAACTTGAAGAAGACAAGGCGAAAAAGCTGCTTCTCCCTCCCACGTGAATGTGTGGGCTATCGGACCTGTGATATGGAAATGGATAGATCTGTCAATATTGTCAACTGTGTGGTTCAATCCGACCGAGTCAAAGCCGGCCAATGCTGCGATATATGCTTATATGTTTAAAAGGAATACTGAGGTGTTGTATTGCAATTGCCATGAGATTGATGGAAAATAAACCAAATGCTGCACGGCCCCGAGGCATGCTATGCAAACAAGTATTGCTAAAATCATTAACCATTCTTTCGTTTTGCGCCATTTGGAGAAGACTCGGTCAATAAGAGCTGGCCACCAAAGTGGCTTCCAGACCTGACGTGTGAAGACCCTGCCACCACACTCTCCCCGCGCCTCCTGGGTTCCATTGGCCGCGGAACCGAATCGGATCTAGAGTCTTCCACGTCGGCACCTTTGGTGACCCAACTCTCAACTGAGCGTGCAAAGCTCACACATGGAATGTCAACAAATCGCCAGAATAGATCTGACAGCCAGAAACACGTCGTCCCAACAAATGCCCACCCAATGAGGTGGGCCAAGACCTTCTGCCAGTTCGGGACTGCGGACCACCACTCAAGATTCAACTCGACACTATTGGGAGTCCATGTGGCCAGTCGCAGCGACCAGGGAAGGATGCTGTACCCCAGGGACTTGATCACAGTGCCGTGAACGAGATACAATGCATATGAAATCTTGCCCAAGTACGCAACGAAGGGGTTGTTGAAGATGGGCCCCAGCGAAGGGCAGGCTGCAACACTCCACACCGTGAGAACGGCGCCAACGAACAAGATTGAGTCGTCAACCGCGACGATTCCCCAGTTATGAACCAGCGTAGGGAGCCAGTTGGGAGTTTCCTGAATCTCTTGCGGTGAAGATATCATGAAGACTCCAGCCACGAAAAGGAAAGCCCACATGACCTTGTAGAAGAGATTGGGGAGGTGAAGGATGCGGCTGGAGCCAGTTGGCTGTTTCTCGTTGACAAAGTCCGGCAAGGCGTCTTTGTATTGCGAGTAATAGGAGGCCCGAATAAGGTCGAGCTCGGCGCAGACCATGCCAGCGAAGAAGAGCGAGGTGTACAGGCGAAAGGTGTAGATCGAATAGAAGCAGAGCACAGTGATGAGAAGCATTCGGAGAAGGCTTCGCATCCTGGATGTCGTTACCAAAACAGCAAACACCACCATGCTGCTACGGAATTCTTTTGGGATCGTCCATTGGTGGTCGTCATACATGAAGTAGTGCAACACATCCGTGTCCTTGTCGAAGGGAATCGTGGCACTGAAAAGGAACTCGACGTTTGCCAAATATCCCTTCAACTGGTCGTGGAGGCCCAGTCGCGGTGGAGGTTCCTCCTTGAGAAAGACAAAATGGCGATAGTGTGCGTAAATCTGAGCAGATCGATCATAGAGGCCGAAATAAGTCAGCCAACAGGCGACGAAGCTTACAACGAGGCATGGCAAGTACAGGCGCATGGCTCTGCGGAGGAAGGAGGAAGAAATTGATTTCTGAAAGTCGAGCCAGGACTTTGATCGGATCAGTTTCAAGGGTTTGTAACTGAGGACGTAGCCGGAAATGACGAAGAAAAGGAAAACGGCAGCCTTGCCGTACCACAAAAGTCGAATAAAAGGAACTCGCATGATCCACACTTGCGTCCGAACGGACTGATAACAGATGACATAGTGTTCGTTGAAGACAAAGAGACAGGCGAGTCCTCTAAGTCCGTCGAGGGCAGCAATTCCAGACTTGGAGGGTGTGGTGGCCGCATGGTTGGTGATGAAGCTGGGCACCAACCCGGACATGAGTCGTAGTGAGCATCCCAAGACATCCAAGTGATAAGATGGCAGTTTAGGTACCAGGTACGACCTGGCTGCCGGAACTGAAGGGCCTCCGGTTAGAGGAGCAGTTTCGTTGCTCTCATCCTCGAGGTCAGCGTACTGCTCATCTGGTTGAGACTTTGGTTCTGCCATGGTGGGCGCCGCAGCGAAGTTCGAGGAGGCTCAATGGTGCTGACTTGGCCGGGCATCGTCTTCTTAATAAGGTTACATCGGAAGCGCAGTGTGAGTTGAGCCCTAGAGCAGTTGGTTTAGGGGCTTGACGTGTGTCAACACATACAAGCGCCGAATTCTTCTGGTGCAACAGCTGTCATTGCCTGACATCGTTGAAGACAATCTCAGAATTTGGGCCATTGGCTGAAAGTATGCCCTCAGGCCAGGTGGGTGCTACCTGTGGCCCCGGTTAGGCACGGCACGACTCTGTTATCACATTCTCCAGACCACAAAAAAGTGGTCAGCTACCAATGTGATTTTGATGACGAACAATGGACGAAAAATGTGGTGGGTGAGCGCTGCTGCTGGAGTGAGCAAGGACGCTTTGCTTCCAACGGGTATCTTTGGATTACTTTTGGTTGGGAGTCATACGCATGGTGATGATGGCAGCCGCACCTGTGTACCAGTCACTCCTATTGAGGCTTGCATTTGTCTACATACCAACCTGCGGTCTATATTCTATATAGGCTCAACCAGTCATGTTTGAGGTTGAAGGGATTCAAGGGGGCGCCATGGGCTCCTTTTAGGGGGGAAGGGGGGCAAAATCCGTACATCGCCCCCTCTGGCCTCTGACCTCTGACCTCTGACCTCTAACCGATGCCCAAGGACTTTACAACATAGATAAGTAGATGACCTACAATAGCTGCTACTTTATTATGGTCTGAAGGGCAGAACGGTTCTAGTAAGAAGAGTCGTCTGGACAACCAGTATTCATGCACATCCCAGTTTCGACGATTAGATGCTGCTATAATGCCTTGTCGAATAACTTCCCGTCTTGTCTCTGTGCAACAGCAATTTGCCGGATCGTGTGTCAAATATTTGGTTTACCCCGCGGGCTGAATGGGGAGGGGAGGGGAGGGCGAACACGCCAACCGCATGACAAGTTGGAGAGGTTTCGCGCGTTTTCCAATTGGTTTTGCTGTCAATAATAGCTGAGGCCCGTGGGCGTGTAGGCTTGCATCGAGGCGTCCAAGGAGCACTAACTTAGGTAGCTTCCCGCCACATATAGTACCTACTAGGTACCTACCTCGGAGTAGGTAGGTAGGTATTGTAAGGAGGACTTTGGGCACCAACCACTGGTGACTGAGGCCATGGTCCCTTGGCCGAGGTGGCTGAGTGGCCCCCCTCAATTCTTAATTGCTTGGATATCTAGTTAGTGCCAGGTACTCTAAGTACCTACCTGGTAGTAAATACCTAGTAGTACCTTAGGTACTTAAGTAGTACTTTATTCAAACAACTCAATAAAAGCAGACCGAGTTGCTTATTTGAAGTTCCTGGCTTCAACATTCGTCACTCCAAGTACCCCGACCTGAGAGCAATTTCAAATGTGAATGGTAGCCAATTCATACTCCTCCACTCCTGACATCTTCAATCTGCCATCTAGTGGTATCGTGCCGTCTCACAGATTCCCACCTGGCCAACGGACTCGAATCAACTCTGTTCACCTGTAGCTCTTGCAGCCGACCGTTATCTGGGCTCTGGATGAATGGAGCGAGGATGCAACAAAAACGCGCCAACTATACCTCCTAGGTCAACAACACAAGCCCGGAAACGCGCCTTAGATGGCCAAATTCTAGTTGCCTGTCGGAATAGGATGTTCGCACCCTCTTGTTCGTATCTTCACCATAGATTCGTAATAAGTGGGTTGGACTCGACCTCAGGGAAACTTCAAGGCGGTCAACTGCTTTCTTGCACCTGGACCTCCTGGTCCTGGTCGTTTTTCTTTCCATCGTCAGTCTCTTGCTTTTCTCTTTCAGCTTCCTGGGCTTCAGCTTTCTTTTTCTGGGCTGCCTCAGCCTTTTCCTGCTTTCGCCGGAGCCTTTCCTCCTCCAATTTGTCTTCCTTTTCTATTTGGGTATCAACCCTCTTCTCTTCCTTTGGAGCCTCCACTTCCCAGAAGTCTCGAATCTCCTGTTCGTACCCGGTATCATCAAGGTCAAGTTCCCATTGCGGAAGGTGTTGTTCGGCGATATCCATCCATGGGCTCATACGCTGAGTACGCAGCGCTTTGTTTCCTGCGTGGTGTACCAAAAGGTCCCCTTCTTTAATGGAATTTGCCTTGAACTTGGTTGGGGGGGCTAATGGATCAGAGTACTGGCCAAGATTGTCGCCTCGGTAGCCGGCATATGCGTTGAACCATCGTTGGGGCACATGCATAATATTTGGTCGGAATCGGTCCTGTTGCTATGTTAGCACCATACCCAGATCCTTGAATGGCATCGACAAACCTCTTTGACCCACATGCCCATCGCAGACTGATCACCAAACTGGAGATCGATATCTGGGTCGAAAATCTCGGTCCCCAAACATGCTGTCATAAACCAAACGGACCACTCATGTACTCGTAGGAAAAACACGCCATTATTCAGACCTCTATGGTCATTGGTCACTATCGCGTGAATGTGACTCCAGTTCTCTTTCGGCGGGAGGAAAATTTCTAATGGTATCTTGGGGTTCATCAAGACTATATCACCATCAAACCACCTGTGAGCCGGAATATTAGCCTTTCTCCATACAATTGTTGTAGGGTGGCCACTACTCACACTAGCCACTCGAGTCTTTCCTCCTCGGGCAGGGCCAGCTCAATCAGTAACTGATTCAGAATGTAGGCTGGCTTCGACCAATATCCAGGTAATGTTTTTTCACGCAGCACATACATCTTGTAGCCAAACTTTTGATTGTGCGGCAAGTGCGCGGCTAGTGCTCTTTCGTATAGAGGATTGGGTTCGCCATAGAGCATGGACAACTTTCCAATGGTCGACTGGGCGATGTCGGATTGTTTCTGCGCCACTTTACGATTGGGCTGGAGATCCAGCTCGAGATGTCTCGCACGCAAAATGTTGAGCCAGTCAGTTAGAACTGTGCCCATGCATAGCAGGGTTACAATGATGCCAATGAGCCTGATATTTGATTTGCCAATCATCTTGGACCGAGGAACGCGTAATACGAAGCCGCATGAGATGGGATGGGTCTGTAGATCTGAAAACTGAACATTCACCGTGCTGTGCCTTGCTCTGACATTTGAAGAAGCTGAGACGAACCTGAGGCTGACGATGGTAGAAATCACAGAGGCCCAAGGGCCCGACTTACTTAGGACAAACATGATACCATGGGACAACACGCTCTTTAGTAAAAGGAGGCGGTCTAGGCGACGCAACTGACAGCGACTTTGGGCTACACAAGCGGCTTATAGTGCAAGGCTCGCCCGATATGCGTACGTCGTTCTGTCGCATCTTAAGGAGCAGAAATAGGATTTTATTGTGTGACGTGCAGATGACACTTCTTATCCTTCCTATCACTGACAGACCTCTGGGGCCTGGCATCTACCGGTTAAGGGGGTTGCGGGTATTTATCCAGGAGTAATTGTGGGCCAACATAGGCCGAAGGGGCCTGAGCGTCTCCACGTCTGGGTCTCGTGGTCCTCCGCTTTCCAGGCTCGAGCCGAACGGCCGAGGGTCTGAACAGGCCTTGATATGAACAATTAATTATATGCACCACCTTACTTTCATGTAACATCTGACGAGAATTAGACCATTACCCATTCAACACGATAAATTTTATACAACACGGAATACAAACAGCTTCGCTCATCGCACTACACCATTCGGTCTGCTCACAGGTACTCGCATACCGTTCCTTTCTGGGAGACCTGGCATTTCTGGTTAAGCACTGCGGCAAATTGTCTTGAAACCTGACACGAGTGACAGCTCGAAAGTCCATACATTCCCTCCGTGGCGTCCAGTGAGGCGTAACGGGCTCTGTTATAGATCTCGACCAAGATGAAATTATACCAAGCGGGTTGATTCCCCTTTCTTCGTCCCCTGAATTCGCATTGCCCATAGACCCTTGGTACCACTTTGATATGATATTGTCATCTGATGTCCCCCTCGGAGAGCAATTTTCAAAACCCTGCCTCACCAAAAAACTGCGCTGATAGCCGCGTTGCGTTCCCTTGTTGCAACGAAGACACCTGCATCCTGCTTCCAAGCCGGAAGACCTCTCCTCCGCAGTATGGCAGCAACAAGTAGTGTGACGCGGTATTGGGCGATGACAATCATCGTGTTATGCCTTTTGTATTGGACGATCCGACTATCGCCGCGAGACCTTTGGTCAGGATCTGCTATTAACGAAACGCTTCGAATCACCCAGACACACAGGAGCAGACCAGACGTGGCCAGCACACTGCAGGAGCAAGTCACAGAGAATGAGCAAGCTTCTGCATCCGAACAGTATCCCGTCCAATTTCCCCGAATTATATGGCAGACGGCAAGCGAGCATGGCAAAGAGCAGTACGGTGATAAAGCACAGACATGGAAGGACATTAAAGGATTTCAGTATAATTTTCTGAGTGGTATGAATTTCGCATCCTGGTGCATCAGATTGTGTGACTGACCAGCGCAGATGAGGATGCAGACAAATTCGTTCACGACGCCTTCGCATCAAGGCCAGCCATCGTTCGATTCTGGGAGGATCTCGGTTTGCCAGTATTAAGGGCAGATTTTCTTAGATACCTCACGATGTTGGCGATCGGCGGTGTTTACAGCGATATCGACACATCTTGTCTGCTGCATCCAGATAAGTGGATGCCCGCTGATCTGGACGTTTCGTCAGTCAACGCCATCATTGGCATCGAGTACGATGACACCACCTACAAAATGTTTGTGCGACCGATTAGTTTCTGCCAATGGACTTTGATGGCAAAACCCGGTCATCCCATCTTCGAGACTGCTGTACAGCGGGTCATGAGCAATCTCGAATTCCTGGCCCGGCGCCGAAGAGTGACGATCGGAGAACTGGCTCCTGATAAGATGGAAGTTTTAGAGGCTACCGGCCCTGGGATGATAAGCGACGTCATCCTCCAGGTTCTACAGGATCAAGGCCAAAATGTGACCTGGGAGACTTTCAAAGGCCAAAAAGATTCAAAATTGTTCGGCGACGTCCTGGTTCTGCCAATCAACGGCTTTGCGGGAAGCCAAAAACACAGCCACGCTGGCGACCCTGACTATGGACAAAAGTACGTTCAGCACCATTTCGGCCGCAGCTGGTATGATCCAGCGCGTGCAGGTTAGTTTGTGCTATGGCCGCCAACAAGAGGCACATGCATTTTTCAAGGACCCACACAGGTGAAGCCTCCGAATGAAAGATTGAGATGACGATTGCTAACCTTCAAATCAAGCGTTTGTCACCCTCAAATACACCTTCATACGCAGCTTTTGCAAGACTGCAGTGTTGGAGGCGGTTTAACTCCACCACATGAGACCCTGCGACCTGCCATTCACGCTCGTATGGTGGTGAGGAGGAAAGCCTGCTGCTTGTACCAGCAGCTTTCTTTGAGGGGCAACAATAGCATGTCAGCGGAAGGCCAGTCCAGCATCTCAAGTCGTTCGTTGCACCCAATTTTTGGTTAGATAAAACTCAAGCACAAAAAGGAAAAACAGCAAGGCTATGTGAGCAGGCTAGAGCTACGTCTATTTACCAAGCAAACACTACCATGGCTGTCCACATTGCAAAACCAATTAGTGATACATGGACAGAATAGGTCAAGGATTGAGCGCCGCCAGTTGGGGATGACGTGCCACCTGTTTCGGTGGATGTGCCCGAAGAGGTTTCAGCAGCATCACCTGACTCCTTGCCATTCGCCGTTCCACCAGTGCCGTTGACAATTCGAATACGGCCGTCGAGCTCGATATCCACTGGACTTTGGGCTTGAACATAGCGAGTGAGGACCTCGTCTTGAGTGTCGAGGGTGATGAAATCCGTGGTAGGTTCAAAGAAGTTGTCGCCGCCTAGGAGAAATTAGTACAACCGACTGAGAGCCTCCCCAATAGCTACTTAGACTTACCCCCTGCCAAAAAATCAAGAGTCACAATGTTGTATTCGGCTTCCAGGTCCAGAGGTTCATCTCCAATGGTTACCCCAACTAGCTTCGTGCCGTTTTCATTTGCTGGATTGTATTCGATGGCGATTCCTCGACTGACTTGTAAGAAGCTCGTTACTGGTCTCCCATTGTTCTGATTAATACGAGTCATGATGCCTTCCAGAACACCCCAGAGTTCATCTCCGGTTAAAGTTATCTCCACGATGGAATTTCCAAAGGGAAACGACGTGAGAATTTCTCCGCGAGTAATCGGGCCTTCATCGATAGTCGCTCGAATACCACCCGCATTAATCAATGCAAAGTCAACGCTGTCGGAACTGTTGAGACGATACTCAAACATGGCATCTGCCATGAAATCACCAAGTAGACACTCTTGTCGCTGACATGTGGTTTGATCCAGCTCCACAAGTGACATGCCCACCTCTTGCGCGGCGAATTCCTCAAATGGTCCTCTCCACGAGTCGACTTGGAGTTGCAACTCGGGATCCTGATCTGTTTCATTTGTCAAGTGAATCGGTCCTCCGTGGTAAGCCAGTATTTTTCCTGTAGGGTCATAGGTCACGTCAATGTAGCCTAGGTATTCTCCCCACCGATATGCGGTAACAATAAAAACCTCATCCCCGTCAGCGTTGTCGACGATGGTGGGATAAGGGCCCTCGGCGATCTCAAAATCACCAAGAGGGGTATGACTGTGGCCGCCGATGATGAGGTGCAACCCGGTCGTGCTTTCGGCTAGTTTCTGATCTTCGTCGTACCCAATGTGGGTCAGAGCGGCGATACGAGTGACGTTTGTGGTGTTGTAGATGAAGTTGACTGTGTTCTGGACCGCTTCAATAGCATCAGTGAAAACTGTGCCTCTGCCTGGACTCGAGATACTTGGAGTTGTCTCGGTTGTTACTCCAATCACAGCCAGTCCCTTGTCTTCAAAGATGTGGAATGGCTTGATGGTCTGATTAAGCACAGGATGGTTCGATTGAATATTCGCAGAGACTATAGGGAAAGTAAGGTTTTCCAAGAATTCCCCTAGAGTGTCATCTCCAGCATCGAACTCGTGATTACCGAGTGTCATGGCGTCAAAGCCTAGTTGGTTGAGTGTTTCGGCTATCTTTTCACCACCATAGAAGGTGTAGAACATAGTTCCTTGAAACTCGTCCCCTGCATTGATGAACAAGCTGTCGTTGTATGCCGGCCGCTGCTGGTCGATCACATGCTTGACGCGTGCGTAGCCGCCGTAGCATCCGCGTTCAGGTCGTGTACAGTCAGTCCCAGAAGAACTGAATTCGTCCAAGTGAGCATGAACGTCGTTGATGTGAAAGAATGCTATCCTTGGTTAGTGAGCAGTACTCGGAACAATTGGCCAAATCCTCACAAATATTGTAGTTGCCGTCTGCGTCCAGACCGCGCTTCGCAAGTGCATGTCGTCTACTATACAACACATCCTCAGCGAATATTGTGCTGGAGAGTAGAGACACTATAATGAGGTTACACAATGTAAGGGCTTGCGAGACAGTGAACATGGTGGCGTCGATTTTTCACTCCTCTTTTCCGGGGGATGCTATGGCAAACTGACTGCTTGATTGCCATAGTTACAACGTTCGAGGATTCAAGCCTTTTATGAACTCAAGATGCCAGCTCTGCGCTTCCCTTGTTGCACCGAGACGTGCTTTGCGCGCATAAGCTTAGATAGACTTGCTTTACATGTCTTGGTGATACGGTGATCGACAATCAGGGCGAGCCCGTGACGGCAGAGCCTATGAGCGCGAGTCGTGAACTGCAGGGAGACAGACCAAACCAGCTTTATGGGGTGCCAAGTCGGTAGTGTTGTAACCATACTATCGTTACACAAAGCCAACGAGCCGAGTTAGAGCCTGTGGCGACGCGATGGTGACAGATACTCTCAAGACATCTTCGATAATGAAGACACGTGTCTGTGAAACGGGTCCGGGATTCATATCCATTTCCACGTTCACCTGATCCGTATAAAGTCGTATAAAATCACAACCAGAAACAAGGCTTGGTACATCGGTTTCTAAGGTTAGTCAACGTCACGAAACGAGTCCAAAGCCGTGGTCGGTACACGTGTGCGGGGAGGTGAAGGACATCCAATCTAAGTACTTTAATTAGGCATTCAGCCTAGCTCCCTGGGGTGGTCTAATCCCCGCCACTGTCGATTATCGAGGTCCCCACCACTATCGATTTCCAGCGTACTGTGTGCCGGGTTGACTCATGGGTTCCTGGCTGTGCACACCACGACGGTACTTTGGCATCTGAACTCTATCTGGACACTGCTGCACCAATAGGACCTGAGCATACTCAAGCATGATCCGCCACCTACGCATATACTGTAGGGCAATAGTCCGATTGGTGTGATACGAAGTCATGCTGCTAGGTGTTCTTTGTCAGAACAACTCGAATATCTTAGGATTCCCCTCTCACAATGCATCTTTTGGATCTATCAGGTTTATGATGACGGATCAATAAGTATTTTGACGTGCCTGTCTTTGTGGGAAATCAGTTCTTCGAATCCATGTTTTACTGCAGCCGTCAACGGCACCTTGGAGGTGATCATGGTTTCGGGCGTTTTGATGTTACCTGTGGTCTTATTAGAAATCTGGTTGACATGAAATCAAATCATCCGTGCACTTGCCAGAAACCAATGCCTCTATGACTTCCTGAAACTCGCCCCGGGTATAGGTGTTGGACCCCACATAGGTGATCGAACGTCGATTGAGAATGTTCGGTGTCTGGAGTGTCAGTGATGTCTCGTATATTGCAACGTTCACAATGGTTCCGGCGCCTCGAACAGAGGCTAAGGACACATCGAATGCGGCTTGAATACCCGCACATTCAAAGACGGTATGTACTCCCAGCCCCGCAGTCAAGCGAAAGCAGACGTCTGGGACATTGTCCTTGGACGGATCAAGAACGTGATGAGCTCCTGCTGCCTGTGCGTGTGCGGCGCGAGTAGGAGAAGGCTCAGAAACTATGACCGACTCGACCCCCCTCGCCAGAAGGCAGTGTACCATGGCGATGCCGATAGGCCCTGGCAGGTCAGTGTGGACATATACCTCCAAGGGCCTCGGGTGACATACCTGCACCAACGACAAGGCAGTGATGGTCGCTTTTCACTTTGCCGACATTCACTGCATGCCAGCCGACAGCGAGGGGTTCGACCAAGGCAGCAACCTCGAGCGACAACTCGTCTGGGATAAGATGAAGAGCCTTCCTTTCCACGCATATATATTCAGCCATTCCGCCTCCATAGCCGCTATAACCCAGGAACCCCCAGCTTGGGCATATACCGTATAGTTCTTGTTGGCACCAATGGCATGTTTGATCCGTGAGAATGGGGAAAACTGCCACCTTCTGCCCGATGCGAATGTCGTTGACTCCATCCCCCAACTCGCAGACGACCCCGGAGAATTCGTGTCCTTGTCTGTGAGCAAGAATTCTGCCACTTTGAATCGGTATTTCTTACCACAGACTGTTGGAAGAGTCTCTCCAGTCAGGATATGTGGCTCCGTGGGCACGTTCTTGGGCCCGACGCTATACTCATGGAGATCTCAAACACCTCAAAATCAGGATTGAGGACGCGAGAAAGGAGTGGGTGTCCGCGAACCTGAGCCACAGATTCCCGCCCATGCATTCTTTACCTTGACCCAGCCAGGTCTAGGGCTCGGCTCCGGGATGTCTTCGATGCGTATGTCTTTGTTGCCATGGAATCTCAAAGCGCGCATGGCTTCAGGTTGACACCAAAGATGTGAGCACGAAATCGAAGGCTAAGCGAAACCTGACAATTGAAAGTTTGCAGGGTTGCAGAGCTTGTTGTATTGTTCAATTTATCTGGACCTGAAGACCGACCCATCTCAAAGAAGGCTGGCCTCTCGACAAGGTGCCTTATAGCCATTAATGTACAATATCCTCGGCATTGAACAACCTGATATAAAATCTCCATTGCGGGGAAGGTCCCCTCACGGGTGCAGTTCTTGAAGCTCATTGAAGCCCAGTGTCAGTGAATGGTGAGATGATGCAACTACCAGTACAGACACATGACTCTGGAATATGGAAGATTCTATCTCCTGTTGGCCTTGCGTACTGGTGGAGATGCCTGTTTTGAGGCAATACAACTATGTAGTCAGTTATCAGTTTTGGGAACCCCGGCTCCACAGGCCACCACCAAAAGCCCAACCTCCCAGGACTCGCCAAGCTGCTACGCCAAAACCAGGATTGAGACTCCTTGGCAAATGACTCAGCGGCATGGCTGAGAACTCGATAAAATCTCTTTATGTTGGCCTGTCCTGGAGCTCCCGAACACAGATATCAACTGAGCTTGTGCAGTCGCTCGAGTTCACACTGCCAGATCTGTCTTGACAATGACTCAACTACGAGAGCGCAGATACTTGATTCGCAGGCCACGGGTTTTGCAGTACTTCCACAAGGGACAGTTACGCAAGGTATTGGACGAGGAACGTGTTGCAGGTCGCTTCGAACTGTTCTTTGATCTTCTATGTAAACTTCATGCCTTGTCCCTAGCACTGAAATCCATTTTCCTGACTGTCTCTAGATGTCGCGATTGTGCGTTGACGAAAGACTCTGCTGACCCGAGTATCAATGCTAAGAGACGCAGATCGCCAATCTTGCTGACGACCTTGCGGAAACGCCTACAAGAGAGAACTTGATCAAATTCATACTTGTGTTTACTCCGGCCTGGTATCTTCGCGGACTCCTAGCATGACCGGCATCCAATTCTGACCATTTATAGGAACGCATGGGCAGATGCTAAAGAATACGCCAACAATTACTTCAACGATGACATGTTGCAGCGGGCTGGCGTCATCTGGATTATGACTCTTCTCGTTATCTACGGAAACAACGCAGTTTACGTGGCACAAGACCTCGGAGCATTGCGTGCCACAGTGGGCTCGTACATGGTACTCCGTTTCTCTCAGATCTGCTTTTATGCAGTCTCAAGTGTGGCTAGTCATCACCACCGTGCTCAGAACCGAGCTTACTTTGCGCTCATGTTGGTTGGCATATGCATTTGGATTCCTTTACTCTGTGAAAATGTCAGCGACCCCGCAAAGATAGTGGCTGCTGTGGTTGCTATCCTCTATGAAGTAAGTTGCCCCGAATTCCCGAGGGGCTTTGAATACTACCTAGCTTGCAGGACGCATCATACGTGATCAGCTTCGGCCCGTGGGTTTCTAGATGGTTGAAACTGGACTATTCGTCGGCTGTAGACATCGATCATGAGAATGACAGATATACCGCGTTCACGATCCTGGTCCTCGGCGAATTCACATATGCTATTCTGGTGGGTTCTCCGGCCAGAGGGGGACTGAACTTGAACGTCCTGCGAGCAATCATGACTCTTGTCATTGCTTTCAATTTCAACTCCATGTATGTCTACTGTGACGGCGCTGTTGATGGCACACATCCCATTCGACGCGCTGTGTGGAGCACATTTGCCTGGTTACTTATCCATCTGCCCCTCTCGGCTGGGCTGCTTGTCGGAGGACATGTATCAGCCGCCTCTTGCGACCAACACCTCTCTCCTGGACAACGACGACTCTGGGGTGCCGGTCTGGGCTTGGGTACTTTATGCCTTTACCTTTTCGCTTGGCTCTATCGTGATGACGATCCTAAGGGCTTGTTACGGTTCTCAAAGGTGAGATCTGGCCATTTTCACAGAATCAAGCTAATATGGCCAAGTCGATGCGTCTGATGCCGCGCTGCATTGCTGGAATTGTGTTCATTCTCCTGCCATTGACCTCGGAAGCTCAAATCAGTTCTCCTAGTCTCATCATCATCGGTGCTGTGATGACAAGTTTAGTTGTCACGTGGGAAACATATGGTGGTCTTGAGACAGATGCTTGCATGTTCGAAAGTTGGACTGCCCCAGAGGAGGATTATGACGAAGAAGGCGACGCTGACGAGGCTCTGATCCCGCAATCTAACAACTCTACATCGCCAGGTTACTCGACCTTTTAGTGCACCCAACATATCTCTATTGGGCCTACGTGTGTTGCGACAGAGAATAAGAGGCAACATGCCCATCCTAGATCTCACTATCGCAGTAGTGAGGTGGAAGCATCCACCTCATTCGTGTTTAGACTCTATGTGGACTTGGATGTCCTCTCTCTCGGCTCATGGTTGGAGGTCTCGAGGCTATGATCGCCATAGATATTAGGTACTACATGATACGATGAGACTTACACATGGTTTGGACCTGTCCCAATAAGCATCCCAAACACCGCTGCGGATCAAAATCTGGAATGACTAAGACTGACCTCAATGGAACCGATCATGGCCCTGTCATTATACTGGGCACATTCGAGGACGTGTGTTCAAATTTCTTATCCCAGAGTTCAAGGCTCTATCTCTATTTAAGTAAGCAAGCCTCTAGGGCCTGAGAAAAGACCTACAGCAAATGTCAGTCCAAGTTGAGGGATGATCACGTTGGGGTAACTATAGATGAACTGTGTGTGAGGAGCATTTGCTTTCAGTAAAACAAGATTGGATGTTGTCTCGGGGCTTTGAGCGGTACACTACGGATTATTACTACATGCCAGGTGTTAATAATCTCTGGCAATATCGAGACATTTAAGGCGCGACCGACAGACTCTGCAGGCAAGGGGGCCTAGGTGCCACCATGTAAACTTTAATGTATATAGATATGTCTTCACAACTGCACACCTTGCTGGAGTTTCAACAAATTAATTGCAGGGAGGTCATTGTTTAGTGGTTTCATGACATTAAGACATATCATAACATCGATGCTGGTTCCTAACAACTGAGAACTGTTGGAGTTTGCGATGCCTCCGGTATGCAATCTTCCCTACTACCCCACTGATGCTCTCCGGCATATTACTCAAGGTGTCCAAGACGGGGGAGAACATGCTGATATCAAGTAGTATCGTGCTGATACTGGGGGACCCTCTCTCCCACGCCCCATTTATAAACACTGCCGGGATGATCTGGCCTTAAGCGATCATTTCCTTGAAAAACACCTCGAGCAGTCGCCCCTTCTTTGTCAACATCGGTACGAAACAAGCCTTTCCGCTGAAGCTCAGGTATAAGGTAAGTGACAATGTCCTCAAAAGAGCCAGGATTTGTCACATGAGCGAGATTGAACCCGTCCACTCCAGTGATTTCTGCCCATTTCTCCAATTCGTTGGCAACGGTCTTGCCGCTGCCGACAACCTTGGCCATCATGCCCCCCAGAGCGAGATACTCAGCAATATGGCTTTTGTTCCAAGGCAAGTTCTCGGAGCCTGGAACAGTGGCTGCCCAGCGACTTACAATTGACTCTATACGCGTCGAACCGGTGAAAAGGAAGTCCTCGTCATCGGAGTACTCGGCCAGGTCGACCCCTGTCCAGCCGCCGAACAGACCTAAAACCCCTTCTTTGTCCGTATAAGAAAGCAGTTCTTGCTTTTTCGCAGCCGCAGCCGCGTCTGTCTCCGCCACAATGACAGTGATACCGAGAATGACTTTTACGGACTGAGGGTCTCGTCCTTCACCTTGGACTTGAGCGCGAATGGAATCAACTGTCTTCTTGACACCTTCTGGCAGTTGGCCGCCGACGAAGATTGCTTCAGCGTGTCTTGCACCAAAGGCGCTTCCAGCTTGTGAGGTCCCAGCTTGGAATAAAAATGGGGTCCGCTGGGGCGATGGCTCTGAGATATGAGGTCCTGGGACGTTAAAGTACTTGCCAATATGGTTGATCTGGCGGACAGCGTCTGCCTGGGCATAAATTCCACTTTGGCGGTCGGCAGTGACGGCGTCGTCTCTCCAGCTGCCTTCCCAAAGCTTGTACAAGACTTGCATGTATTCCTCTGCAATGGCGTATCGCTCATCGTGTGGGATCTGCTGATCCAACCCGTGGTTCCTCGCAGCACTGTCGAGGTAAGATGTAACAATGTTCCATCCAATACGTCCATTGCTGAGATGGTCCACGGTCGAGAAGCGACGTGCAAGCGCATATGGCTTGTCGTAGGTCGTGCTTGCGGTGACGCCGATGATGAGGTTCTTGGTCACCGCTGATAGGGCTGGTACAAGATAGAGAGGATCAAGAACAGGGAATTGAGCCCCGGAGGCAAGGACCGGAACATGATTCGCTGGCCCTTTGTAGACGTCGTACGCTCCCAGTGTATCAGCAATGAACATGGCATGGAATTTGGCTTTATCCAAGAGCTGTGCGAGATCAGTCCAGAACTTGAGTGTTTTGTATTCATCTGTCCTGTTGTGCGGATGTCTCCATAGTCCTGGCGAAAGGTGGCCGGGAGTATTCATCACAAAGGCATTGAGTATGAGTTGCTTTTTCGTGCCATTGCTTGCGATATTCCCGATTAGCACAGAAGGATCCTGTTCCTGAAGACTTGGGCTCGTGGTCACGACGAGCTTTGCTTGACTAGACATGGTCAAATGGGTTTTCGTGCACCTGATACACTCACTTTTTCGTCCATCAAACATCCAAAACACAAAATTTGTGGTGAAATCGGTCTTGGTAGGATTTCCATGTAATTTGCCAAATAGCGCCCAAAGCACGCCATCGATCATGGCACAGGATTCGGATAGTTCGGCCTTGACGGGTTCACTCACCATCAATCTGTAGGTGGGTAGTGCCCGACATGGGGACGTGGCACATGCTCAATTCAAGACACATGAACATCGTAGTTTGATCAAGTGCATTCATCAAAAGGCCGCATCTCAAGGGTTTTACTCTGGCACAGGTGAATCAATTGGACCAGTCGAGAACGGATCACAAAAGCTTCACTTGTGGTTAGTATTAAGTACTTGATTTCGAAGTGCGAATTCATGTTGCCCCCGAGGAGAGCTTACCCCAATCTCATCATTTAGGTACCTACAACACCTAGTACCTACATGGGTGCGAACTGGCGTGACTGGTTCAAAACAAGGCTCGAATCAGCGTTAGGGGCTATCCCCACGCATGGATGACCACATCTTCCAAAGTATCACACAATTGCGCCAAAGTTCTCTGCACCAACACTTCTACTTAACTGGAGGAATCTATCGTTCTCTGCAAAAAAGCCAAACAATTCTTATCTGTGGATAGTTCTACTATTCTATGAAATGGGCTACGCAGATAAACTCCGAGGGAAGAAGATTGTCGTGATTGGTGGCACTTCTGGGTAAAGCGTTCTAAAGAACCCCGAGGCCGAAGTGGTAACTTATATGATAGCAAAACTTACAGGATAGGATACGGAGCCGCGGCGGCACTTTTGGATGTTGGTGCATCCGTCACTGTCATCTCTTCTTCACCGGCCCGAGTGCAGGAGGCTCTTCGGCGCTTTGATAATGCCAGGGCCAATGGGCTCGTAGTCGATGTCCACGACGAAGATGCTGTGGTGACCGCGCTTCAGTCGCTGGCTCCCATCGACCATGTGGTTTTCTCGGCGGTGGACAACATCATCCGAGGCAAGCTTGAAGACCTCGAACTGGATGACGCGAAACAGCTCTTTGGTGTCAAATTCTGGGGTGCGGTCATAGTGGGCAAAGGTAATTCAATGACACTTGGAAGGTCTGCTACCGCTGACTTGGCAGCACTGGCAAAGTACAACCTTGTACGGCAAGGTGGTTCTTTGACCCTGACCTCGGGAACGGCAGGTATCAAACCGGGAAAGGGCGCTGCGGTCGGTGGCGCGTTAAATGGAGGTGTACTCTCGCTCACCAAGGGGTTGGCATCGGAATTGGTAGACAAGAAGATCAGGGTCAACACTGTGGTTCCTGGGCTGGTGCAAACTCCGCTCTGGGACAAGCAAGGCAAGACCAAAGAGGAACAGAAAGAAATTTTCGACAAAGGAAGTGGAAGTCTGCCCGTTGGGTTTGTGGCCACACCCGAGCACATTGCTGAAGCGTATCTTTATGCTGTTCGCGCCGACTACGCTAATGGGACACTAATTGAGATAGGTGAGTTACCCCACGCGAATTCATGCAACGAAATGCTTGCTGAGTCCCATGTTATGAATGTCCAGACGGAGGATATCTTTTGTAGGAAGCCGATTCCAATCAATGACCATGATACAGGAGTGAAACTCCCCTTGCTGTGAGATGTTTTTGGGGGACGCGGGAGAATTGAACACGTGCTATCAGCTCTTTGCGAAGCCAGCTCCAAGTTCACGTTCAAGTGCACAACGCAAAGAAATCGGGCTTGTTTAACTAATAACATCGTCACGTCTGTAAGGTGTGCGTTCCCTGGTATCTGCAGTAAGCATCTGCATATGGAGAGTTTAAGGACTGAGGTAGCTGTGGTCAGGGTTGGGCAGCGCTATATGTATCTAGCCACGCCGATTCTGAGAAGAGATTGCAGTTTGGTATCACAAATGCGCCACATCATACTCCAGCCGGACGGAGCATGCTCATCAAGAATATCAATTTATGTGGAGTCAAACTGACAGCGGGCTGACAGCGGTGGAAAGTCCAACTTTTGATTCCCTCCAAGACCACCCAGTATGTTATTCTCTCGGCCTGCAATGTGGCGTGACCATGGTGCTGCCATTATTATTGTATCAAACCTTTGCACCTGAATTCAAAAAAATGATAACGAATGCTAGTTAAGACTCGGACCGGCAGGAGGAGGCGAGGGCAGGGGGTACGATGGCATGATGGCATGGTGGCTAAAATAAGAAGACTTTACGTGATAAGTTTCGCCACGGCTTTTTGGGTGACAATTGCTCTAACAACAATAACACTTTCTGAAATGTGTTTCCGAAGCTGCATTGAAGATGCTATGTAGTACTTACTTGAACATGAGCAACATCTTGTTCTATCAGGCGAGTGATTCTCCACCCAACGAGTCTTGTACGTGGAAGATACGAACGCGCACGTGTATGCATTCGTTATTATTGTGAGCACCGCCAGTACTGTCGCACCTCTCGCTAACGGAAATTGGGTCAATGGCTCGACAAGCTTGGCCGGATGAAGTATGATTGGTCAAGGGAGGAGTGGCTCACGTGTCGTTGTGTTGATGCTCAGCCTTCACGCGAGAGAGAACATGACTCTGTCCGGGGAGCTGCCCAGCTCTGTCCTCAGTGGTCAGAGCTGTTTGTTCGCGACTCAGTGCACGCAAGTGCTGTGATTCACTACTACAGAGCCTTCACTATCACTGGATAGCGTTAGCTGGATTTGCCGAATTGCGAGACATCCAAGAGGTCACCAAGAGAGGCATTGTGGAGAATGTGTGGATCGCCAACAATCTCGAGGTGGGTGCCCCTGGAGAAGTGCCTGGAACTAGAGCAATGGGAGTCTGCAACTGCAAGATAGCCCTGGCGTCTAGCGCCTCGAGTTCCTCATATGATTTGCGGGCGACACGTCAATGTGCCAACACATGCTTTCGCCATCAATTTTAGTTTCCGCACCTCAACGAGGGTCCGCAACTCTCCAAGGCAGATGACGGGTCCAGGGTGATTTCAGGTATGGTGACCAACATGCGTCGTTCGCAATCAACAAATATCTTGTTCTCGCGTCCCCGGCTTCATTATTGCCGCGTCCATTCCTGTCTCTCGACGGGTGAATTTTCCTCTTCATCGACAAATGTAATACCATAGTGCTTTTATTTGTTATTTGTTCTCACTTCTCCTACGCCCTCGCAGACATGCGATCGGAAATTATTCTGCTGCTTGGTGTGGTAGGCAAGCTTGCGTCTGCCGCGCCGTTGGATTCTGAAGCATCTGAAGCCCACATTCTCGGCGCTCGGAACATTGTTCAACAAGTTTCTGATTCCTATGATTTTATCGTCGTGGGAGGTGGTCTAGCTGGCCTTGTCCTTGGGGCTCGTCTTTCAGAGGATTCCAATCATACAGTACTTGTACTAGAGTCTGGGGGGAATGGCGACGAATTCCGTGAACGCATAGGTGAGAGAATGGACTCTTGGACCCCGGAAGAAGACGACTAACGTTTCCAGATACTCCCTCATTTGCCTACTTTGAATCTCTGTGGCCTACCGAACTCAATTGGGATTTCAACACCGTCCCTCAAACCAACGCAAATAATAATCGCCTCCCATGGCCCCGAGGAAAAGTTCTAGGAGGTGATCATGGCTCGACCCCGATATCCAAGAGTGTGCGCTGACAACGGGTTCTCCAGGGAGCTCCGCTATCAACGGATTGTATATGAACCGGCCTGGTGAAATCGAAATTAATGCATGGCAAGAAATGCTCGGTGACATGGACGGCGCCGATAACTGGTCTTGGGAGTCATTCTATGAGGCCATGAAAAAGAGCGAGAACTTCACACCACCACTGAGTGAAGTTGCTGAAGAAGCTGGCCTTACCTGGAATGCTGGCAGCTTTGGCAACAGTGGGCCAATCCACCTAACTTGGCCCGGATAGTACGTTGGAACCATGCATGATATGGCTCTTCATTTGACTGACTGTTACGCAGCACTTTTCCTCTAATTCATGAATGGTTGGTTGCTGCACAGAGTGGAGGTGTTGCCAATTCTCGTGACACGTATGGCGGGGAGAACTGGGGCTCGTATGTGACGACATCTTCCATAAATCCTGCGAACTGGACCCGGTCTTACAGTCGATCGGGATATCTTGACCCTCTGCCGCCACGCTCTAATTATGATGTCCTGGCTAATGCCCACGTTACTCGCATTCTTTTCAACTCGTCCTCTCCTCAAAACAACATCACAGCCACTGGTGTTGAATACACTCGTGATGGCGGCGCGACCAAGTTGACCGTCCAAGTGAACAAGGAGGTCATATTGGCAAGCGGAAGCGTGGGAAGCCCTACAGTGCTTCTCTACAGTGGTGTTGGTCCCAAGGATGTACTTGATGCTGCAGGAGTTCCTGTCATTTCCGAGCTGCCTGGTGTGGGCCAGCATCTACAAGATCACTTGGTAAAGATATTTCGGATTCACCATTTACACGATGCTAACGAGTGCAGAGCCTTGGGATGCAATTCACGACGGACCAAGAGACTGCAGGCTCCATATATGCTAGTAAAGGGCCTGAATCGGTAATCTACCTGCAAGTCCTATATAACTCTGATAGCTAACGGTACCAGACTGATCCCAAGTTTCTCTCATTCGTCAACTCCGGCGTCGCCTACGTCAATGCAAGCAATCTCTTTGGCAGTGGAGCAACCGATTTAGTCTCTGAGACCCTGAGCGCCAGGGACCAGTACAATCCTAACCCTGGGGCCGCCGATGTATCCGCAGGCTATAGAGCCATATTTGAGACCACCGCCAACAAAATTGTCACAAGCCCCCTTGGGGTGGTTGAGTTTCTGATCGGCAACACAGATGATGGTATCGTCAACATTGGTGCTGCTTTACAACATCCTTTCAGCCACGGGAGCATCACGATTGGTTCGGCAGATCCTATGGATTATCCGATCATTGACCCCAACTACCTTGCAAACCCGACCGGTCGGTAACCCCAGCTCCCCAGCCCTTGACCAGGCATGCTAACTGTCCTGGTAGATGTCAAGATTCTCCGCGAGGGAATTAAGTTGATTCGTCGTCTGAGCCAGACAGAACCACTCAGCAGCAGTCTCACCGGCGAATCAGCGCCCGGCTCACAAGTCCAGTCTGATGAGGATTGGGAAGATTACATGCGGCAGAATGTCTTCACTGAGTACCATCCCTCCTCATCGTGCTCGATGCTTCCCCTCGAACAAGGTGGCGTCGTTGACGCGAACCTTCGTGTCTACGGACTCTCCAATGTTCGCGTCGCTGATGCGAGCATTCCCCCCATCTCGTTTTCAGCCCACTTGATGATGTCCACGTACGGTATTGCTGAGCAAGCCAGTAATATCATTCGAGCGTTCCACAATCGACCAGTAATCGCCGAGACAAGTCTTGCTGTCAATTCGACGTCAACTAGCAGCAACGTCAACAACACCTCCAGCGATGTTCCTGCAACATCATCGACCAGTGCTGCTGCGAGTGCAAGCTCTACCGCGGACACTAACAACGCCAATCCTCGGTGGACTGAGCAATCCTGGTCCCCGTTTGTCACAATGGCAGTGTTGGTCACTTCATTGCTAGCGCTGTGATGGCAAGGTATCATCTGCTGTTGTCCCCAATCACGCTGATACACAGCCCTCTGCACGATAGGATCTGAGGTCTTCCAGCCATGTTCTGTTAGACTCGGAATTTCTGAACATCGGAGCCTCTCCTCATGCTCCCCAAATTCTTTTGCATCGCACGGCGTTCAGGAAATGGAAATTTGGAGAAGGAAATGATTCTCGCAGTCAGCAAGACACGAGCATTTTTGTTGGGGAGCCTAGAGCCTGCAAGTGAACTAGGTCCAGTCACAAATGCAGAGCGCCATCAATTGACCACTACATTGCATTTGGTGTTAGATAATCGATAATGTAAATGTAATCAAGAGAGGATTACTCGTCAATGATAGCCAAGTCCAGTACATCAAATGAGAGTGAACCACAGGAAAAAAGAGAGTTGGAGTGTATTTATTCACCTTGAGCCTAAGTTCCTTCACTTGCCGAGCCAACATACATCTGTGAAATCAGTCTAGGATCTCTCCATGATCATGATTTCTCCTTTGCACTGTCTTGCCCCAAATAATAGGTCTATTGGCTACAGAGTACTTCGGCTTTTCCAATCGCGGAATCAACAATTTTGCCTGGGATCTCAAAATAGCTCTGGGCCCTTGTGCGTCAACGGTGGTACGTTGGCCGTTGACTCACAGTTTTTCGAAATTACACGCCGAATCCGTTTCAATCAGGAGGCGGGTGGGATGAGACGCAATTCGTAAATGTCGCCCGTATGAGTGATCCTGGGTGTGCGAAATTGCGCCGTTAGCAAAAACTTAGTTGACCTCTTTGAGTTATTTCGTCAGGTCCTCTCGGTTTCCGCGATGCTAGCAATTCGTGAATCTTTGCGATCAATTCGGGTACCCGGAACGGCTTTGGTAGGACTGTGTCCATCCCGACGTTGATCGCCCTTGTAATTTGTTGATCTCGATCGAATCGTGTGGTCCACAGTGCCGTCAGCCTCAATGTGCGGGGATGCCGAAGAAAGGATCCGGAATGGCTCGTCATGAGCGTAACGATCACTAGGAGCATTAGGCGGTTGCCATTTTCGCTTCAACCTTAGACTGTCGGATATCTGTACTATATCAATGACGGCTCTCGTGAGTTCCTTGTTCGCTACTGGCTGGTCTTCTGCGATAATGTAATCGGTCCAGTCAAAAAGGGAGGCCTCCCTTTTGGCTGGCCCAACCCCCATCATCTCCCAAAAGTGTGTATTTGCCCAAAGCAAAGACCCGTCGGCATCACGGTCGTACATGCAACTGGGGCCATTTCAGCATCCTCCTGATCTGCCTTTCATTTTCGGCAAGGTCTTTCTCCAAATCTTTCTTGCGTTCACGTGCATGATCAACTGTAGTGATGCTCGCGATAAGAACTCGAAGCTGTCGCGAAAGGCCAGAGATAAATTTGCAGCGGTCCGCATCTAGCTTCCGACGGGTATTCAGGCCTAATAGGGCATAGCCATTTACAATGTTGAGAATCGACAAAGCAATGACTGCTATGGGACGGCGTACTTGCCCGCTCGCCTAGTCGGGAAGACTATGCATCATGTCAGGACTAGTAATATCGATTAGGGTAAATTCAGCGCCGGAGCCGCGAGCCTGGCGAAGAAAAGCTCCTTCAACATGTCTGGCAGAGGGAGCGCCCACATCGATCGTTGCAGGAGCAGGGGTTGGTGTCAAAGGGAGGCCAATGCTTGAGTGTAGGTACAATTTGCTGTCGTCGTGGTCGGAATCGTAAGTTGTGTACAAGATGGCCGTAGAGATATCACGGGGATGGTCAACAAGGACGGTCTGGATGTGCTCCCATACCTGTGTGCCGTCCTGTGGCGGGTTGTTTCCGATCTTGTTTAGAAGTGCGGCTCTTTGGTCTTACAAGACTTTTCTGGTGCTCTCAGCCCAACAAACGTAGGAGCCACCAGGGTGACCTTGATCATCCCGCAAAGGCAGAGTATGCCCGCGCCACCACATTTATTCTACAAAGCCATCTTGAGTGAGAGAGATCCTAGGGTCACTAAGGACAGCGTCGGTTTTGGAACATTCATAATTGGTGGATAATGAGCCAAAGAGCACAGGCCATACGTCTTGTAGTGGTTGTCCCATGAAACTGACATCTTGAGTGCCTAGTAGAGCCACCAGGCCATCATTATATATCGTTGTACGTTGCGGGGCCCAGTGGATGGCAGAAGGACGCAGATCTGCAAATAGTTGATGTGCGAAGAGCCAGAGAGCGTGAGGCCATTGTTTTAGCGTACCTCAAGGAGTCTCAGACCATTGTATGCGGCGAAAGACGACAAACGGCTCAAGAATGTGGTGATGTAATCGGCCAGGATGCATCATTGAGATCCTGCTCGGTCTGCAGAGATTGGAAAGACTCTGGAATGGTCGATTCATCACGTTGGAAACGGTTCATATTGAGGTAGATCCCACATCAGTGTTCAAGAGTTGAGGGTCGCGGGTCGGGGTCTTCTGTCAGAGTTTGTCGAGACGATATTGATGACCCAGGTGCCATCTCCTCCAGGTGTCAGCGTCCATCTAATACCCAGCTGTGCGAGGACATCTGCATGATCCGGATGGTGCATGAATCGCTTATTGTTTCGACCAGCGGAATCACGTCACGACCAGACTGATGCCGGACTCTTGATGCCACCGGAAGGCACAACCACAGGCTGAAAACCGGTGTCAAGGCTCCGCCGAGCACCAAGGCCAGAAGAACATCAAGAAAGGCAGTTTTCATTGCCCTGAGGAGAGGAGGGGGGGAGTGATATGAGTAGACACGATGACGAGGGGGGCATCGATTAATCCGTGCGAGGCAGAACCGCGGCAGGTGGAGCGGCATCACGTGTGGTTTGTGATGACTTTTGGAGACATGGACCTGGGGTAAAGAGAGTTTGAACAACAGCTGAGAATGCAAACTTGGCTTGGGGCACCCGGCATGGCTGGAGAGGCACAGAAGACCGATGGAACCGTTGCGCTGGATAATGTCCCCAGAAATCAACCATCAATGGTAGCTGTCATATATGGTCGTGTCTAGAGAAGAAATATGTCGTGGAAGGTGGTTGTACTGCATCAATACTGGGGGACCTACCTCTGGCGATGGAGGCAACAACTGACTTCTCTGTAATAGGTACCTCACTTCAGGCTAAAATTGCTCTCAACCTGTTAGTAGGCAACTGCTGTGTTGATACCTATAAGTAGTAGTACCGTGTGGATCTGATAGTAGGTACAGTATAGCGTGCTGAATGCGTGACTGGGGTTTGGACGACGTCGTAGCAAAGCAAATACATCCAAGTCCTGAGCACCAAGCTTAGCCGAGGCGACGGATCACATCTGGGATTGATCCTGTTGTTGTAGTTTAAAAGTATTATTAGTGCTCTGCTGGTTCTGCGCAATAGTACTCCCAAAGTAGTAAACACTCTACGGAGTACGCGTGTAGGTATGCAGATACCACTTTCGGGTATCGAGTCAGAAGGCCAAGAATGGATGGACCGCGGGTATCTAGACTGTCCCAGGACTCTGGTCCTACGACATGATCAAATTTTCCGTCAACACCAGAACGTGGCCTGCGCTTGGACAATATTACGAGAACGACTTGGACGGCTCAGACGAACTACGGAGTACTCTGGGTGTATGGACCAGAAACAAACTTTTCTCAAATGGGGCATACTTAACAATAGCAACTGAACATTGCGCTGGAGAGATTAATAATGGGCTCATGGAAGCAATTTTTATTGTTATTCCAGTCCATGCGGTTTTTTGGCCAGTGTCATGATGTCAACCTGTCAGCATGTCAGCCTGTCAGGGGAAGTCTACTCGTATGTACTCCGTATGTCCAAATGTACTCCGTACGTACCTCGCATGAGGTGGGCCACAGAGACCTGGGAGGCCTGGCCAGCCCCCGAAACATGGCGCTGCAATCTCCCCAAGGTTCTATCAAATAAGCCTCGCTTGGCAAGCCCAAATGCGACAGGATTGCCTAGGGCAAGCCACCGGCGCCCATCTCAACCAGGGTCCCTGTTGCTCCTCCTGTCACATCACTCGACACCAGCCATCACCCTCGGGCGCCGGCTCATGGACTGATGCTGTCGTTCACCACCCAAGCTCATGCAATCTTCGACCCTTCCCCAGCCTTTCAAGTCAGAAAGCTTCGCGAATTTGTCTTGCGAAATGGCCGACATGTCACTCGACAACATCATAGTAAGCCTTGCTTAATCTCAGATCCCATGACATGGCGTACACGATGCACAGATGCAGGTGCTGGCAGTCCACCTGTACCTGCAGCCCACGTTCCAGAAAGTCTCAAAGCAAACGTAGCGGAGATGCGACCCCCTGGTCTAATCCCAATTTCCACCCTCCCCTGAGAGTGGCCGAATCCTTTGCCTTATGGACGCCCGGGGCGGTCGGCGCTTCCCCGAACTACCCAGTCAGCCCAGGAGACCAAGCAAGCTTTGAGCAGAGGTACCTCGGAATGATGAGTACGACACATCACACTCCATCACAGGACACGTACGCGTGGACACGTAAACAGGTCAACACAGCCTGTCGCCAGCTATAAAGGTAACAGTACTGGACATAGGAGCCTGACACAGTAGTGTCCTTGGTTTCACCTTCATCTTGTCTACTAGTCAATCGATACCAAAAAGGCAAACATCATGACGCTGAATCCATCCTTCGTCAATTCAGGCACCCCAAAGGCTTTGAGGCTATGAGGACTATCTCGCAAAACGGCCAAGACCCAAATTTGGTTTCAATTGCTTGTCTCAACGGCTCAGGGGAAAATTTAGTCATTTTCTGTCGACCGCTTCACGATTCGCGCCTTGCTAATGAGCTTGGCGGACTCCCACTCGCCTATACGAGCTTGGCTTCCCCATTTGCGGACGCAGCCTAATCTCCCTTCACGGCGGTTCAACCACATGGTGCTCCATAGCACCACAACAAGGTCTCCATGTCTGGAACACCTTGTGAAGTCTCCTCTCTTCATAGACTCCTTCCAGCAAGCCTGACGCCAGGTCGCGCTTGGTGTCTCGCTCTGAAAACTCTTGGTCGGGTGATCCGATCCCAGGACAGGGCCCAACACGAGGTGAAATCACACATTCGGTAAGACGCCTCAACAATGGCTTGCCTCTGGCCACAATTGGATCATGGCCAAGACGCCGGATCTCTCTTCTCATATTACAAAGTACAACCAGCTGCCATTCTCCTCTTTCATACTTCCTTTTCCAACACGTTCCTTAGTGACTTACACCAGTCTTGAGAGTTTTGGCTCTCGTCCTTTCTTTATTTCGTTGTTATTCTTTACTTTTCCTTGCCTCAACATGAGGTCTCTCGCGTATCTTGCGGCAGCATTGCCGCTGCTTTCAAACGTAATCGCCTGGGAGGCCGACGAGATCGTTCACGTTACATCTACCAGGACCATTACCGTCTGCCCCATTACCGAGATCTGGACCTGTACACCAGACGTCCCCACCATCCCTGCGACACGAAGCACGACAAAGGGACCAGGTCCAGAGACCACGACGACGGCTAGCCATGGTGACAATGGAGGTTGGGATTCATCCACTGGTGACAATGGAGGTTGGGGCTCATCCAGCACCTCCGCCCATTACGGCAATGGCACCACCTCGGTGACTTCGGCCACTGGAACTACCGGCTCTTCAACCACCGGAACCACAACTGCGACATCATGCGGCACCGCCACCGTTAGCAGTCTTCCCGAGTCTCGTTGCAACAATGCCAACGACCGAAGCAAGTGGTGTGGAGGCAAGTCCATCGATACCGATTCTCACAAGGAGTTTTACACCGGCGAAACCAAGAAATACGTCTTGACCTTGACGGACCAAGTGACCGTCCATGACGGTATCTCCTCGACACAATTTGCCATCAACGGAAAATCTCCAGGAGAGCCAATCATAGCCAACTGGGGCGACATGGTCGAAGTTACAGTTGTCAACGGTCTCAGCTCCAATGCCACCACCATCCATTGGCATGGTATTAGACAGGTTGGAACCAACGACCAGGATGGTGTTCCCGGTATCAGTGAATGTGGTATTGCTCCCGGCTCTTCAAGAACGTATAAATGGCACGCCTCGAGCCATGGAACGGGCTGGTACCATTCCCATGCTTTGGCCCAATATGGTGGAGGTATTCGTGGCCCGGTGATCATCCATGGTCCCAGCACTGCCAACTATGACTTTGATATGGGTACTGTCATGGTTGATGAAACTTTCAGCCAGTCGATCTTCCAAATGGCATACAACATTGCCCGCACCCGAGGAGCCCTTCCACCTTCTACCAACTACCTCCTGAACGGCAAGAACACCTCCCCCGATGGCTCCAAGGGTGAAGCTGCTCAATGGGTTGTGAAGAAGGATAAGAAGCATTTGTTCCGCTTCATCAACAGGTATACCCATGGTGTTTCTAGTTGGCTTCGGGATATTTTCTAATGTCATACAGTGCTGCTCAGAGTGCATTCGCCATTCAGTTCGATCACCACAATTTCACCGTCGTCAGTGCAGACTACACCCCGATTGTTCCTTACGTCACAAACACACTCTGGATTCAGCCTGGCCAACGTGCTAATATTATCCTCCACGCAGATCAGGTAAGTGACATGTTAACAGCCACTACTTTGCCGGCTAACTCGTTATAGCCTGCTGGTGCATATTACCTCCGAGCAATTCATCAAACCGGTTGTGGTGCTGTTTCTCTCAACAATGGTCTGGGCTTCTCCAACGGCATATTCACCTATGAGGGTGCATGTGACACTACTCCCTCTCCGACCAACAGCACCCTGGTCACTGCTGGAATTTGCAATGATGAGCCGCTGGCCAGCCTGATCCCACACATCAAGAAGAGTGCAGGATCAGCCGCCAAATTTTCCTCGACCGTGAAACTTCTCCCTGGTGGTAACGCTGCCGCCCAGGTCTTTGATGGATTTGGTTCTGTCATCAGATGGTACTTGGGTGGCCCGTCAACTGACCTCGCCACCAACAGTGGTGCCCCTGCCGGCAGCAAGACAGTGAATGTGACCTACAAAGAGCCCACGCTTAAGACCTTGGCCACCCTCCCCGGCCTGGCCTACAACAGCTCGCTGTACGGTAATACTGCCGTCCTTGATGGCCCTGCCAATGATTGGGTCTACTTTGTGATCCAGAACAATTTCCAAACATCGCATCCTATGCATCTTCACGGACACGATTTCTCCGTTCTTGGACAAGGACGAGGCGTTTTCACCGCCGACATGGTCGGTCAGCTCCGCTTTGATAACCCTATTCGCCGCGACACTGCCCTGCTTTTCGGTGGAGGCTCACCACAAGCATTCATTTCGGGATGGACTGTTATTGGTTTTGAGACCGACAATCCTGGTGCCTGGCTCATGCACTGTCACTTGATCTGGCACGCCGATGGTGGTATGGGCCTTCAGTTCCTCGAGCAGCCAGCTTCCATCGATGCGTCGAAATATTACAACAGCCCCTCGTTCCAGAACGAGTGCAAGGCGTATGAGGCTTATGAAGCCATTGGCGGTGGCCATAAACATCCTTATGAAGCAGGTGTCAAGAGACATCTCGACGGACACATTTTCCATGCTCACAAGCATGCTGATGTCGTTCGTCATTAAGCAATGCATGGGTACTGGCGCCGGGGTGGAGAATCCAAAATACCTGCTATGACCACAGTTGGAAGGGAGCTCGTGAAGTACGCATGCAACATACTGTTCCCTCTTGTGTTCCTAATTTTCTTACCACTGAAATGTTGTGGTTACCATATTGTCCATATTGTCCATATTGTTCAACAATCATATGGTTTACGTTGGCCATGTATGTAGACTCAATCCCGCATATGCTAGTCACACCAGCCCTCCTGTATCCACAAGTTCTCTCAGTTGCACATTATCTGATACTCCCAGGCCTTATGATTCAAGAAAGACATTGTTGAGATTTGTCAGAGGATCTCCAAAGAATCTCAGGCACGGGCCGATATCGCAGTTAAGAAATGAAGAACATGTCAGTAGAATTACCAGGGACCATGGACAATGAGACTGGCACAAAGATGCAGGAGACTTCATGATCTGCATCTCTGCTTGAAAGTCTCGTGTGCCACTCCTATGGAAGGATGAGTCGACACAAGTTGAAGCCAAGGAGAAGTAAGTCGTTGCTAAGCGTCTGGTCCCTTGATTCTAAAATCAGGGTTCAAACTCATAGCAAATAATAAATGCTGTCGGGCAATTCGAAAGAGCACGTTGGGCTAACATCCACGTCAGACCTCGCGTCGATCTGTCGAGATTCCGCGCATGTGTTGCTCCCGCCATTGACGTGGTGAATATTCCACGATGTCTAGTCTAATCAAATCAAATCAGATTGGTGCCAAAATGAACTTTTTTGCGTGATGCCGATCACGTCGGTACATGTCTGAGTTCTACCACCAAGATCCATAAAATTCAAATCATGCGTAGAGTCCGAGGATCGGAAGGTCGATACGTGGTTTCTGCAGTTGTCCTGTTGCAAAGACCATTCACAAGTCGATAGTCGACTCTTATGCTGTGAGCAAGCACAAAACATTGGCATTATCTTCATACAAAGCTCAGATACCTAGTACTATTGCATGTACGATGACGCGCGCCATGCGTTGAAGATTACCGAAATAAATGCGACGACAACATCTACCATTTCTGATGCGGAAATGAGTCAGCACTTAGAAAAGCGTGACATTTCTGACGCAGAGTGGCTTCAGCCAGGAGTGCAGAAGGCCATGTTATTGACAAAGGCCTGGACTCACGTTAGCATAACCACCGCCTTTGTAGGTTATGTATTCACCTCTTGCTGCAGCACCTGAGTAACTTGGTAAGGTTGCTTTCAGTAACTTTGGTTCTCATCCTGTCGGATTATTCCCAATGGAGAAACGAGCTATACGTTACCTGATAAAGCAAGCTTTTTTACAGCTCCTGTCGTGACTAGAATTAGAAGAGCCCTCTTCTAAATAGCTGACCAGTTCTCGATACAGGTAGCAATATCCCGGCGAGAAGCGGCGAGAAGCTGCTATTGCCACTGGCCTTTTTCAAGCTGCCATCAGCATTGGGGGTGCTTTGGGTAGAAGGTGGGTCGAGCCAAACGTTCTGTGCTCTGATTACTGACCAGCGACAGCATTGCTAGTGCTATAAAGCGAAGTACGCTTCCTGACCAGCTTTTGACGTATCTCCCAACGGAAGAACGATCCAATGCACTCACTATCTTTCAGCCACTACCAACTGCTCGAAGCTTTGAGATTAGAACGGCAGCGCGAGATGCTATCAGTCATCGAAGCTACTGTGAATCGATGCAACTTCTTGCGGTTGCTGCTACTACAATATCGCTACCTAGTACTTTTTTTGTGTTCTACATGAAAGATATTAAACTGGACGAAGGGATGAAAAGGATGAAGTTTGGATGGATCAAGCCGTTAGAAATTTCAAAAGCGCGCTAGTAGGCACCTTCCTATCAGTAGCCCATGCACAGAGCATAAGGAACACAGGTTATACGGCCATGATGGAGATGAAATCTGCTGATTGTGTCTTGGGATGCTTTGTATGCTTTCCGATATTCCTCACCGCCGCCGCCGAAAGATCCGAGATCTCCTCCACATTCGAACAGTTTCCAATTCCACACCCTATCTCTGATCCGTAATGATGCTTGATCTACATCAGCGGTGGTTATTTCGAACGATGCGGGATTATCTAGTCCATTTTGTCCTCAATGGGTTTGGTCGACCAAACCCCCACCAGGCAGCGGGGTTTCCCTTGAGTATATACTGGTCCTATCAATGAATCCAGTGGCTAGCCAAGAATGCTTATGCTGCTGAGCTCTTGGTGGATTCGGCTTCGGCTTCCCTGTGGGGGACGTTTTGCGGAACCGCTGCTAGTCGAGTCGCATAGCCTTCGTAAGACGATTTCTGGAGAAATCTGGAGAAGCGATAGCGCGGGGTTAATGGTGAAAGGAGATGTCAACTGCATAGAGATATAAGACACAGTCACGATAGCAACGCAGGGTGTAGATGGACCAGCGAGATGCAACATCCTATTAAAGCCATTTCTGAAAGCCAATCTATACATAAACCCACACAAACAACAGAGATGGGACACGGTTCTGCATCTCCAGGCGGTCTCGAGTTAGCTATGCACGTCGAGGATAAGAATCGAGAGCAGAATACCAACATTCACGAACAAAATGTTGATAGAGATCAGGAACAGGAAATATTGACCGCACGCCTGCAAGGCGAAGATAAGAAAATTTCACAAATAAAACGCAAACTAGATCTTCAGCTGGTTCTTACAGCAGCAGTTCTATATGTCTGGGCATATATTGATCGCGGAAACTTGGGCAATGCCCTTGTTGCTGGTATGGACGAAGATCTTGGGCTCGTCAACAACAATAGGTACTCTGTTCTTGCACAAGTGTTCTTTGTCACCTACATCCTTATGGAGCTGCCTTCAACTTTGATTCTCAGGAGAATCAGTGCTGCAATATGGCTTCCAATGACAGTGGTGATTTTTGGCATAATCACGCTCGGTCAGGGCTTCGTCCACAGCTGGGGGGCCTTACTTGTTTGTCGACTTTTACTCGGTATTTTTGAGGGGGCGTTCATTCCGGTCGGTATATTCATCATCGGAGCGTGGTAAGAGTTCATCGCCTTATCTGGATTCGTCTTTTCGCTGCTTACTTTCGATGCTAGGTACACTCGATATGAGGCCCAGAAACGCCTAGCAGGCTTTTTTGTGCTGGGTATAACATCCACAGGTCTTTCTGGATTGTTAGCTTATGGGATTCAGACAATGGATGGAACTGCAGGCATCGAAGGTTGGCGGTGGATCTTCATCATTGAAGGTATCGCAACTTGTGTGTGTGGTGCAGTCGCCCTTTTCATCCTCCCAGATCTGCCCGCTCGTTGCACTCAAAGAGGCTTATTCGGTATTCTCCCACCATTCCTCACGGCCGAGGAGTCAGACTTAATTCAAGCTCGCATCGAATCAGACAGAGGTGATGCCACGCAAGATAAGCTCACAGTCAAGCGCGTTCTCCTCGTACTTGGCGATTGGAAGGTCTGGGACCTGACTCTTCTTCTGTTTTACGCCAACGTCGCACAGTATGCATTTGCGTACTTCCTGCCAGTCATTCTACAACGAAGCTTTGGGTACACTGCTGCTAGATCACAGCTTTTTACATTCCCGCCTTACGCTGTGGCTAGTGTTTTCGTCATGTTCGTGGCCTGGCTCAGCGACAAAGTCAAATTACGAGGTCCAATAATAATTCTCAACAGCTGCCTGTATTTCATTGGGGTTGCAATGATGGCATTTCTTACCAAGCCAAATCAGCGATACGCTGGTGTCTTCATTGGTGTTGCCGGTATGACAGCCAACTTGCCGACCATATGGGCTTACCAGCACAACAACGTGGTGGGTCAAACAAAGCGCGCTATTTCAACCGCTTTGATGATCATGGGAGGCGCACTTGCAGGGATTATATCGGGAAACCTTTTTCAATCGAAAGACGCACCAGATTACCGCCCAGCATTGATTGTTTGTATGGCTTTTCAAGGAGCTATCGTGGTTCATGTTATGAAGAATTTCTATATCTTTTGGCGTGCTAACAGCAGAGCTGATCGCGAAGAATTAGTGATCGAAGGGGTGCCTGGGTTCCGCTATACATACTGACTGGAATTGAAATGTATGAAATGTCTGCATTGATCTATCTGAGAGGGAGGGAGAGAAACTCCCATATCACGAGGATGAATCGTCCAGACTGCTGTCATGCTGTCAGCACACGCCCTTCCACTCGTTGCGGCCGAGGGGCTCGTGGCACCGGCGAAATATACTTGGAATTGCTCCCGAATGCCGGAAATGGGGCATTAAACTACCGGTTTCCTGTCGGGCTCCGATAGGACTTGATCTCAGGAGGACTTGCAATCAACACCGTAAGAACTAGGAGGAAGTACCTTCTTATCTCGTTTAAAAGACTCCGAATAAACACCCTACCGGACGTACTGCTTCGAAAGCCTCAAGTCGAGCATATCTTTACTAGAGTTGCAATCTCGCTGGTATGATGATCGCAAGCGACCAGTCACCTGCCGGGGTCAAGACCCATCCAAGTCCTAGTGCCTTCGCGCATGCTGTTCTCCGAACCACCACGGATAATTACGAGGCGATGACTCAGTGGTACATTGAAGTGTTGAACGCGACAGTCGCTTTCCAAGCTCCAAATATAATGTTTCTGCGCTACGACGATGAGCACCACCGGATTGCAATCGTTGCTAAACCACACAACACCCCAAAGCCTAAAGGCCAACTAATCGCTGAAGTCGATCATCTAGCATACACTTACGACACTCTCACAGCGTTGGCTCAAGTCTATTCGTCTTTGAAATCGAAGAATATCAAGCCGATTTGGACAGTTAACCATGGTCCTACCACCAGTTTTTACTACCGAGACCCAGACGGCAACAAGGTGGAACTTCAGGTGGACAACTTCAGCTCCAGTCAGGAGGCCGATGATTTCGTAAGGACACCTATGTTCGCCATGAATCCTATGGGGACAGATATTGATGCGGACGAATGGTCCTTGGAGATCCTGGCCAAGGTCCGCCCAGATGGCACTGAAGGCTTGGACCCTGTCGCAATCCGACGGCTCAAAACGAGGCAAGAAATTGGGGAGCGTTATACAGCGCCCGAGAATTTCTAGATCGAGGTACATCAGTTATATGAACGACTTAACTGTGCCTTGCTTCTGGCCTTCAAATGATAGTGCTGCAGTACCAGAAACTGTTTATTCGTCACTGCTTCGAATACTTGCATCGTCAATCACAGTAACGTCTATTATAAGTAGAGAGCCGCCA